CTAACATTACGACACGAGATTTATACTTTTGTATATAGAAACTAATCAATCAAAACACCTGAAATTGGGATCAGTGAATAGTTATAAGTCGTTTATTGTATCCAGCAAATTTTATAACATGATACGTTAGATTAACCCTAATATTCTCATTTCTGCAACTGACACGATGACCTCGAAAAATAGGGCTTATTCTATTTAACGTTTGGATAATAAATTTACTGAAATGGTTCATAATTTACCATCGGGCCTTTTTTTGCTGATACAAACATGCGAATTTATGGTCGGTTAAATTTAAGACAATTTATACAGGCTCCTAAAATACTACAAAACGCATTCCACATTCAATCACGTAATTCAGGTGAGTTCAAGAAAATTTACAAATTGTATGTTCGTTTTGGTCTTAACCTCTGTATGTTTGAAAATGTCCGAACATTTTTATATAATAATGTGTTCCTTTCTATCAGGCATAAATGTGCGAAATATTGGTTCATTCGTCCCATGTTTAAAGAAACCTCGACTGTTTGAAAGCACCCATCCTCTTTAGGAGCGCTAGATAGGAAGGGTAAGAAGTGTGAAAACAATTCAGCATGCTAAAGATTTAAAACGTTAAAACAATGGTCTTATGAAACATTGCACATAGAAACCCTCGAAAATCTTGTATAAACCGCATGTGTTAGCTGGGGTGTACCTTGCATATCGAGGCATCTGCCTGGAGGGAGAGTTAGAATAACTGGAGGAACTTGCTTCCTAAAAACATAGCATTCACTTATTCATTGCATTTAATAATCCATGACTGACTAGCATCGTACACAATTACAAAGGACCATGAAACTTGCCTAGATTACATGCTCAGGCAAAATGTTTGGCACAGTTTTGGGGTACATAAATTCATATAATTAGTTCATGTTCTTGCATTCTTGAAATGTGTTCATTTCTGCAGGGAAAGCCTCTCTGACGTTCTTCACCACACATGCAGGATGAATTTATCTACTTTTTTAAGGAAGTCTTTGGTAAATAATAAAACACACCACGCACAGCGATTTGTAATTAATTAATAGACATAATCTGGCTGATGCGTGAACAATCATCCACACCGCACGGGTCAATTAAAGTCCGTTTTGTGACAAAATTTACATCTAATTAAATGATATTCTTATGGAACACGACTCGATATTGTTATAAGGTTAAAAATGCATCTCTTAAACATTAGAAAATGGTAACAAATAAAACCGTTATAGCTGCAATGAGGAGTTGCATTAGACATATTTTGTGACAGAGAACTTTTAGTTCGAAAGGAATCAATAGATAAAAGACATTTCACATTTATCACAAGGTATTCTGGACATTTCATAATTATATCCTACACCAGGAGATCTGACTTGGTTGTGGTTCAGGGAAATTTGACAGCCAGCAAATCGCTACATGAATCAAATTCTTCAACCTCACCTTCTTCCAATCACTGACCGCCAGAGGGAACAGGACAACGCTCCACCGGCACACCGCTCGTGTCACGGTGAATACCTTCATAATGACAACATCAACGTCTTGCCCTGGCCGTCGAGATCTCCAGATCTCAACCCAATCGAACACCTCTGGAATGAACTCGATCGACGTGTACGTCAACGTCAGAACACACCGCAGACACTCACACAACTGGGCAACGTGTTACAAGCAGAATGGCGCAGAATTCCGCAGGACTGATTTCGTACACTTATCTAGTCAGTGCCGAGGAGATGCAGAGCCGTGATTGCTGCCCGGAGCGGTCACACAAGATACTGAGTTCAGCGCAATCTTGTGGCCTTAGGTGACATGACAGTGAACAGTTTTCAATGCCACTGTACAACGACAACATGTTACTATCGAGGTCCAACATTTCATTTTTATATCTATGATATTAAATATATCTACTTTATTAGGTACAATAAATTTACTAAAAATCGACGTGTGCGGTTTTTTTAAGAGTGTATATACAACACATGGCCGGGATTAAAAGATAAGTTCGTTATATCGATCGGTAAGTTCGTTTTAAGCGTGTTCGTTATACACGTAGTTTACTGTATATCCGTAGAGGTCATTTTCGAATTATCGAGTTGATGGAGGTCGAGGTTGGGAGATTTCGTTGTACCATTACCTCATGCTGAAATACCTTAAGACCGTTCTGTGAACAAAAGTAAAAAAACAACATATGACCCAGACAAAAACCCATTGAAAATGTTCCTTCAAGTATGGTACGATAAGCTATTCTTGACATTTTATATTTTTGTGGGAAGATGCCCTTGGCCGTCACTTTCCTTGACAAGTTGTATCATGGTTTCATAATTGTGTGGTTCGATTCCTATATTTTCGAAAACCGATTTATAGGATCCAGGCGCTAACCACATGATGCAGTTTCATCCACTTCTCCATTTATAGTTTGGTCAGCAATAGGTGTGTCAGCACCATGCCCGTTTGTTTCCCCCAAGAGGTATAAGACGGACATTAGTTTGGGCTGTCACTAACTCTCCTTGACCAGGGTTTTGAGACATAGCACAAGTTGAGGTATATAACTGATGTCTGTTAGAACGCCTTCCACTCATTGTTTGTTACCACTGGGTGCATTGATACCCGCCAGGAAATATAAGACGTCAACGTCAGTGTATAATCAGTCTCGATTATCCGACGAAACTGAAATAAATTTGTTTTGCAATACATAGAAATGCAGTTTTAAAGGTCTCGGCTCAAACATTCTTTTTGTACTTTTTGAACAAATGATAAATGCTAACAAACGTTTCCCCCGTTTGATAACCAATACCGTTTTTTATGATTACTCAACGAAAATGTGATTTAAATAAGACCAATTTATTTATGTTAGTGAATATTTATAATTTTGAACAGAGGTAATGATAAAAATATCGCTTTACTTTACTGGTCCATCAGTTGATTGTCTGGTTTGTTTACAGGCCGCCGTCGCATGGCAGGAGTAGTGCGGTGCCATATGAGGCCATAAATACTTTAATCCAACTATGGAAATTGTACGAAAGGCGGGTGCTACTGGTAGGGCAGTACATCACTGATTTTTAGTGATTCATTCATATAATTTTCTGCGCAATGTTGCTTTTTACGCCCTTTGGAATCTGTTTCAGCGCATATTTGCCACGATTATTATATGGCGTTGACGTTTTATATTTATCATAGTAATATACTGAACCGCAATAGAAACGTCACCATGGATAGATATATTTGTCTAAACACTGTAAACATACTTTGAGACATATTAAAAAGATGAAACTTGGCAAAACTGATCATCAAGGTTGAAATTAAAGTGTCAAATGCTCTTAAAGTGACACACAACTCTAGTCTCTGAGAAAATGGCATCACAAGTCAGTATCCTGTGTGTCCGCCATGTGCATTAATGACTGCCGTGCAACGTAGATACATGGAATAGATGAGGCGGTTGATGAAGGCCATAGGCACTTGAGCCAACACTCTGAGGAATGCTTGACGCAGTTCCGCTGCAGTTGTCGGCTTTGGTCGGACGTCACTCAGCCGTCTTTGAATCTCGTCCCACGGGAACTCAATGGGATTTAAATCGTGACTGAGGGTTCTGCCACTGCATGGTTCTGATGCCATTCTGCTGGAGGAAGTCTCTTGCTGCTCTCGCAGTGTTGGCACGGGTGTGATCATGCTGAAACTCCTGGTTGCGGCGACGTGCCAAATAAGGTCTTGATCAATGTACCGAGCTGTTGTGACACCATTGCCTCTCCCTGGACCGATGTTCTGGAAGACCACAGGGCCGACCCTCTGTGCAAGACCAATTCCACCCCACACCATGATGCTCGGACCTCCCCACCCCACGGTGATGTCGTGGTGTCAGAATGGGTCCTCGGTGTGGCCTGTGACAGTGGAGGTGTCTGCTCGTCAATCGTCGACGAACGGTGTCCGCACTGAGGTGTCGCTGGTGTGTCCCCATGGTCTGTCGAGCGGTTTCCGCAGCACTAACAAGGCGATCTTGAAGGTGGACTTGAAATGCATTGGCTACTTGCCAGGAGGTTTGTCCAGCTTGCAATCGTCCAAGGGCTTGGTGTCGCTGATTTCTTGTCAATCTTGGCATGTGGTAGCAATTCAATAACGATTGAATGTTATCCGATCTGGGTGGATTTTTATAGGTCAAGAAATGGTGGAACGCATGTGCATTTCAATTTGCACGGAACTCACGTGCATCGGGTTACCATAGCCGTTGCCGTGATGCGTTATTGTCATCGGCTTTGTTTTTTTATCATCAAATCTCATTTTTCCGGACAAGATAATGTTAGATTTTAGAAACTTTGACAAAAAATACCCAGATATTTAAATGACAACTTTTTATGCAATGTTACTTGGGGTGACGTTTCTTTTGCGGTTCAGTATTGTTTCAAGGACTATGTATAAAAACCTTCTTGGATCAGAGAATATGTATAAAATATACCTGAAAATGTTATACGTAATCAGTCTTTAAGGTGATTTATTACTACACCTGAGATAAAAAAAATAATTGTAACAATTATATCTAGAGAGGGTACTGTTTTAATTTTGTCTGTCTCACATACTGAATGTGTCCTGGCACGCTCATTCAAAGAGGTAAGCTTGGCGATTGGGCTTTGCAAATCATAGTGCTAAACTGTGTTGAGGAAGTCCTCGGGCGTGATAACTGGATCGTATAGCCATGCTGGATATGTCGACTATACGACCCAGTTTTTAAACCCGAGGACTTTATAAACACAAATCCCAGACGTCCCTTCCATGCCTTCTTTGTTTTAAGAACATGGACACATAACCATTCGACAAACCCCGATTTAATGAACTTCATCAGTTAAATTAGACATTTAGATGTTTTTAATTCGTCTATCAGGCCCTGACATTTATTACTGTTCATATAATATTACATCAAAACTATTGTTGTGTATAGCTATGTTACTGAAAAGATCTACATGCATCATATAACAGCATTCAACAGTGCCTCATCCTGCTTGATCTATCTGCAGCTCAGCAATGCGGGGGAAGTCTCGTTGCCACCTCTACAACGCAGAATGTTACATCACCAGGATACCCCGCCAACTACCCCAAGTAGGTAACCATGAATCAGTGCACTGTGTTTATGTTCTGCAGTAAACGGGTTATCAAACTTGTTGGCAGTATGCTACATGTTCTACTGTTTGTTGGTCCGCCGTGATTGCCCCTCAGACATACGGTTCCTGTAGTTGAGCATGACAGTCAGAGACCATATAGTTCAGAGAGGTACCAATTCCCATTTCCAAATGATTGGATGACCGTGACAGCTTCGCGGAATGTGAATGTTGTGTGTCAATGTATGTATATGCCTGTAATATTCACCTTGTTCTGTCTCCATCCAAGTCAGTCATATGATGAAGTTGAGCTATGCCTCCAGCCAAACACCATATACTTCCGAGAGTCCCCCTTTCTCACCCACCAAAACCTATTGTGTGGCAATACAGTGGGTGTACTTTCTGTTGTTTGTGGGTCTGGAAGAATTCACTTTGCTCTGCATCTATGCAAGATTGTATTCAAATCTCATAAGACAGTCGCATGATTAAGTTGAGCTATGTTCAAGATCGTCTCGTTGACAAAGTCCCCCATCCCCACCGCCTCCCAAATATATTTACAGTGGTGATTGGTTGACCGTGTTTCAGCTCCGTGGAATGTGTCTGGACAATTTCGACCGCCAGCCCAGAAAACAAAGTCAGAGTAACGTTTCCGGAAGCAGTGCTCCTTGACGGTTTGGATGTGGTGAGAGTGTATGATGGTATGTATCTTTATACTTCGTAGATATGTGAATGTTTATATGCACGATTACTGTGTCATCCCTTCGCAGGGTATTGACTGTAAGCTATTCCTATTATACATTAATTTTCTGCGACGACCTCAGTGACCGTGGTGATGATTCTGACAAACATCCAATGCTTCGTGGTGACTGTATTATTATTATGACAGGTGACGCTACATCCGGCTACTTACTGGGGCAAGTGTCTGGAAACAATGGAAATCCCACCTTCACTGGTCAAGAGGTGTCTCTTACCTTGGTATTTACAGCTACCGACAATGGACAGAGGCCTAGTACTAAAGTAGGATTTGTGTTTGGATACATGGAAACACAGGGTAAATCATCAAATGCATTTTTGGATAGTACGAAAGGAGGATTAAGATAAATTAATTAAGTTTCTTAGAAGAATTGAAATGTATATGATGTTGCGTTACTATATCACAAGGTAATGTCTTTGATGATACTCTATACTAATACATGATTTCCTCTTCAGCAACCCATGCTTGCCATGAAAGGCGATTATGCTTGTCGTAAGAGGCGACTAACGGGATCGGGTGGTCATGTTCGCTGACTTGGTTTGATGCATGTCATCAATCCCAATTGAGAGGATCGATGCTCATGCATATGATATCAGTCACTGGATTGTCTGGTCCAGACTCGATTATTTACAGACCGCCGTCATATATTGCTGAGTGCGGCGTTAAACAACAAAACAACCAACCAACAAATACATGATTTCACTGCTATTAATTAATTTGTTATTTAAGAATAAATTAACACCGAAATCCATTTACTCAATTACTAATGCATCCAACAGCTGGATAATCAGTTTGTTTAATTATACATGTCAGTGTCACTTATACCAAAACGGTGATAATGTAAAAGGTGAAGTATAATATTGAGGAACTATGGCTTAATTTCAGTCACTGGACCCTTGCGTCGATCAGTTGAAGCACAGCGTAATCAATCCGTCTTGGTTTCACCCAGATTCCCAGGTGGAAATGTAAAGTAAGGAAACGTAACACTTGTAGGTCAAACATACCAAGGATATGTTTAACCTAATGAAATCTTATTTCCATATACATGCTTATAAGAGTATTGGTAATGAGTTGTGTTAAATTCATACAATGTCAATATGGCGGCCATTTTCTTCAGAGACATGGACGCCATCTGGACAGTGCGTCCCACAATATCCACCTACGAAGTGCTGTTATCATTCGTTGAGGTTGATGTTGGAGACGTCAGCGACTGTAACAACAACTACATTACAGTGTATCAAGGTAGGTGTGACACTGACAAATCGGATGACTAAATCTGCAGGAAGACAAAACGCACGAAAGCGTTCACATGTGCTGTATTGATTTTTTTTATTGAGGAAGAAAGATGCAATTATTTTAAATCTGAACAATTTGGAAACAGCTTATTAGTGTTGAAACCCCCGTCACACTGGTCAAATGATTTGTACAAACCTGGAGCGAGAAACTAATCCAGGATCTTTAATGGATGAACACTTCACACTATTTTCCCAAACATTTCGAAACTCCAATCAGATTAAACAGAATAGACAGATACCAATAGTAGTGCCAAGGGTGCCTTTTTGAGCCCAGTAGACAGACTCTATTTTTCCATGTAGTAAAAGCGAAACAAAGTAATAGCATTTAAATTCGTCTATTAACTATCCCTTATAGATGAAAACAAACCAGGGTTTGTTTAAAGCCGCACTCAGCAATATTCCAGCTATATGACGGCGGTCTGTAAATAATCGAGTCTGGATCTGACAATCCAGTGATTGACATCATGAGCATCGATCCACGCAATTTGGATACGATGACATGCATCAACCAAGTCAGCGAGCCTGACCACCCGATCCCGTTAGTCCCATTTTACGGTACAACCCAGAGTTAATTGAGAGCATATGCGTAAAGTTGTGTCTTGTATTTTCAGTTGGGGCAATATGTATAACAATTATTTATTTATATCACAGGCAATACATCATCTGGTGTGTTTTCAAAGATATGTGGCAACGAAACAGGTGTATTCCTCAGCCGAAACAGCCAGCTATCTGTGGTCTTCAGGACAGACAGCAATCTGGCTAAACGAGGCTTTAAAGCTGAATATGAAAAGTATGGATTTGGAAGCTTCCGTGAGTGGGAAACATCTGGCGAAAGTTATCATCGAAAGATGGTTAATCGTTATAATCAAGGAAGGCATGCTCAGTAGCAAGCGTTAAGGGATAAAACACTCTAGTGTTTATTTAGGCGTCTAGAGGTTTGGTAATCCGTGATCTATTTAGAAAGGTGAATGGTCAGACGTTCTAAGAGCGGTAAATTCCAATTACGGCTCCGTAAATCGTGCTTCAACTATCGGTATCCAATTAAAATAAATTGCCAATCAGATCTCTGTAATATCGGATACGAAACCTGCATTCAGATCTAAAATGTGACAGGTACGATGCACATTAACTTCCTACTAAACACGTTTGAGATCAAAACATTGGGCCTCGTTCTTCTTTACATCTGAGAGGTTATGACATGTTGTCCATGTAGTACATATTATTCTTGACATGGCCCTCAGATAGTGAAGTCGATATTGCTAATGAAAAACACGGCCCACTTAGCTTCATATCTCGGTGTTAAGTCCAACAAATAAGCCAAGGACACTCTGCACACATGATAACAATGAGAACACTGATGACATGGTAATGCTATCCTTGAATGAGTGAAGTGAACATGCCTGTCTGAATCTCCACCATGCATTACACGATACAGAAAAGTCCTATCTGTGGTACGGGTCTCAATGCTGTGTTCCTAAGTTTTGCCAGACTCCAGTTGCCATGGGTTCGAATCTCAGAACTGCCACGACTACGATCCACCACGACTTTGTATCCACCATATACTGGTGCTCGATGGTCGAGATATTACTGAACTACTGACAAAGCAGTGTTAAACCTAGACCAGTTTCTCACTCTGAGGCATATATGTAACAGATCAAACTAGACATTGTTAATGCTTTACTCATATGTTCCAAAGATATACTGGAGTCGTTAAAAATGTTCAACTGTATCCAAACCTCAAATTCTAATGTTGAAAATTCTTAAGTATTATGACAGGCAGATTGGTTGTTTTTTTTATTTATAAACTCTAGCATGATTAGTCCTTGAACAACATACATGTATTCCAATACAGGATTTTCCCCTCTCATCCATGTAATATTTGTGTTATTTGCAGCCGGTTGTTTTGGTTTCCCGAAAGAAGTGCGTGTTTATGCCAACACTAAGAAGGATCTTGAATCGCCATTGTATCCCAACAAATACCCAAAGTAAGCAATCTAGGTTTATATGGTCGATTGTTTAATCCGCTGGTTTTGTTCGTGCGCGACTTATTTTGCTAAGTGGATATAGCAAAGCACATCATACCCTCACATACACATGAAACACAACTCAACATTGGTTCAAACGTTAACTACCTGTACATGGAATATGACCAGACAATTTCATTTTCTTGATTTGCGGAATTTCTTGGTCGACAAGCTTAGTCGCAGTAGGCAAACTTGTAAAAGTAAAAATATTGTCGTGAACATACAATTGAAGTACATATTTATACCGCTTGCTATACACCTATAGTGGTGTGTTCTCTCCGTCAGCATGATGAACTGTACCTTTCTGATGAAACCTGTCTTGAACGACATCAACGTCCAACTGGAGGTGACAGACATGAACATGCCCTACACCGAGGACACGGGCTGCACCAGAGACTACGTAGAGTTCTTTGATGGTGAGAACATGATCTTACACTCGATGCATTACGTTAACGGGGATTGTTTCGCACTAGTCTGGTTTGCATGGCGAAGATTACTTACAGAGCATATTATTTCATAGGATTTCCCTACTTTGCTTGATAAGATTTGTATGTATGGACAAAGTAACCACAACAAGGCACATATTTCACTATGTGAAAGGCATTTAGAAGTGATTCATAAGGAAGAGAATTTATGGATGTCAACTTCATTATTATGAGGAACACAAGTTGAACGTTTCGGAGTATATACTTACTCCTTCATCAGGTGAATGAAAGCCCTAATTTGTCATACTGCTCCAAATGCTGAACCATAAATGATGTAGATTTGTGCTGGTATTTCAGTACACAATATATAATATATGGCGGAGTGCATTTTGTAGCTTAAGTGTGTTCAATAATGTCTTTGAAAACGATGAAAATGATTAAAAATCATTTTGAGATCAACTATCTGGCGTTGTCTTTAGTAACAAATGTCATTATGATTCAGGTCCGAGTTCTGCTTCGCCAAGTCTGGGTCGAGCCTGTGGCCAAACAAAGTTAACAGTTACGTCAAAACATGCTGGCCAAGACGTGCTGGTCATGTTTATCTCTGACTCGAATGAAGGGGGCAAAGGATATATGTTGAAATACACAGCTGTCAAACTAACTGGTCAAGGTATGTGTACCCATTACTGGTATTTCTCAGATGTGTTATGACTTATGTTATTCCTCAGACTGAACATATGATAGAAATTATAGTACCATACCGTGGCCCTAGGATTTATATGCATGTTAAATCATCTAATATATGATAACTTCTGTACTATCTAATACATCGGCCTTGTGCATTTTCAGATACTGAATCTTCAACTCCAGTTGGCCTCATAGTTGGTATCGTCGTTGGCTGCCTTGCTTTGATCCTACTGGTTGTCATTGTTGTCATCATAAGGAAAAGGGCAATGAGGAAGTGATCACTGGAGCAACGAGAAATACACCACCAGACCCAGCATGGAAAATGAAGGCTATTTGCAGTGAGTGAGTGAATGAGTATGGTTTTACGCCGCTTTTAGCAATATTCCAGCAATATCACGGCGGTGGACACCAGAAATGGGCTTCACACAATGCAAGGCTATTTGGAACTATTTCATTCTCCAAAGTCAAATAACCTATGATATTAATGCTTACGGGTTGGTAAGACAACACTTACAGAAAATTGGAAATCACCAATTACCGATATTGGCCACGTGTGGTAGTTGAACAGTGGAATGATAACAACATCTAGTGACAACGTGGGTTAAAGATAATGGAGTCACATACTAAAACTTACTAAATAACAAATTAAATTGAATCACATGTAATTTAGGTTGAGGAAAATGATGCATGGGTTTTTATTGTTTGTTAGTTGTTTAACGCCGCACTCAGCAATATTCGAGCTATATCACGGCGGTTGCACGAGTTGCTGAAGACCTATTCTACCCCGGATCTTCACGGGTCTCATCTTGATTTCAGGGCTTTATTAAGTCACTTTCAGATATAAACATGATGTAGCTTAAGATTAGGCATGATGTCCAGGTGGGTATGTGAGTATGGTTTTACGCCTCTTTTAGCAATATTCCAGCAATATCACTCGGGGACACCAGAAATGAGCAGGTTTACTTTGAGAAAGTAATGGAGCCAAAGATATCTCCAACATGATCCTCTAACAGTATCCTTTGTATCGTTGCATAAACATGGGCTACAGATATCAAGAATTTATTATGTTCGTTTTGTTTGAAGTTTGTTTGGAAATCCAAGGCGTTGGTGAGACTGAATGGTTCTTAAATGAATGTATCCGCCGTGTTAAATATTGTCAGACACAAACATGTTATTCGGAGGTGTCGAGTTACTCAAAACTAGAATTGAATTCAGTGTTAAAGAGCTCGTTTACATAAGAGCCATGCCGAATATTATCACATGGAAAGAGACGCATATGCTTACTTTTATTAACCATTGGTTAATTGGACATTATGCATGATATCGGGGGGAGGGGGGGGGGGGGGGGGGGGGGGGGGACTGATGTCGATAAGACACTTCGGTTTTGTCCATCGGATTTGGAGAACAGATGGAACAAGTGTATTGAACTGCAAGGGGACTATATTTCAGATATTCAGCGGAATGGTGCATATCCTTACCTTAATCCAACCTTACCTTAATCAAATATGCAAATAGAACAGCTTATTAGTGCTCAGTAGAGCACCGATTGGTACCCGAAGAAGGTGTCAACAAACTTGAAGGCAGATTACAAGACAAAGGCTTTTAGGTCAGAGGAGTGTGATGAAACCTATCGGTACGCGTTGGGTCGTGTCGGCCTTTGACGAAGTGTTGCGTGGGTGGCATCTGTCTGGAGTGGTCAATGATTGACACGAGTGGGTACAACTTTGACCCCAGCAATGATAACTCACCAGATGCATTTTGGAGACATAAATGCGAAGTTTCATTCATGTGACATGGTGATGTCACTCGCATTTTTCGCATTTAATTCATTCTCGCATTAATTTCAAGATTTACCGTATGTATGCTAGGCTCAGAACGTTTTTACACCTCTCGTAGTTAACCTAATAAATAGCGTATGGAAGGGGACTTGAATTCATTGAACACAAAAAGGTACAATAAGATTAAGAGTTCGGCTATGCTAAATCATTGAGGCGGTCGTTTGCTAAATGGATTACGATTGTGTTACGCAGACTAACATAGAGCTGAACTGAACTTTTACATTAAACCCAGACGACAAGCTGTGGCATAAGAGGCACACTATTTCCAATGTAATTGTTAAATATATTATGTATAATGTATGCATGTACATAGCTGCTCTTGGTGGTGGCGTATATTAACACACATAAAAAAACATACCGAACTTAGGGCATTCGTGGTTTCTATACAAATGTCATGTTATTCATTTTCAAAATGTAGCCATAATTTTTAGATAATTTTCTGTATGTTCAGTATTTGGGGATAGTAAAAAGATAATTTTTATTTATTTTGTATACATTTGGCTCAACATGAACATATTTACAAACAAAACATTTCCTATCTTGAACAATAAAGTTTAAGAAACAAAAACCAAACAAACAACATTTCCTATCTTTTCCAAATGCTTGACATAAAATAGATGGTGAAATTCGTTTCCGACGTCATTGAGATTGCATGAGTTACATTTCCTATATTTTCCATCTTCCGGCCTCAACCGGCAGATGGTGATTTGACGGCCTGAAATTTAGTAAACTTCGCCAGTTAGTTTTTTGCAAATAAAATAATACTTTTCAAATTTTAAATCTAGAGACGTCAAAATATCATGTATTACCCATTATGAAGAATCATATGTTTGTTACCCATGTTTGCTTGTTTGTTACTTTGAATGTTCTGTGGTATATATTAACCCTAGTTGGTATAAAAATACCTTTTATACGTTTTATACCTTTCATTACATGTTTCCAATATACTGTCATACACTACAAGAGATAGTGTTGAAGCTTTTCCATTTAAGACTTTACCCCCAGCACAAAATATCTGCTTTAAGCTCTCCATAAATCATACAATTTGGAGTACTTTTCGGAGTGAACGTACATATTTAAAGAATAGAAAATGTATATTTTCAACACAAAATGTGTTTTCAAAACCCATACTTAGCAACCATAAAGAAGAATAGGAGTACCTAAATTATTAAAAAAGTCTTAAAATACAACCAACTTACAGATTTAGATTTTCACCTTGTCTTAAAACGAAAAACATGGCTCAGGTTGCCTTTTCATCAGAATGTGCTTTGTCTTAGTTGGTTTGTTTTCAGAAAGGTGACGTCAAGGTATTGGTTAGAATCAACATCATGCGCTATGCATGACGAGCTGGGTGTTGAACTGCCCTGACACTCTGTTAACCGTGATATTGATTGTTAGCAGAGGCAAAGCTGTGTAATGTTTTCAATAATAAAATATTTACAAATAAGTATTTGTATAGCCCAGTGAGCATTCACTCGAATGTAATGTGCCTCATTATGAATGGACATGTTTTTATAATGTACTTTCATTATTTATATCATTATCAATGCTTGGTCAGTAAACACTATATACATGTTTACATTTAGGCCGTGTGTTGTAAAGATCTTCAGTGATCCTTTCATAGACTTTTCACCGTTTTGTTGTCTTTTGGGCGCAATCGAATAATATCTCTTTCGAGGGAAAAAGGTTTTTATATTGTACTACTGTCGCAAGCGGGCATATTTCCCACATCAAAAGTATTATATTATCCATGATGTATACCCAGGGGCATTTAGTAATCTGGCGCATTATAAATTGAGGTATTATTATATTGCATTTTCTTTCATTTTATCATATCAATGTTTGGTAAGTAAACACTATACAAGTCTACATGTGTGTCTTATGTTGTGTGAGGTACTTATACTAGGGCAGCAAAGTCCAAAGTATTTGATTATCACTGATCACTTAAAAGTGGCCGATAAGCCTTTTACTTTACACCGAGTCGTGTAAGCACACACACACACACACACACACACACACACACACACACACACACACACACACACACACACACACACACACACACACACATATATAGGCGACTAACGGGATCGGGTGGTCAGACTCACTGACTTGGTGATGCACGTCATCGTATCCAATTGCATGGATCGATGCTCATAATGTCTATCACTGGATTGTCTGGTCCAGACTCGATTACTTACAGACCGCCGTCAATAGAGCTGGAATATTGCACAGAGTGGCGTTAAACAACATGAAACAAACAAACAAACAAACATAAGCGACTAACGGGACCGAATGTGATCATGATGACGATGTACGCAATAATATCTATGAATGACAACTATACACGCACACTGATATTGTCAAACATCAATTAGCAATACCATGACATGTGTAAGTATTAACTGTTATTAAGAAACAGTTTGTCGTGTCCCATAAGGAAAAAACATATCTTCTTTCCATAAATTCTTCACTCACAGCATTATTTGTTGAAAACTGTGATGTGAAAGGTGAGCAAGGCGGCTGCTCAAACACATTCACATCACACGACTGTGTTAATGATGTAGTAGTATCCTTGTATCTTGTGTATTTGTGTACTGCACCACCACGTCATACCAAAAGACATTAAACGATGGTACTTGTTGTTACCCTGTCTGGCGCCCGACATTAAGGGGCCAAAACAAGGACTGGTCGGCTCGGAATCAGTATGCTGTGTCTGAGTGGGGTATTAATGTTAAACTGCGGCATGGTATCTCAGTGAGCTAGCGCTATAAATCGGGATCAGTCGGCATCAGTATATATAAGTGCAATAATCTTGGACGCAACGTTAAACCAAATTTCACCTCACCTATTTGTGTACTGCGGTGTACCTGAACTGCATGCCCCCCCCCCCCCCCCCCCCCCCCCCCCCATCACTCCTGTCCGGCGCCCCACTGACGTCCACGGCAGCGTCGGTATGACAGGCTTAATTAGGACGTCTTAATGTAGCCTACGTGAGTGGATCAGGCCTCAGACCAGTGTTTGGCGTTTATCTATGTGTTTCGTGTACCACCTGTCGCATGTCATGGAGTCCCTGACCTAGACGGAGGTGTTTCTTGAAACTGTCTAATGGCTAATCTGATATATGACTCAGATACTTGTACGGCTTGCAATGCAATTTTTTTGAAAATATAAAGCCTGTGATGTGTCCATAACACATTAACACGAACACTCTTTTAATTTACGTTAACCATCGAACATATATACGTCCAACAGAGAAAAAGTCTCATATATCACAAAATTCCATATATCTTTTAGAATATCTACATGACATTGATTTCAGTTTGGAAAATGTCTGTGTTACCACAGATACGTACTTACTGGTTGGTTTGCTGTTTAACGCCGCACTCAGCAATGTTCCAGCCATATGACGGCGGTCTGTAAATAATCGAGTCTGGACCGGACAATCCAGTGATTGATATAATGAGCATCGATCCACGCAATTTGGATACGATGACATGCATCAACCAAAACAGCGAGCCTAACCACCGATGCCGTTAGTCGCCTCTTACCACAAGCATAGTCGCCTTTTACGGCAAGCATGGGTTGGTGAAGAGCTATTCTACCCCGGCTCCTCACGAGTCTGAAATGTTAGTACAAGAACGTTGTAATTTCGTCATATGGCCACAAGTATTAAGTCATGTAAATAATATTTCCCATAGAGTGAGTCAGTTGGTTTAACGCCGCTTTGAACAGTATTTCAGTTCTATCACGGCGTGTCAGCTTGATGTGAGAGGAAAGCTCGAAGTAAATCAGGTCCCATACGTCTTAGTAATTCAGGTCTCAGGTCTTACTAGGATGCAAAGAAACCGAGGAAGCAAGAAAAAGTAGTCAAATAACTATCGTGAAATGGTTACGCAATATATCATCAGAAAATCCATTTCGGTTTCTGTGTGTCACTATGCGTATTTCAGTTTGGAAAAAAACATCAAATATTTTTCGTAGACAAACATTAGCACAGAATACGATTTTAGAAGATACAGTATATTGCTTCGTGGTTTTCCTCGTGTATATTACCAGCACGGCTTGACGGGGGGCTACTCAGTTATGTCTGGTAACAACGGGGTCTAGTGGGACAGGTGCTGCAGGGTCGTACAACGCATGCTCTCTACATTTTATCAAGGTTTAATATATCAAATTGTTCGGTTGTGATTATATCAACATATCAGGATCGCTATGGAGGCAACCACTATGGGTGATACAGGGTTGAGTACATGATGTTTGTCACATGATGCTACTTCAGTACGATCGGTGAGGCTTAGTGACTTATCTAGTGTCATGGCGGTGGCGTGGGGCGGTGATATTGCTATCCACCACTGATTTGTTTGCTTTCGACTCATTTTACAGGCTACCGAGATGTAGTCGAAAAGTTGCTGTCTACCGCGTAAAACAACATGAACGCTATTTGGGCGTTCCTAGCTTGTATATATCAGAAACAGTCTGCTGTTTGACTAATGTTGACTAATTTGTCATTTGGAAATTTCAACAATGGCTGTAATTTTCAAATGGTACCTACATCCAACTTTCTCATAAACTGTAGATACCAGTGCACAGCCGGATGCATAACAGAAGACAAACTCCGTATTGAAAGCCGCAGGAACATGGGGACCCTGCCTAGGCATACGCTTTGTCACATACATGCAAGTTGAAAAACACAGGTACAACTTCAGTCACTTCGCGTGGTTGCTGCCTCGACAAGGTTGCGATGACCGGGGCTCCAGTCTGGTGCAGTCTGCCCACCTTGGTCATGATGAAGCATGAGCGTTATAAGACCTGACACATACTTGCTGTGTGGTGCGTGAGATTAAAGCCCATGATACACATGGCGTAATTTATGTCTGGCACCAAAAGGCCTGCCCACAAACCTGTCACACGCACAGACATAAATCCTCAAACTTTCCCGCCATCTGCGTTGTTGCCAAAGAAACGTTAATAACGTCACCTTTCCGTTGGAATTAAAAAAACAATTAAATGAAATAAACTAAGGATAATAGAGTGAGTGAGTGAGTATGGCTTTACGCCGCTTTTAGCAATATTCCAGCAATATCACGGCAATATCGTGACGAGCGAACGCTTTAACCACTAGGCTACCCGACCGTCTCAAGGATAATAGAAAGTTTTGATATGGCCTTCATACATTTACTTAACATTGGTTGATGCGATTCATGTCGTGTATCACCCAGTATCATAAGCGAGCATATATTGCTCATATTTTAATTATCTTAACAGACAACATGCAGTTGTGACATAAGGAGCGGCATGGACCTATATAACGGTTATTCAGCTCCGTGGGTACGGTTATACGAAAGGCAAATCCCTTCCAATCCGTCTTGTCCATGTGGGGGGCACGGGTGGCCCAGTCGTCTAAGGCCCCGCGATTCGCTGTGCAGATTTGCGTCCCTTGGGTGCACCAGAAACCTATGATTGTGGGTTCGAATCCCGGTTCGCCTCGATTATGTTTCTATGTTTGTCAGCACCATACCCGTGCTGGTGGGTGGCACCGAAGTATTAAACGTCTGAGACCTGCATCACTTCAGCGTTCCTCCCACATTAAGCTGACACGCCGCGATATAACTGGAATACTGTTTAAGTCGGCGTTAAACCCAACTCACTCACTCACTCTTGTCCATGTGGAGACCCATTTGAAGATGTTAAACCTTTTATGCTCGAATATACATTATATTAATAGTACCTTATATTACAATAAGATAATACAATAACATATATGGTCAATATCCATATCTGACTCGAAAACAAGTATCATTGATATATCATGTTCTTTCATTACATGCTTCGAATTTCCTATTCCCCCACTGCTTTGAGACCATTAAAACTAAGAACTTAAATTTTGGAAACACTGGTCATGGTTCGTTGCACCAGAGTGTAATCTATCCCAGTAAGGGCATTGTCATAGCACGGTCTCATTCTAGGTAATGAAAAATAAGATAATTTAATTATTGGACAGAGACAGGACAACTATTTTTACATCACTGGGACTACTCATATTTCATTGGATAAAAGATGAAACATTTTGATTTTGTCCTTAGATAGTTTATTAATTAATTGTAACTGTGAACTGTACTGTAGACCTTACGGCCTTTCTACAAGTAAAACGTCTGTCTGTTTGATATGGATATACATCAATATAAAGTGAATGACATCAAACATTAGCTAACCAACTACTACTCAACAATGATTGTAGTCGTCTATGGAAATTTTGGGTAACCAACCTGTGCACACTGACTTTGATAGAGACATGGTTAGAATTGCATGAATGTGTTATATAAGGTATCCTTATCCATCATGAGCACCAATTGATAAGCCGCTGAGTGATCGGGAACCACAATGGTGCTGTGCTGTGCTGTGCTGTGTGTGTGTGTGTGTGTGTGTGTGTGTGTGTTTGTGTGTGTGTGTGTGTGTGTGTGTGTGTGTGTGTGTGTGTGTGTGTGTGTGTGTGTGTGTGTGAAGAATGTGTTCAAGAATATTTTGTATTTCTAAAAGGAACACTAGATTTCATAACTGTAAAAAGAGAACATAAAAAATTACTGTCAATGGTTCTTTTCCATCGTTAATGAACTGTCTGAATTATTCCAAATGGTATGCGCACACATGCAAATGTCATTAATTTGGTTTGGTGTCACTACCCACTGGCATATACGAGGGTCCTGATGGGTTTTAATGCTTAACGTAAAACACCCTTCAAACACTATCGTAAACGTAAAATTCATCTTTTTTTTCGTAACTGCTTAACGGAAATACCAAAAAATAGCTGCTTAACGTGAATAAATATTTTACTGCTTATCGTAAAATGATTAAAATGGTCAAAAACAGCCTGTCTTCAAGACCCAAATGCTTCGCCACAGAAAGCAGGCTGCGCAACTGACGCAGGGGACCAGTCTAGAATGTTTAGCGATTTTGAGATTTTATCCGGTATTAAAAATATGAATTGTCAGGATGAAACGAAAGCAGAATTAAAAGTCCCATGTCCCGACATGGCCGATTTAGGAATCGTTTCGGATCGAAATTACAAATTTAGATTCAACTTGACAGCTTTTACCGCGGTTGAAGGATGACAGATTGACAGCACTGGAGGTGAATTTGAACATAATCAACTGTGTGTTGAGCTTTGTCAAAGACGGTGAAAAGCTGGAACAGTGCACGGCTAGGCTTCCTCTTGATCCCGAGGCACATGCACCCTTTGATAAGTTTAAGAAACATGTACAATAGGGACACAAAGAGAAATTTTATTGAAAAAGAAGAAAAATAACTGCTTCATGAAAAAGTAACCTAAATTTTACTGCTTACTGCTTATGGGACACACACACACACACACACCCCCCATCAGGACCCTCATATACGACAGAACATACCTGCCAGGATGATGGACTGATATGGACACTGGAGGAAAGGAGTGCATTACTACAACAATTCCAAACATTCCAAAACCAGGTATACATGTAAATATAACCAAATGATATATCAACATTCATACCAACGCTATTGCAAACCTCAAGAATTGGGCTTTGTCGTGTAGTGGATAACAAACAGATGACAGATAATAAACAGGGATCAAATATCACTCAAAAGCGTTATGAATGCGGGGGCATGGGTGGTCCAGTCGTCTAAGGCGCTGCGATTCGCTGTGCAGAGTTGCGTCCCTTGGGCACGCCAGAAACCTATGACTGTGGGTTCGAAACCCGGTTCGCCCCGATTAGGATTCAAGGTTTGTCAGCACCATACCCGTGCTCGTGGGTTTCACCTAAGTGGTAAACGTCTGAGACCTGCATCACTTTGGGCTTTCCTCCCACATTAAGCTGACATGCAGTAATATAACTGGAATACTGTTAAAAAGCGGCGTTAAACCCAACTCACTCACTCATGAATTCAGTCAAAATACTTGGAAGAAACGTAAACGCTTCGATGACGTTTTCAGATGCTATGGGTTCACGATGATGCCCAACCCCCGTCTGTGATGTGGCAGAGGGATCTCCCTAAATTTACATGAAAAGAGGATCATAATTATATTCCACTTGCTGCCCACGTCCAAATCATATGTGTTCAACGTTGTATGGCGGAGGGGGTTCAGTACAGCTCGGCACGGTCTTAGAGTTGTGTGATGAAGGCGGACAAGCTGTCGCGTCACTCGCGTAAATCTCACAAATGCTGCTTTCATGGATTCTTTCCTTGATGTATATGTTGTGAGAGTCAAAGTACTTATATTTCAGAAAACCTACGACGACAAGTAACAGCATGGTGCCATAAACAGAACAGATGACAATTATATTCTGTTTGTATTCCATGTCGTTTTCTGAAACAGAGATTCACAACATTCAGATTCTTTAAATTAAAGGGTCGTTTGGAGGTTCGTGGTTAAGGCACATTGTCTTCACATCAGGTTCGGCCCCCTAATGCAAACAGCTTGTGAAACCCATTGCGGATGTCCCGTGATTTTCCTGTAATCTAGGAGAACGGTGCGAATAACCATTCATACATGTACAAACTTATTATTAACTTGATGATCACGGATCTAAAGCAACATTTAAAGCCATAGGTCACTTGTTTACCAATTCACGTATTATAATAAAGTCACTCAGCGCTTATTTGAAGGTAACGCGTTCAGGATGACTACCCTACTTTACAGTAAATCTTACTGGCTATAGCCATGATGGTACAGGGGCGGTGGGGTAGCCTAGCGGTTAAAGTGTTCGCTCGGCCACCGAAGACCCAGGTTCGACTCCCCACATGGGTACAATGTGTAAAACCCATTTCTGGTGTCCCCCGCCGTGATATTGCTTGAATGTTGCTTTAAAGCGGCGTAAAACAATACTCACTCAGAGTACAATACTCGTGTGTTTGTGGTGTGATATCGTAATACCGGTATACTTTAATATAAATGTGAATCTAAAATGATAAGTCAGCATATATCTATATGTTCAAGATAGCAGCACCTATTTTCATCTGAACATTACCCATGACATTTTACATTTGTTTGTATTCTCATTTGGAAATTATAGAAATTAGTTATAGCGTGAATGCACTCACTTTCAATGGAATAGTACATGATACAAAATCCAGATCGGGAGACGTTAGCGTTTGTAATGAGTATTAACAGGGCGCTACTCTCAGAGGTAGTGATGTCTCCAGGAGACGTGGAACCACAGAAGCGACCAAGATGGCGGCTAGTGTCCTCGTCTAATCCATCTGCAAACCAGGTATCGAGTCATGAGGAAATATATCATTGTCATTAACCAGGTATCGAGTCATGAGGAAATATATCATTGTCATAAGCCAGGCATCGGGTCATGAGGAAATATATCATTGTCATAAACCAGGTATCGAGTCATGAGGAAATATATCATTGTCATAAACAAGGTATCCAATCATGAGGAAATATATCATTGTCATAAACCAGGTATCGAGTCATGAGGAAATATATCATTGTCATAAACCAGGTATCGCGTCATGAGGAAATATATCATTGTCATTAACCAGGTATCGAGTCATGAGGAACTATATATTATTGTCATAAGCCAGGCATCGAGTCATGAGGAAATATATCATTGTCATAAACCAGGTATCGAGTCATGAGGAAATATATCATTGTCATAAACAAGGTATCCAATCATGAGGAAATATATCATTGTCATAAACCAGGTATCGAGTCATGAGGAAATATATCATTGTCATAAACCAGGTATCGCGTCATGAGGAAATATATCATTGTCATTAACCAGGTATCGAGTCATGAGGAAATATATCATTGTCATTAACCAGGTATCGAGTTATGAGGAAATATATCATTGTCATAAACCAGGTATCGAGTTATGAGGAAATATATCATTGTCATAAACCAGGTATCGAGTCATGAGGAAATATATCATTGTCATAAACCAGGTATCGAATCATGAGGAAATATGTCATTGTCACAAACCAGGTATCGAGTCATGGGAAAATATCTCATGCTCACAAACCAGGTATCGTGTCATGAAAAAAATACACCATTGTCATAAACCAGGTATCGAGTCTTGGGAAAATATCTCATGCTCACAAACCAGACATCGTGTCATGGGAAAATACATCATTGTCATAAACCAGGTATCGAGTCATGAGGAAGTATATCATTGTCATAAACAGGTATAGAGTCATGGGAAAATATATCATTGTCACAAATCAGGCATCATGCAATGGGAAAATATATCCAGGTAACAAACCAGATATCGTGTCATGGGAAAAAAACATCATTGTCACAAACCTGTGTTTGGTGTGTCTGGCGGTCTGGCAACCTACTGGTCAAAGCAATCGGTCGTCACACCATTGCTCGATTCCCCACAAAGGCATAATGCTTGAAGCCCATTTGTAGCCGCCGATGTGTGATTGACGGTGGGCGTAAGGGGGATAAAACAAGGGCAGATCGGCTTGAAGTCCATGTTAAACTGCGGCATCGTATCTCAGTGGGCTGGCACTATGTAATCAGCATTAGTCCGTCCGCACAAGCAGCCACACAGACACACAGCCACATAGACAGACACACAGACAGACAGACATTCACAGACAGACACACACATACACAGACAGAGAGACACACACAAACACACACACACACACACACACACACACACACGCACGTGCATGCACGTCGCAATATAAGAGCACTAATCATGAAGGCGACGTTAAACCTCATTTCACCTCAACATACACTGTAACCACCTGATCCTCAGCTCAGACCACATGCATGTCGTAATGGAAACATATTCTGGCTCGGGATACCCAGGTGCGTTCGATATAACTGCGAACACGTGTAAATCGGGTTGACATTATATTACTCGGGGATTCCCTTCACTCACCATCGTAAACATCAAGATAGTCTCGTGTACACCTGGCAGAACCCTCGAGATCGAAATGGGTGAAGGTTATATGGAGGGCGCTGTCAGGATCTCTGGCGTGTATGACCAAAGACCATCTGATGTCACTGAAATGAAGCGGAGCTGTCAGAGTTCGTCATTAATGATCTCATGGCGTGGTGCCGGTGTGCCTGCTCTGGTCTAAAATAAGCATGCACCATACCGATCGCAGGACCAATGTGACGTGATGGTGATGAGGAAGGAAATTATCCGACCAAAGACATATTACCTGTAACTTAGGAGTGATCTTTTTACCTTGAATAGAATACATGGAATACTTTGCCGAATAACGATTTGCAGGCTTGTCGGCAATATGACCGACCATTGACGACGTGAGGTCTTAAGCAATTGGGTCTCACGTACTCACTAGACCACCGAGGCTCACCTGCCCCAGTGACAGCTGAGACAATTGGTCTAAGGGACCGACCATTTGATATTCTTAAAACAATAATAATGCTTCAGACCGTTTGAAAAACAGAATTTGCCTGTGACATTTTTGGAAGGTATTTAAACAAATTCAGGCTCATAATTTTAAATTAAAAAATTCTGGTTTGTAGCTGTAGCTGAAAAATATCTAATCTCGATGTAAAATACAAACCCCCCTCACTCCCCTTCCACAAGCACGCACGCATGCACGCACGCACGCATACACACACGCACGCACGCACGCACGCACACACACAGAGGATTATGAAATGGTCGGTCCCTAAACCTTGTTATGTATGCAGAAGAGATGGTACTACCTACTTGGGGTAGTCTTTCGGATAGTTAAGGGAACATATTTGACGAGTAGAAGACGGGAGACCCTCTGTTCTTGCAGCTGAAACATATTTGTGCATTATATTTTAAGTGATGGACATCAATAAAAAGTAATATGACTTCATCACAGACATATTTTGAAATCGTATTCTGTATTATTGTTGTAAAGTTGCCATATTCATACTGACATACTGAATCGGAAATAGATTATCTAATGACATGCTTTACAATTGTAACTGTTCCATGGTAATGGTCATTGGAAGTTTAGGACTGAATGTATACACGTCAAGACCTTGCAAATCAGCGAATAATCTTTTTAAGATATAAAGATGGTTGGTTGGTTGGTTTTTTAACGCCGCACTCAGCAATATTCCAGCTATATGACGGCGGTCTGTAAATAATCGAGTCTGGACCAGACGATCCAGTGATTTATATCATGAGCATCGATCCACGCAATTTTGATCGATGACCACCCGATCCCGTTAGATATAAAGAATACATATATACCATCTAATATGTAATAGACACAAATTGAAAGAGTTCGACCATAAGTAGCTAAAGCATGCTTTTCATTATCTTGTATTGTCAAGAAATATTTCATTGTACTACACGCCAGCTCGTACAGATTACAATACCTTGGACAAACACCAGCTGTTTATATGACATATCAAGAAGGCACCGTCGTGAACCCTGTATCTTCACATAAATGTACATCTCGAAAGAGTCGATACAAATGTACCAAAATCACTTCTTAGACGTGAGACTGACTTGTCGAACAAAAGGAAATATTTGTCGAATAAATTAGAAAAGTTATTCTTACCCAGGGTCCCATGAATGATTTATGACAAATCTCTTTGATGTGTATATGATGCCTACTGATGTCTGCAGGCATGAATGGTTACCTTCTGTCAGCAGCCAGAGCAGTGATGCCAGCAGCATCGGACACACGACAGTAACGAACTTCATCTTGCGCTGGACGCGGCTTGTTTGAGTCATCAACCACGGCAGTGTGTGGACTAAAACATGATACCACAAGTGAGAATCATCAGTGAAGCATGTAAAGCACATATGTATGCACACAAGGGTCCTACATGCGTCTGTGTACACAACGGTTGTCGCTGAGTACATACCCATGTATAATTAAGATAGAGCTCGAGATTCCGTACGCGTCAGGTAAATCAGTCCAAACTATACCATGAACCATTCCAGGTGAAATTATCAGGATCGACGGCGAATCATTGGTAATAGATATGCCACTTTAAATTTTCCACATGGAGTTATGATGGATTGTAATTGTAGTTATGTGACTTTATGTTACGTCGGACTCTATTCCACCATTGCATCCACAGGACGTGGGCATTCAAATAATATATCCTGGGCCAGAAATGTCAGTGATGGATATTATGAACAACGTCCTACGCTGTTGGGGTAAGGGGACAAGCATTTAATCAAGTTACCGAGCCTGACCACCCGATCCATTTTTATAGGTTTCTGGGGTCCAACTCGAACCCGGAAACCCCAGGGGGCAGTTTATGGTTTGTGTGTGGACCATGTGAAATTGAAATAACCTGGGATCACGTGTGTGGCTGCTTATCGCCAGCGGGTTCTTACTTGTTCAGGATAAGTTATCTGTAGATAAGACAGGTATTTGAAATATGCCTCTATGCATAACGATTTGGGGCGGTCGGGTAGCCTAGTGGTTAAAGCGTTCGCTCGTCACGCTGAAGACCCGGGTTCGATTCCCGACATGGGTACAATGTGTGAAGCCCATTTCTGGTGTCCCCCGCCGTGATATTGCTGGAATATTGCTAAAAGCGGCGTAAAACCATACTCACTCACTCACTCACTCATAACGATTTATTGTGATAATTATTATCATTATTTACAAATTGTCTGGTTTATTAAACGTCAAAGCGTGTAGCACTAACAGAATTAAGTGGGGTCCAGAGAATACACTGTGTGTGCTTGTACCTGTACGTGAGTGAGTGTGTATAGTTTTACGCCGCTTTTAGCAATATTCCAGCAATATCACGAACCCGGGTCTTCGGTGTGACGAGCGAACGCTTTAACCACTAGGCTACCCGACCGCCCCTGTACCTGTGCGTGTATCCTAGTGTATTATATTACCTTCACGCCTTCTCCTTGAGACAAGAGTGTTCACTAGCCTACTAGTATATCAAAGTCTAGTTTCTATCTTTATCACATCAAGCCTACTTTTCTGTGCTAAAATATGAGCGGACTTTCGCACATATCGATAGTGCAATCAGGGAATGTTTCACATAACCAACATCCGCGTTCCGAAAACGGTCGCTGCTATGGCCACAGCCATCGCCTGTCGAATTGGCGCTGTAATTATCAAAAACATTAAGCAGAGATTAATATTTTCGAAGTGGTTCAAAGTTTTCAAGTCAGCACCATACTTGTGCTCGTGGGTTTCACTGGAGTGGTAAACGTCTGAGACCATTCGTCACCACTCGCTCCTTTCCGTAACCTGCAAGAAGATCGCTATTCGGCTTGTCCCGGAATAACACGAGTTGGTCACGAATGCGTCTTAGACCTGTATCACTTCGGGCTTTCCTGCCACATTAAGCTGACCTTCGCCATGGGTGAGAGTACTTTCGGGCACACGCCATGTTCACGATTAACAATATGGTTAGGGAGACACGCCTTCTCTACGGTTAACTCGTTAGTTACGGACACACGTTAATGCCAGTTACGCCTTCTCCATGGATAAAACGTGTTGGGTAGACATGCCTTCTCCATGGATAAAACGTGTTGGGTAGACATGCCTTCTCCATGGATAACACGTGTTGGGTAGATACGCCTTCTCCATGGATAACACGTGTTTGATAGACATGCCTTCTCCATGGATAACACGTGTTGGGTAGACATGCCTTCTCCATGATAAAACGTGTTGGGTAGACATGCATTCTCCATGGATAACACGTGTTGGGTAGACATGCATTCTCCATGGATAACACGTGTTGGGTAGACATGCATTCTCCATGGATAACACGTGTTGGGTAGATACGCCTTCTCCATGGATAAAACGTGTTTGATAGACATGCCTTCTCAATGGATAACACGTGTTGGGTAGATACGCCTTCTCCATGAATAACACGTGTTGGGTAGATACGCCTTCTCCATGGATAAAACGTGTTGGTAGACATGCCTTCTCCATGGATAACACGTGTTGGGTAGACATGCATTCTCCATGGATAAAACGTGTTGGGTAAACATGCATTCTCTATGGCTAATACTAGTTTTTTGTCATCATGTTATAGCAGACACTGAAAACGTCGACTGAAAAGAGTATAGCTTGCCTCAACATACGAATAATATAACACTCCTATTAACTGTTCATAGCCCTTCTTATTGCAGTTGACAGGGTATATCTATCAGTATTACATTATAACAAAATACGTTATATTCCTTTTGAGATAAATGAAAGTCCACACATGTAATTATTTTCCAATGTGACGTTGTACAAACCAGTCCCTTTATCAAGTACGTGATTAATATCTGGTTAGGGCATGGTAACAAGGCATTAATTGCATATATAGAGATGCTGGTGCCTTTATCGAGGACGTGATTAATATCTGGTCTGGGCATGGTCATTAGGCTCAGATAACAGAAGCTTGTACCTTTATCAAGGACGAGTTAGAAAAATGCTTTTCTGACTTCATTTAATAAGTACGAAACATTGCGTCATTTCACGATTCGTCCGTATAAACGAATTTCCGAAAAACTGAAACCAGCTTCTTACTGGAAGAGTTACTTCCCTTCAATTATGCAACTCATGACAGATGACAGAGCAAACAGATACATCCACTCAATCTTTATTCAAGACAAAAATCTGTTATTGAAGTTTGAACTGTACAATATTATCAAAAACATCGCAACTGACACTGACTAGCCTAATAAGTTACGTTTACAGGTAACAGGAGGTTAAACTTAAGTATTTTCGTGTGTTGTCATGCATATGTGAAACGGCCTATAGCCTGAGGTGATACCTAACACCTGTCCCGAGGTGATGACCTTACACTTGCCTGTGCATTATCACAGGTGCAAATGTTACCGGAGTGGTGGTGAACTTAAAATATTGCTGTTTTTGTTCTTTATTGAGATATGCGTTGACGGGGATAGCAATTTCAGATATGTACTGCATTAGTTTTGCTTGGGAAAAAATGGAATAGGAATGGTAAGAAATGGGATGAGCATTGGAAGGTTGTTGAATAAAGAAGTATTTGTTGTTCTGCAGATGGTTTCTTCAGCCATCATGACTCAGCTGATGACGTATCTGAATCTGTACTAGCACCCAAGGGAAGGATAATGGGAGGAATAAATCTGATATCTACGCCGTCATGTTGGCGGTACTGAAGGTGAAATGGGGTTTAACGTCGCGTCCAAGATTATAGCACTTATATAGCGACGTGCATGCACGTGTGTGTTTGGCTGCTTGTGCAAGACCGGACTGATGCAGATTCATAGTGTTAGCCCACAGAGATACCATGCCGCAGTTTAACATGAATATTCCACTCAGACACAGGATACTGACTCCGAGCCGACCAGTCCTTGTTTTAGCCCTTAAATGCCGAGCGCCAGACAGGGTAACAACAAGTACCATCTTTTAACGTCTTTTGGTATGACGCTGTCGGGGATCGAACCCCGAACCTTCCGCTCTCCGGGCGGACGCTCTAGCACTAGACCACGGAGGCGGTCTTGTGTTTGAATGTTTTGTGATGTCTTGCTACGAACCTTTTACAGTTAGACCAGGTCGGCTCACCAGGGTTGCGCTCACAATGACTGACAGACATACATAAGACAACGTGACCTTGTTGCGTTTTCAAGACATCTCTCTGCTGGCTCCTTTTTCAGTAGAATTTTCTCCATTAGAAACTTACATTTCGGATGGTCTGAAGTCGACATTGCGAGGTCTCAGATATTCCTGCATGGTCGTCTTCAGACAACTCATGGTTGCCGCGATAGTATCTGGTACCCGGACGTAATGATTGGTTGGTTGGTTGGTTGGTTTGTTGTTTAACGCCACACTCAGCAATATTCCAGCTATATGATGGTGGTCTGTAAATAATAGAGTTTGGACCAGACAATCCAGTGATTGACATCATGCGCATTGACCCACGCAACTGGGATACGATGACATGCATCAACCAAGTCAGCGAACCTGACTACCCGATCCCGTTAGTCGCCTCTTCCGACATGCATAGTGGCCTCTTACGGCAAACATTGGTTGCTGACGGCCTATTCTACTCCAGATTAAAATGTCAGAATAACATGTTCCTACTAATAATGATATTGATATCATTCAGATTAAAAGTTAAACTCACGCATGAATCTTTACATTAGGCTATTTACTTGTAGTAGGCTGTAAGTAAGTGAGATTACAGTTTTCATGCGGTACAGAAAACCTGGTAAAATGTCTCTCAAAGCACGATATCATGTAACATGTTCAGTCTCCAGAGCTGTCAAAGCTTTAGCCAAGAGAACTAGACTTACGTTTAGTCTCTGAAATGAAACTATTTGGGGATTAGTTTTGTTAAATGGTATTTTGATATAAAACGGAAACAGAAGATATTTAGACTTGCCAAAGTACTTGAGACTTGATTTGGAATATTACGGACATTTATGATTCAAGATTTGTATGAAATACTAAATTCGAACAGCAAACACGACACACTGTGCTGACCGCTTCGATCGTTCCTCCAATGTATAACGCAGGAAAAAATATTTATATTATGTAAACATCATTTATGTCACGGTAATCATACAAAATGTGGTTTGTATTCCAAGAAGTCATACAAAATACATTCTATTTTTCTTTCTTACACGGCAGTGTTACGTTTCGTCACCAAAACTGTCACACTGGAATATGTTTCAGCAACACCTTATCTTTCAAAGTTTGGGGCAGTAAAATGGAATCAGTGACTTTCTGTATGTTCTTTCCTACGAGGCGTCTCAGTCTGAAACAACAGATATCTTGGAGAAGATGTGGGTTCATCGCCACCCGCCTCATGTGCAACAAGAGTTTTCTCCCTTCTGCAGTTCTGATGAGGGGTGAATCTTTCACTTGAGTCTGGTTGTACTGGAATGCCTCGAAGTTAGGTATATACCCTGCATCTAGTAGCATGGTCCCTATGTTGACGTGTCTGGTGTAAGGGGACTGGTCTAAAAGGAAATGATGAAGCAACTGAGTGAACGGTGTTTCCCCCTCCACATTTGCCATGTCTAGTCTGACATTCAAATCCACGATTAAATACCTCGCAATGTCGTAGTAACCATGGTACACTGCCATATGGACAGGCGTGTTTCCCCACACATATGGAAATTCACCGTAGTCAACACTGGCTCCATATTTAATAACTATCTTCACGGTATCAATGTCTCCCTGTTCAATGGCTGCACACAGGTGGGTTTCCCCTCTACTGTCCCCGTCAATATCGGCTCCCCTGTCAACCAGGGCAGTAATACAGTCATCACTCCCAGCCATTATTGCCATGCCAAGTGGGGTTATGTCTGTCTTGGCGCGGGCTTCTACATCGACTCCATGGACGTCAACCAACGTCTTCACAACGTCTGCTTGGTTGCTGAGACACGCATCGTGGATAGGCAGCTTCATGAAGTACAACGTAGAGGGGTCAAAGCCGAGCTCAATCATGCTGTTCAAGACATCCAGACGGCCTGTCCTGGCAGCAATATTTAATGGGAATGCGTCAAGCTCATCTAAAGTCCGTATTTGTGACAAAATCTTCGGGACGTAAGCCACTTTGCCGCATTTCGCCGGTGTAAAATCCAGTTTTTCAATACACTGTAGCACCGCATTCTTGTCCCCATCGATAATCACTTTGTTCAGTTCACGCATTTCATTGTACAGACTTTCATGTCGGATATAGTAATTCTTCGTACTTAACTGCTGCGTCACCTCTTCAAGACTGTCGTCGCTCATGTTTAAGAAAACTGTTGTGTGTTCGCCAACTTTGTTGTTGTCGGAAGTGAAGCTGTTATAAGCTCCTCACAGCGATGCCTCGTTCCTGGAGATCTCTATGCTCTACCGGGATGATAACGAAACGTCGCGCAATGGAGCTTGAAGCTGTTTAATCAAAGGGAGGCCACTCTATTTTCAAAATGCATTTTCTTAACAGGTTGACTTTGTAATGATGATCACTTGAGTTCGAAAACTACAACATGTCAATTTTATTTTTTAAAACTTGTTCATATTTTTATTTTTTATTCTTACTATAATAGATACTCGTGTATCGATCATTAGTCTTTGAGTGGCATTTAAAAGTTTGACCTGACCGAGCAGGATGTCTCATTGCTCTCCTCTTTCTCTTCACATTTAGCTCAATCACCTTGTTTTCACCTTCATCAGTTTCTCCACCTCGTTAATTCTATTATTGTGTTATCTTCGTACATTAACCCTACCCTATAAACATAACCTGACCATATACAAACCTACATGCATAATCATTTATTCACCCGAACATGGCGAAGGGGCTAGAAGAAGCACCGAAACTTCGCGGCAAGACGCATTGAGCAACCCATCAATACTTTTATATCCTCATACTGATTTGTAAAATAATAATAATAATAATATAAGAAGAATTATAACAGGTCTGATATAGGGAGACCTATTAAAAAAATGAAGTAACTGTGTAAACTCTCTCCTCCATATTTGCCATGTCTCTAAAATTCTAATTCATGATTAAATAGCTTGCAATGTCTTGTCACCAAAGTACACTGCATCACAGGCGTCTTTCCCCACACACAATAAAAAATAACCATAGTTAACACTACCTCCATATTTGATTTGCATCTTCACGGTATCAATGTCTCGGGCTCGGAGGGGGCACGGGTGGCCCAGCCGTCTAAGGCGCCGCGATTCGCTGTGTAGAGTTGCGTCCCTTGAGCACGCCAGAAACCTATGATTATGGGTTCGAATCCCGGTTCGCCCCAATTATGTTTCTAGGTTTGTCCGCACCATACCCTTGCTCGTGGGTTTCACCGAAGTGTTAAACGTCTGAGACCTGCATCACTTCGGGCTTTCTTCCCACATTAGGCTGACACGCCGCGATATACCTGGAATACTGTTAAAAGCGGCGTTAAACCCAACTCACTCACTCACTCGGGCTCGGGCTCATGGCAGTTCTGATTCAACTCCACGATCAGCGGATCCTGGTTCAAATATGATGCACAGAAGCACTGATACATCAGTCAATTCAATTAATCATTATCAACAATAAAAGTGAACATGGCCATGGAAAAGGATGCACATATGCAATCATTTCTCATCATAAATGTCTTTCTTCACCTTCGTTTAATTAAGACTGAATCGATTGTTATCGGAGCACATACACAAACTCGAGGTGAAGACGGCTACAAACGTTCCTAGTCAACGTTAGTACACCATGCAAATATTAATCTCTTGCGAATTTAACTCCCATGGTGGACAGAATTTTGGTACTTGAGTGAGTGAGTGAGTATGGTTTTACGCCGCTTTTAGCAATATTCCAGCAATATCACGGCGGGAGTTACCAGATATGGGCTTCACACATTGCACCCATGTCGGGAATCGAACCCGGGTCTTCAGCGTGACGAGCGAACGCTTTAACCACTAGCCTACCCGACCGCCCCAGGTACTTGAAATTGACATTCAATAAAACTGCGTTTAAAGACCCCTTTTGTCCGGAAAACCCGGTTACCGGGCGATTGTGGTTATGAACGTCAACCTGTATACAGTGGACATCGTGGTGTAGTGTATAGAGCATCTGCCAAGAGAGCGGAAGGTCTGTGGTTCGAACCCTGGCCGCATCATACCAAAAGAAGTTAAAAGATGGTACTTGTTTTTACCCTGCCTGGTGATCGGTATTAACATGATTCAGGGGATAAAGCATGGATTGGTCGGCTCGGAGGCAGTTAACTGTGTCTGTGTGGAGTATCCATGTTAAACTGCATCATGGTATCTTAGTTGGCTTGCACTAAAAAACCCGACATATTAGTTCGGACAAGTACAGTCGCACACACACACACACACACACACACACACACACACACACACACACACACACACACACACACACACACACACACACACGTGCGTGGCGTGTCATTTTGACACTTTCAAGGAAAGTCGATTAATCTCTGTGGACGATTATTTCTGTCAATTTTATTAATTCTACTTGTCATACAGTTGTGATGTGTATCCTTTGTGCATGGACGGGCGATGCGGCGTCTCCGCCCGCGCAGACGTTTATATGTCTACGTTGCATTCTGACACCCTGTGTGTACACGTACCAATATCTATACTGGCACCCAGTGTGTGTACATATACCACTATATATAGCTACGTTGTATAATGACACCCTGTGTCTATATGCACCGACATACACAGCTATTTTCCATACAGACACCCGGTATGTGTACATGTACCAATAGTTACAACTATGTTGTATACTGACACCCTGTGTGTTCATGGACCTGTATATGCACCTATGATCTATAAATGTATGACCCGTGAAGATCTGCGGTAGAACAGGTCATCAGCAAAAAGGCGACTATGTTTGCCGTAAAAGGCGACTATGTTTGCCGTAAAAGGCGACTATGTTTGTCGTAAAAGGCGACTATGTTTGTCGTAAAAGGCGACTATGTTTGCCGTAAAAGGCGACTATGTTTGCCGTAAAAGGCGACTATGTTTGCCGTAAAAGGCGACTATGTTTGTCGTAAAAGGCGACAATGTTTGCCGTAAAAGGCGACTATGTTTGCCGTAAAAGGCGACAATGTTTGTCGTAAAAGGCGACTATGTTTGCCGTAAAAGGCGACTATGTTTGCCGTAAAAGACGACTATGTTTGCCGTAAAAGGCGACTATGTTTGCCGTAAAAGTCGACTATGTTTGCCGTAAAAGGCGACAATGTTTGCCGTAAAAGGCGACTATGTTTGCCGTAAAAGGCGACTATGTTTGCCGCAAGAGGCGACTAACGGGATCGGTTGGTCGGGCTTGCTGATTTGGTTGATGCATTAATCGTATCCCAATTGCGTGGATTGATGCTCGTTATATCAATCACTGGATTGTGTCCAGACTCGATTAATTACAGACCGCCAACATATAGCTAGAATATTGCTGAGTGCGGCGTTAAACAACAACAAACAAACGAAAAACAAATTTTATTACAGTCTCCAGGAATAGCCTATGTATTTTAATCCAAAGGTGTGATTATAATGTAATAATGGTGTACAGCGGGATGAGACTGAAATAAAACATCTGCCCGCCGTCATATAGCTGGAATGTTGCTGAGTGCGGCAACAAACAAACAAACAAATCTATAAAATTAATGTATCTCACGAAACAATATATGCACCTATGTTCTATACTGTTACCTTATACTTACACATACCAATATATACGGCAAAGTTGTACACTGACATCCTCGGTGTACAAGTACCAATATATACTGCTATGTTCTGTACTGACAACCTGTGTTTTCATTTGTACGAACACTCCTCGGTTTGGGATGATACGGTAAAACCTACAGCGAGGGAAAAGCCCGAGGGCTTATCCGAGCTCGAAGTTTTCCATTTTCAACCCAAGCCGAGGAGGAGTGTTTTAAATATAACGTAACTGTCACTTTGACAATGGGACGTTTTATGAATCTGGCGTTTTGTCTGCTTTACACAACAACCATAGCTAAAGGTATGACCTGTATACTGTCTATGAGTGTTGTGTGTTCTTACATTATAACATGTTATCATCATTCACATTGATATAAAGCGAAACCCCGTTGGTGCGGAAACCTCGCCTTCGGGACGATTTATAAACAGGTTTACATTTACAATGTACTTGCAATGTTGCTCTTATCCGTGATTGTCGATGATTCGTTAATCCTGTTTGTTAATCTATTTTACCCTAAAGGTAATACTGTCCAGACTCACAGGGTATCACTGTATTTGCTCAGCCTGTTTTGTTACTCTATATTGAGTTATTATAAAGTGTATAATAGAGTTGTGTTAGGAATGCAATAGCTGCATCATGCCCTCGTTATACCCTTCATGCTTGAATAGCCAGTAAACAGGTTTGTGTGATGTGACCTTGGCCGTGAGTGAATGTGTTTATCTCAACAGTGTAGACAGCAACCTTTAATTATTCTGTCATTGCACATTAGAATATGTAAATAATAACTCTTTGACTATCACAGGTCAGGAAACTGCATTTGATTGTGTAAGCAATTTCACTTTAGAATCTGTAAATGATAACTCTTTGAATATTTTGCCTGCAGTTGATTGTTTTGTTGTATGCAGATGATGCTGTCTTATTCAGTGAAGACCCTGCAGACCTACAACCATCAGTTGACAATTTGCATAGATATTATTCACGGTGGAAATTAAATGTAAACTTGTCCAAAACCAAGTTTGTCTGGAAGCGGGCCTGAACTATAATACTCAATACACCACAAAACTAAAATAATAGTTATAGCCTTTATTCCCGTAATACAACGTCACCAGAAAGTCTTTAAACTATACATTATATAATCAAAAGAAATAGAAGAAAATGCACCAACAGGAAGTGACGTCAGCAGAAGAAACGTATTTCTTCTGCTGATAGTTATTATTTTGTGGTGTGTACTAACTACTGTTTACTGAAACCTACGTTATCAACACACCACAAAATTAAAATAATAGTTAAAGCCTAAATATAGAACTACTACCAGATATTTAACAGAAAATGCATGCATTCTGCAAAATGTATATATGAAATTAACGTTTTATGTAATAGACATCATCGAAACATCATAAATGCAAACAATAAACTTCATTTTGTCAAAACATCAGTCGTGTAAGAGGCAGGGGTTTTACTGTGTACATAGTGGTCAAAGAACACTGATTTTGTCTTCCAACGACTTATGCGCATAATTGTATCTGGTTCAAACCCCATGTCTATAGCCTTAGTCGCCCCCGTCGGCCGAAAAGATTTAGCTGTATAACATCCACCTTAACCTGCAAATCTGATTGCTTCGTTTAGGATCGAACCGACTGTAGCAGCAGTTATTGCCTTGTAAGTTCGTTGTAGAAATACTGGCATATCCTGTTTGGGACTAACACCATTTCTCCGTTCTCTGTACACTTTAAGAGCTTCAACTGGGTTAACTTTTCTCTCTGATCCTGGTGGGAGATGTACCTCGAATCCTGACCTGTCAGCGTCCTTCTTTATACCATGCAACCATATGGTTGCGCTATCATCATCATGGAAAAGTACATCATCAGTTGAAAATACCACTTTTTTTCACATTGTCATTGGGATCAAACACAACGACTTTAGGGGCTATGTCCGAGGGTCTCAACATTAATGTTAAAGACAACAATACAATAACCTTTAACCTTAACAATTTAAGCTGTAGATGCAGATTGTTTGGCCATTGACGAAATAAATTGATAAACGGTTCCACAGGCATGATCTTTGACCGTTTACGGGGTTGTAGAGTATTAGATTTAATCAATGCTTTGATCATATTGACTTCGTAATCTGACTCCTCGTTCGCACATTTGAACAAGTGAGTGAGAGCAGCGACTGTTGTCTTTGTTTGAGATAATGGTCTAGATGAACTATCAGCTATTGAGCACAAAAAGTCAACTATAGTTATTTCATCACATCTCGGAAATGACCGTTCATTATCATGACACAATTGTTGTAGTTTCTGAATAGCTCCGTTGTACACTTTAAGAGTGCTTGGTGGCAGACAAAGTGGTAGTTGACTTATGGCCCTGTCTGACCAACCTTTTTGTTCTAGATTCCGTCTCCACACACTCTCCAGGCGTATAGGCGCCATTTGTGATTTCTCAAAGGTTCCACCTTTCTCGTTGAACTTAGAATTGTCCAGGAGGTCTTTGGAATTCGAATTGGGGGACAGGTCAATATCTTTCTCAATTTGTGAAACCACGGCCTGTTTCTCCACGCAGGTGCTATGATAGTCGCGATTACTTTTTCCTGGATGACCTTGTCTATGACCTTTGGTAATAGACGGAAGGGCGGATTCACAAAGTTGTTGTGAATCCCCCAGTTTGCTTGAGACAAAGCGTTCACTCCTGAACTGCCCGGGTCCCAAAATCGACTGTTGTATGTTCCCAGCTGAGCATCTGACATGGTCGCAAACCGGTCTATTGAGTGGGGTCCCCACAGTTTGTCTATGTATTGAAATAGGGCTGGATTCAGTTGCCACTCGTATAGGTCTGGGAGACGACTGAGAGCATCTGCTTCTAAATTCTTGCATCCAGCCAGGAAGCCTGCTTGAATATGAAGGTCGTACATGTGAGCCACCATCCATATTGATTTCATGATATTTGTCAGGGGCAGACTTGGACCTCCCAGTTGATTTATGTAGCATACTGCAGATATGTTGTCAGACAGAATCTTCACAACTTTTCCTTTTAAACTTGGACCAAAGGTGTGCAACGCCATGATAATGGCTAACATCTCTCTGTTGTTTGAGTGAAGTCTGCTTATCTGTGGAGGCCAGCATCCTGCTGCCTGTTTCCCGTTGCATACCGCGCCGTAACCTGTCGAACTTGCGTCGGTAACTATTTGCACTTCAGGTTGTCGAATGATTATGCTTTGTCCATTCCAGTTATCAAGAGCAGTAAACCACCACAACATATTCTCCTTAGCTGGCGAATCTAGTGTCAATTTATCGCCCCAACTATTTCTTCTACTAAGAAGTCTGTATGTATTTCTGAGCATTAGTTTCCCTGGGGCAACAGCCCGGAACATTGATACACACTGACCAGAGATGCGAGCCAACTCTCTGGCCTCAATCCTAGGTAAATCAATACAACGCCTTATGTCTTTTTTCAGTTTCCTTACCCGTGATGATGGGATTCTCAACTGAGATTCAACTCAATTCTCCGTCTGTGCACACTATTTAACCCAAATAAGACTTGGTGTTGCTTGGCTCTAAGTCAGACTTATCCCAATTGATAAAAAACCCAAGCTTTGAAAGAGTGTTCACTAACTGTTCGTTTTGTGCAGGAGTACTCATAAGTAGAATGTCATCTACATAACACACAACTCTCAATCCAAGAGATCGCAGATACGTAACAACTGGTTTGAATATTTTACAAAAATAGTATGGAGCTATTGATAAGCCAAATGGGAGAACCTTCCATCGATAAAATGTATTTTGACACTGAAACCCAAGATAATCTCTGTCATCTTGGTGTATGGGTATATGATAAAATCCGTTTTTAATGTCAAGGGTAACTAAACTATCACCTGCTTTAACACACTGTCTAACCGTTCTAATGTCCTCACATTGGTATCCCTGTTTTAAGCATGCACTGTTCAGCTCCCGTAAATCATGTAGCAATCGTAATTTCCCCCCCCCCCCCTTTTTAGGCGATACACATTTTGGTTTTCGACAGCATATCTCAATTGCTCCCGAACACGACAATGCCCGAATTTCACTTGTCACAAATTGATATTGTTTATTACTGAATTTGTGGTTAGACAGCTGAAAAGTTTGTGGTTCTTTAGTAAATGGTATTTTTAGGCCACCATAAACCCATTTACAAACATTATCTGGAGCTCCTATCTCACGCCATGCATCTTTGTGTCGTTGAATATTACCTGCCTTGAAATGTAGGGTCGTTTTTGGAAAACACATTTAAAACATCAAATGTAAAATACCTAATCGAAATGTTTTAAAGCCGAAACATACAAATATTTCTAAATGAACATAAACTAAGACACTTGCATAAAATAAAAATAAATAAAAAATAAACATAATAATAGAGAAAGAAATTAAAACATATCAGTCTAAGGGAGGTAATCCAACCTCTAACTAACACAAATGGAAATCTAGTATATACAAAACAAGGGAGACTACTTTTGTCATCTTATACGCTCTCTTGGCAATTTTCAAACGTTTAACAATTTTATACAATGTTATAAAGAATATATTTAATGTCTGACTCCAGTAAAATCAAAGTTTCTTCCTTGACCGCTGACATTTTATAACTGGAATTTGTTGCAATGTCTTTCGATATTTATTGTCCCCCTTCATTATCGCGAGTGGTAGGGATGTTTCGACCCGTGAACACGTCTTGTGAAGAATGTGCTTGTCGAAAGTTAAAGTCACCGCGTCCAAATCCACGTGATCTGAATCCTCGGCCTCTTTGTCGGAACGGAAAGCGTCCACGGTAGGATCCCCGATCTTGCTGTACTGATACTGAAGCTACGGCTGCAGCGTTTCTCAGGTCGTTTATTGTGTCTGGAGTAAAACCAGAGGTATTTCTTCTAAATGTTCTGAACAATCGTGCGGTTTCAGGGTTAACAACACCACCAACTAAAAGAGCAGCATATTCATCTTGTAGATAACGAATATTAGCTAACAGTACAACATAAAGATCCTGAATATTCTCACTGTCATTTGACTCAATGCTTTGTAATATTTTCAAACCGGTTTCAATATACCGCGCACACTTTGCTATAATAGAATAGGTTGTTTGGTCCTGGCGTTTTATTCCTCCGCGAGAATCCTGCAGTTTGTGATCGGCAGCTAGCTTGACACGTTGATAACTGTCCTTGATTACTTGAATTTCAGACTGCACATTAACTGCATTCGTCGCATGTTGTCGTGTTGTGCCGGTGGCGACTTCAGCGTTGCTAAAACCGGGACTCGGTGAACTCGACGCACCTTGGGGAGCATGTCCGCCATTTTGGGCATTCAATTCCAGAGACTGTTGTATCAATGCGTTGGTATGCTGTTGACTCCGCAATAAACATTCGAGAGTATCTTTTATATCTTTCCTGATATCATCTTGATAGCTTTTCTCAGGACAGTGTTCCTCAAAAGACATACTAAACTAGTAAAACCTACTATATTTTTGTTGCAACAGCGTAGGTCGACTCGCTGGCGACGTTGCACCAACAGGAAGTGACGTCAGCAGAAGAAACGTATTTCTTCTGCTGATAATTATTATTTTGTGGTGTGTACTAACTACTGTTCACCTTCGGCAGTCAAGCTATAGAAATTGTCGATAATTATACTTACCTTGAAAAGTTGCACAGAAACGGCAGATTTGTAGAATTATAGCAGAAAATGCAACAAAAGCTATGTTCTCATTATTGAAAAAGCACGCAATATTAATTTGCCTTTGGATTGTTTAATATCCACATTTGACACTTTGATTGACCCTATCCTAATGTACTGTTTTGAAATCTGGGCTTTTAAAAACATTTAATAAATCGAAAAGGTTCTTTTAAAATTACTTAAACTGGCAGCAGGTCTTATGATTTATGAGGAACTCCGAAGGGAACCCCTCTATATCAAAATGTACAAAGGTGTTATTCTATTCTGGCATTAAATGGCAATCTACACTATTTACAATCTACAGTTTAATCAAAATCCAAAATTAACAAATATTATTAATAAATTCATCACCCGTAACTACGTTGGCATCTCTGAAAAACGTACATGGACATCTTTTGTCAAGAAAATATTAAACAACTGTGGACTCGGTGACAACCCATCATGGCTAGCTGTGAGAGTTGAAGAAATACTGAAAGATCAGTTCCTGTAGAACTGGCACAGTTCCATTACTGAGTGTCTTAAGGGTGTATAAAATGTTTAAAGAAAATGTAACCTTTGTTTTCTTTATCTACCTGAAAACGTTTATCACCCTATCTTAAAATTAGAACTACAAACCATAACTTACCAATTGAAATTGGACGCTGGTCTGATGTCTCAAGAGTGGAACGTTTGTGTAATTTACGTAGTTCTCCGGCGGTTGGTGACAAGTTTCATAACCTATGTTACCTATTCAGATGTGAAGCGCTTCTCCAGTGGCGGTCTTTGTCCATATCTAAAGATATCTCCGAATGGACTTATATGTATATATTGAAAAAAAAGTTTTTTCCAGCATCAGAGTAAAAGATATGAAACACTTGTCGGATGAGATTCTTGTCACTTTAATCTGGTCATATTTCATTGTAACTTTTATTCACTCTATGTATATTCACAATACCCCTGTCATTTATTATATGTGAACTAATATTATAATTTGTTTCCATGTACCACCGTTGGTTTGTCTTTCTGAGAATAAACTGAACTGAACTGACCAGAACTGGACTGTTAGTCAGTATTGCGTCACAACAGGATTTAGGAAAACGATATGTGATCCGACATTTCGTCTAAACTAAAATGCTAGAAACGTTTTGTTTTGTATAATATTCCTATAATTGTTGCAGGAAATACTATGGCTACTCATGGCAACATGAAGCAAGTCACGGTTCGCGCCTCTATTCCTAATAAGCTAGGAAACATACAACATGATGCTTTCTAACACTGTTCAATGATGTTGATGTAACGATATCAGTAATATTTCAACAACCGCTGCATCTCAAACGTGGTGCATGTAGTAGTAAGCATGCATGATGATGATGATGATGATGATGATGAATTATTTTTCTTGACAAAGATATCAATCATTTGAAATCTTTTTGTCAGCCAAATGGTGTGATGAGACCTTCCTTGCAACACCCATGGACAGTCTGAAGGAACCTGTGGTTGGACGGTAAGATAGATAGCATTAGGAGCTTGGCCTTCGAGCATATTTTAATTGTTTCTTTTTTCCATTTTGGATGTATGACTCAATTATTCAGTGTTCATAGTGTGTGAGTCACTGTTTGCATACATCACATCGTCATCACCGTAGGAGGAATATAGGAGGTTGAGTGGATTTAGTTTTAGGATGTCATTATCAGGGCGAATCTGGAATTCCAACCCCCAACCAACGTATCCTGGCATGCAAGGAATGCACCTCTGCAAAGTGCTTTCCGGCGCCTGAGACAGGGCCACGAATTCTTAAGACACGTGTTCGATACGTTACATAAGTATTTCTACCCATATCTGACTTGCAAGAGTTGATTTAGTGATTTGTGCATCGTAAAATATATGGTCATATATCATTCACATTCATTGATCGTTATGCACAGACTTGAGCGCACATAAATACATAACGTCAACATCAATCAGTCTCGATTACATGCCGAAACAGATTCCTTTGGTCGTAAATAGCGAAATAGTGGTGAAACTAATATAAATAACATATGAACATATGGATCACTGCAAATGGTGATGAAAACCAGGTGTTCAAATCTACACATGTATACCGACACCTTAGAGTGTTAATACTAATTGTTGTTTGCGTTGTTAGAGGAGACTACTAACTTGATAAGTGCACTACCTTTTCAGAAGAGGGACGTGCACAATGTCAATAAAGGGTAAAGCTGCAATCGGCGCTATAATCGTGACTTTCAAGAATGTCAACTTGACGTACCACGCGACATGTGACGTCAGTAACAGCATCGCCGTACACGATGGCGGTAAGAACACTACAACGGCAATATTACGTACATATATGTGCATGTGTTTTTAATAGGTCCTACATGATAGCTTAATTAGTAAGATGATGTCCTTCAATAGTATAGTGATATCATTCAATAGTGAAGTGATATCCTTCAGTTGTCAAGTGATATGCTTCAATAGTCAAGTGACATCCTTCAATTGTCGAGTGATATCTTTCAATAGTCATGTGATATCCTTCAACAGTCAAGGGACATCTTTCAATAGTCAGATAATATCCTTCAATTGTCAAGTGATATCCTTCAGTAGTCCAGTGATATCCTCCAGTAGTCCAGTGATATCCTTCAATAATCAAGTGACATCCTTCAATTGTCGAGTGATATCTTTCAATAGTCATGTGATATCCTTCAACAGTCAAGTGACATCTTTCAATAGTCAGATAATATCCTTCAATTGTCAAGTGATATCCTTCAGTAGTCCAGTGATATCCTCCAGTAGTCCAGTGATATCCTTCAATATTTAAGTGATATCTTTCAATAGTCATGTGATATCCTTCAACAGTCAAGTGATATCCGTCAAAAGTCAAGTAATATCCTTCAATAGTCAAGTGATATCCTTCAATAGTCAAGTGACATCCTTCAATAATCAAGTGACATCCTTCAAAGGTCAGGTGATATTCAAAAATCGCAAAGTATCCTCCAATAGTCAAAGGTTATGAAGTCCATAGTACGATGATATCCTTCAGTTGTCAGATGATATCTGTCAATAATCATATGATATCATCCAATAGTCATAACCATCAGGGGAAATGGGTTATCCTAGTGGTTAAAGCGTTTGCTCGTCACGCGGAAGGCCCGGGTGACAATATAATTATGAAGCCCATTTCTGGTGTCCCTTCTTGATATTGCTGGAATATTGGTAAAAGCGGCGTAAAACCCAACTCACTTTCTCACTCACTCAGATCTATCGATAACACGAACCTTAAAGCTTCGCTCACTTCCAAATCAAATCATTTAAACATGAGGCCATGTTCGATAATAAGGGTACAAGCTCCATCATGAATGCTTTTTGGTGCCTCTTCTTTACAGATTCATCCGGCGCCATCCTCGGTTTGGTTTGTGGCAACTACACAAGCACCTTCCAAAGTTCCGGCAACGTCCTCACTCTGCGCTATCCCTCGGCTGAAGTAACGGACACAAACGCATTTGATCTAGAATATCGACAATCGGGTTTGTACGGCAATTCCTTGGATAATATGTACTATAGAAAGGTACATATACATGTACATATACATGCAATAATCACTAGTTGTCGCCCAAGGTGGCTGTAATGGGGATTGGATGTCACGAATGGCTGCTGATTATGGTTTACAAAAGCTCAAACTGTCGACTGTGACTTGTCTTCTTTCCCTTATATTACACTTCGCATAGTGTCATTATTATATAAGGGACAGTACACCCATATTCAAATTATCCGAATGACTAAGGGAAACTCTGCTCGAGCCGGAAGTATTGTGACCACCGTGTATTGTTTTCCTTTGTTTGATACAAACTGCTATTATATGACCATATACAGTACCGATATCGTATTAAGCTATATATTGAGATAAATGAGTAGACCTATCGAAGGTTCACTGTACACATAATAGGAAGTAAGAAACAACACTCACAGGGACGGTAATGCAGTAAATCCGAGTCCTAAAGTGAGCACCACTTTCGGATTCCAGTAACCGATGTTGGTAAGAAGTGACAAAATGGATGGGATGGCCAAACTGGGTGTCTTGTTTTGCGCCTCATCGTACCCTATCCGCTAGATCGCAGCTCATAATATCAATCACTGTTTGTCTGGTCACTCGATTGTTTGCCAACCGCCGTCAATTAGTTGGAATACTGGTGAGTGCGGCGTTAAACAACACACGCACAAACAAACAATTTCCAGTAGGACAATAACACAATCACAGAGGCAGTGGCGCTTCACCTTACAGTTTATAACAAAGCTCTCACGCGTTTGTTCGCCTAAAAATCACCCGTCTAGCGAATGCAAAACAAGGACAGATAAGTATGTTTTTAATAGAGCCTATTGTCTGAGACCAGAATCAGACGCAACCCCTTGGTATAGTCGGTCTTTTGCGCCGGGAGATCGAGATCAAAGCCAACTCTACGTTCTACTTGTATGTTATTAACCTTTCTGTTGTCACTGGGTAGTTAATCTACCCTTGTCTTGTCTTGTGACCGCACTGCTTCCTCGCTTTATTTCCGACATAGTAGTTAGTTCGACAATACTAGGTATATGCATTTAACTTACATGTTACAGGGGTATGTCCAATAATATGTATAATCCCTGAGGGGGCACGGCTGGCCCAGTCGTCTAAGGCCCCGCGATTCGCTGTGCAGAGTTGCGTCCCTTGGGCAGGCCAGAAACCCATGATTGTGGGTTCGAATCCCGGTTCGCCCCGATAATGTTTCTAGGTTTGTCAGCACCATACCCGTGCTCCTGGGTTTCACCGAAGTGGTAAACGTCTGATACCTGCATCACTTCGGGCTTTCCTCCCACATTAAGCTGACACGCCGCGATGTAACTGGAATACTGTTAAAAGCGGCGTTAAACCGAACTCACTCACTCACTCACTCACTATAATCCCTGAAATGTTCAGTACATAGTTTTCATGTCTGATTCACTCGGGCAATATACATAATCCCTAAATGTCAAGTATTATAATATTCCCTCAAGTTTTTTTTAGATATATTCCCTGACATTAGATCCTTCTTCATGTTATATTTAAGTATACAGCTTGATAATATTATATTATGGATGTCAAATTCTTATTTACCTGTTTGTACAATGTATATAGCTAATGTTTTTCAAATCATTTACAGACATCAGCTGTTATGGGCCTTCGGTGACCGCCGTGTCATCCACAGAGTACAGCATCTTTTCTGTCGGGTACCCTGTTGGTGTTCTGGTGTAAGTAATCAGCTTGCAACGGTCGTTCGTGAGAACCTTTCACTTCCTACTGGAGAGAGGCTGGCTACTCAGGGCATGAGCAGTGCTTGCTTCCTGACGGGCGTTTGTACCATCCAAGCCATTGAAAATGATAGACGCTCAGGTCATCCTGCTTGCCAGATGTATCCTCCTTTACAGTTGCATGAAACAATCAACAACAGAACGAGACTTGTAGCTTTAATTTAACCACTGCTGCATAAAACCTGTAGTTACCACGTCGTTCATACATTCATGTAAGCTACAGTCCGTTTGACTCCAAATGAGAACGATGTATTGCAAAATAACTCGAAATCCAGAAAAGTGTATGAAACATCAATACGGTACTTGACCATGAATACCCTGTACCCAACAAAATCTGAATTTATTTATTTTAAGACCCATGACGGATGAAGTTCTTTAAGAAACTATCATGTAATTTTGTATAGAAATGTGTACATGACACGTAGGAGGACAAACCGCGGAAGGAACAGTGCAAGCACGCATGCACTGCACGTTCTGTGGTAGGGAAAATGAGTCAAACGGACTGTATCTGTGAATCATATTTACGTGTTAGTAGAAATGAATCTCCTGTGCACAGTTAAAGCATGATCTGATAAAAAAATATGGTATCCTAAGGTATCCTAAGGTCACCTGCAAACAGCTTGTGTTTTAAGTATTTTAAAGAAGATATATTTAATTCGTTTTATGTAATCATTGACTTCTTACCTCTAAAACTGCATTATGTATAAGGCTTTTACATTAGATGACTTGCTTCAAAGTAAGAAGTAACACATCTACACACGGTGGTCACTTGACTGTGAGGGAAACATTATGGTGAGTGATTGAGATTTACATCGCATGGCCAATATTTTCAGCCATGTAGCGTTGATAACAGTAAAACAGTAACACAAATATTTAAGTTGAAGTTTAAAACAAACCACATCAAAATTTAAACACATAATTACTCAAGAAGTTAGGGTGTATGAATTAATACAAGGCCATAGACCAACATCAAACAAAGCTAGACCATCTTATGGGGATCATGGTGAAATTACTACTGATGTATTAACTTGAATAAGTAAATGAATAAGTAAATAAATGGCTGTGGTCTCTCGTTCATATTTTCTAAATTATCATTCTTCTACAGATCGCGCTCGTGCTATTGGTTTGTGAGGGCACCCGAAGGTCAGCGAGTTCGTGTCTCCATAGAAACCGCTGGTGATGTCATCAGCACGTGTCAAGACGTCAACATCAGATTTGGAAACTGTAATGATTTTTCAGTATTTGTACATAATCAAGTTTCTAAACGAAAAATATAGAATGGCAAATTCTCTCACACATGGTGACTCTTAAATGGCGCTAAAGTAACAACCGAATTGATATTCCCTCTATTGATGAAGTGAACGTTTTTTTCGCATTTTAAGCATACTCCATTTATCCGGGCTTGTCGGCTTTCCCTTTTCGCGAACACCTGGTGCCATTACTTGTTTTCAGGGATCCATTCATATTATTTCCCGCGCTTTTTTTTTTATCGTTTTCGCTATACTCATGACTGTTTTTTCCATGGCATTGACGTTTTATATACAATGTATATTTGTTTTGAGGCAATGGTAAGCTTTTTGGAAAAAAAGTGCTTCTGAGCAATGATGATGTAACCTTTTCCATTTTATGCTACAGCTTACAGGTACTTGAAGAATGGGTATGTTTGGTGCCCTGGGAAGACCAATGTCTATCAAAGTTGGGGGTTCATGGCATTACTGCGGTTGAAGATACCACCGGGTTTGAGTATACGTGCCAAGTATAGAGCCCTCGAAGGTTCGCCATACACTGATACTTTAGCCTTAAATCAGTCTTGCTTGACAACGGTATAAGGATCTGTAACAAAACGTCGCTTTTTACAGTATTTAAAAAGTTGTTATCCATAAGATTGTGTCTACCCTGTACTTTAGCATTTCTAACAAATCTGTACATCACTGTGATGCGCCCTTCACATATGATTTGCTGCATTTATACCTTCATGTAATCATCGAGCTATGCAAATGGTTAGGAGATGTGACAGCGTTGTGCTTTCCGGCGTGGACAGTGTTTCAGTTTATCCGCCATGTAGCCAGCTTCATGCGAGAGGAGGGCCCGAAGTGATGAAGGTCGGGGACGTGTACCATTGTGATGAAACCAATGATCACGGGTATGGTGCTGACAAACCAAGAAACATAATCAAGGCGGATATTGGATTCGAACCTACGACCGTAGTTTTCTGGGAAGCCTAAAGGGCGACATTCTGCAAAGCAATTGTAGGCCACCCATTAAACGATTTAAATGATTTCTTTTCAGGGTCTACATGTCGTGGTGATTTCCGGGCAACACAAGAGGAACAATTCCTTATGACACCGGGATACCCAAATCCTTTTCCAAGGTACCGCTTCACCGTTTACCTGTACACGATGCAAAGGATTGATAAACGTCTGATATTTGCAATCTTTGATCAGCTTCTCCCTTATTGCATTTAAGTTACCTTTTCAGTTGAACTCAATTCAACACAAACACAGCCTTGCTAAGTTTAGGGTAACAGCAATCAAGACAGTGCAATGTTTACTATGTTAATTGTTAGTTTTGTTACAAACGTTTTCTTAAGTTGTTGTACTGCTGACGTGACCTAGAATCTATTGTGATGTTTTAAGACCACGCGTTACTTGAGGTCTTCCAACCTACTGGTATGACTATTCTTTATCAAGCGAGTTTACTAATTGTGTAACTTTTCAATCCAAACAACGTAGATATACAAGGCAAATAAGTGATAATCTGCATGTATATTTCATGTATCTATAGGTAAATTGTTTGATAGGCATTGCTTAGAAGTTGACGGATGGCAAAATAGACATAATTTATCTATACCGAAAAGTCGCCTTTACAGTAAAATATAGAAGTGGTTATCCATAAATTGTGTCTACTTGGTATCCATAGTTACCTTGAATGTCGATGGGAGATAAAATCCCCTGACCCCACCAGTGGCAGTATCCGGATAGATGTCCTAGAAATGGAGCTCGTGGAGACGGATGGGTGTTCGTCAGATGTCATCAGGATTTATGATGGTAATCGTTGTCTGAAACCGACAGTTGTAAACCACATGATCAGCATTTCTATTTGCGAAAAACATATATTTGACTATGTAAGGAAATTTATTATTCATTTTGCATGTCACTATATGTAACTTTATATATAGATGAAGGTTGTACCCCGTGGGGCGTCTGGGTTAAAATTACCGCCCCCCCCCCCCCCCACCCCCCCCCCCCCCCCCCCCCACCCCCCCTTGCTTGTCGTAAGAGGCAACGCTATGGGCTGGTGGTCAGATTCGGTGACTTGGTCCTCGCCTTCATGAGACGTTGCTCATTATATGCATCACTGGATTATGTGGTCCAGACTTGATTATTTACAGGCCGCCATCATATAGCTGGAGCATGTCCGTGCTCGGCGGTAAACAACAAATAAGCTAAAGGCTACATATTTACTGAGTTATTATATGATCTATTATATTCTATGTACAAAACGTACTATCATCACTAACACTTGGTTTTATGGGCAGTTGTTGGTGACAAAGAATGTACTTTCTCACTCGTTTGTTGCCACCACGTTCTCACGACCACGTAAAACATAGTTATATATATACTTTATTTGGAACTTTTCCTTCAAAATGCAATGACTATCCTTTGTGTTTTAGGGAAATCAAGATACAATAGGCTTGTTGCAACAGCTTGTCGAGGACCTGCAACATTCTATGTGTATGGACATTCAGCAATGGTCCAGTTCAAATCATTGAGAGATCGTAATACTAAATCAGGTTTTAAGCTGAAGTATTACTATACCAGAGGTATGTTATACCGAGTAAGGGTACTGTTGTTTGTTTTAGCTTTGTCCTTTCTCCCAGACCCATAACAGATACTTACTTTATCCTGGCACACTCTTCTTATTTTGGTAAACTTGGCGAAGTAGAAAAACAACTTTAACAAGTTATTCCATGAGTATTATCCTAGACTTTCACTGCGATGCATGTGACGAGGCTTAGCAAATCATAGCAAGAAATATGTTGGTATATACTGAACCAAACAAAGTTAGATATTAAGGATACAGAATATCCCCCAAAATATCGAGGCCTAGCATTTTTTCAGTATATATACTGTGCGATCAAGATATAAAACCCGAGGACTTCATCAACAAAAATCCCAGGCTGCCCCCTAGGACGCTGTCACATGGTTGACAAAGAAAACGCCAATCTAATGAACTCGATCAGTTAAGTAAGAAATTTAGATTCAGCCCATGACGTTTATTCTTGTTTATATTATATTCTAATTAAAAAACAACAACAACATTGTTGTGAAAGATATTATTACTGAGAGGATATGCATGTACCTTGTATCAGTGTCGTCATTCATCAGTTAGTTGTACATATTAATTCTTGATCTGCCTCCAGCTGAGCCATGCGGGGGAAGTCTCGTTGCCACCTCTACAACGCAGAATGTTACATCACCAGGATACCCCGCCAACTATCCCAAGTAGGTAACCATGAATTAGTGCACTGTGTTTATGTTCTGCGGCCCTTGAATTGACACATTCATGTATGGCAATACCGTGCGTGTACGTCCTGATTGTGGGTCTGGCATCATTCACTTTGCTCAAGATCCATTCAAGAATGTATTCAAATCTCACAAGTCAGCCGCATGATCAAGTTGAGCTATGCCTCCAACTGAAGGTCATATACTTCAGAGACTCCCCCATCCTCATCCACACCCAAAATATGTATACATTGTTGATTGATTGATTGTGTTTCAGCTCCGTGGAATGTGTCTGGGCCATTTCGGCCGACAACCCAAAAAGCAAAGTCCGGGTAACGTTTCTGGAGGCAGTGCTGCTTGACGCAATGGATGTGGTGAGAGTATATGATGGTATGCATCTTTATACTTGTACATAATACGTTGTGACGTAGGACCAAACCGACATCACCATAACTGTAAATAAGCTTGAGCAGATTGGGTTATTCTGATCTCTTATTGTCATCTATTAGTACAATTACCTGTTATTAATAAACCTGTGAACCTATTACCACATTTTTTTAATTAATTTATTCTTATGTAATGACACCTTGATCATTGGAACACAGCTCCGTGACGACGTTTTATATTCTAAAATGTTTGGGTACATGTTTGATCGATTATAATGAGTTTTTCGGACCCCTCAGGAGGAACTATCGTAGTTAATTTTACAGAGAAATATCAGTCGTGTTCCCTTCATCAACGTTGCCATTATGACGAACATATATTCATTATTCCTATTTCTTCACACTGTTAGGCAACTCTACCTCCGGCTACTTACTGGGACAAGTGTCTGGAACGAACAAACCCTCCTTCACCAGTCAAGAGGCGTCACTTAGCTTGGTGTTTATAACTAACGAAAGGGGACAGACGTATATTCCTGAACTTGCTAAATCAGGATTTGTATTTGGATACGTGGAAATACAGGGTAAATCGAATAAAGATACATATGTATCGTATACATTTAAATAATGATCACTGGTTTGTCTGGTCCAGTCTCGACTATTTACAGACCGCCTTCATGTAGCTGGAATACAGTAAAGTGTGCCGTTAAACAAACAACATGAAAAGTATTGAAGAAAAGCCTTCAGTGTGTGAATCAGCATTTCTCATAGGACATCAAATAGTTGTACATATTAATTCTTGATCTGCCTCCAGCTGAACCATGCGGGGGAAGTCTCGTTGCCACCTCTACAACGCAGAATGTTACATCACCAGGATACCCCGCCAACTACCCCAAGTAGGTAACCATGAATTAGTGCACTGTATTTATGTTCAGCAGTAAACGGGTTATCAACCTTGATGAATGGTGGCAGTGTGCTTCATGTTCTACTGTTCGTTGGTCCGCCGTGATTCCCCCTCAGACGGTTCCTGTAGTTGGGCATGATAGACAGTCATTGACAGTCAGAGACCATATAGTTCAGAGAGTCACCAATCCAAGTGATTGGATGACCATAACAGCTTCGCGGAATGTTGAATGTTGTGTGTCAATATTGTACATACACATGTAAAATTCACATTGTTCTATATTCAAAGACCACATACTTTGAGTGTCCCCTCATCACCACTACGTAAACATGTCTACATTCATGATTGGTTGATTGTGTTTCAGCCCCTTGGAATGTGTCTGGACCATTTCGGCCGACAGCCCAGAAAACAAAGTCAGAGTAACGTTTCTGGAAGCAGGTCTACTTGACGGTACAGATGTTGTGAGAGTGTATGATGGTATGTGCACTTGGTACATAATAAGTTATGGCGAACTTCCAAACAGACATGTACATTATTGAAAACAAACTTGTGTGTGTGTGTGTATGGATGTTTTTATGAATAATTATTGTGTCGACTCTTCGCTGGGTATTGTGAATACATCAATGTATGGTATTCCTATATTAAACAACGTACTTGTGTCACTACCTGCATATTGTTGATTTACAACCATTGGTAGAATTCAACAAACATTCTTTATGTAAATACTGTCAAATTGGTCATTATCCGTCTTGTCCTGCTGCTTGTTTCTGGACCAAATTTGGTTAAACTGTTCAATAAAATGAACTCCACATGGTAACGTCAGCAAAACTAATAATAACGCACTTAAACAAAGTAGACACCATGCTTAAACTTCAACACCGTAATGGTTCCCTGTGGTGACTGGCGAATATAAATGATGTTCCACAATGACAACTATTTCTCCATGTTGATGTGCATATACCGATGAATACACTTATTTGGTCCACCGTATTTTGCTCGTTTCCGTGTTTTTTAGATCCTTGGTAGAGAATCCCCCTCCTCTGAGGAAATAAACCATAACCATCATGAGGATTCTGACAAACATCCAATGCTTCGTGGTGACTGTATTATTATTATGACAGGTGACGCTACATCCGGCTACTTACTGGGGCAAGTGTCTGGAAACAATGGAAATCCCACCTTCACTGGTCAAGAGGCGTCTCTTACCTTGGTATTTACAGCTACAGACAATGGACAGAAGCCTAGTACTCAAGTAGGATTTGTGTTTGGATACGTGGAAACACAGGGTAAATCATTAAATACATCTTTGGTTACGAAACTTAAGGACGATTAAGGTGAATTAATGAATATTAACGTTAATTGGCGACAACGGTACGTGCCGTGACCAAGAAACATTGGACTATTTGTTATCTAACATCCAGAGCCTATATCACGAGGTAAAGTGTTGTGAATTTGATAATACTCTGTACCGATACATGATTTCACTGCTATTAACAATTAATTAAAAGTGTAAATAATGCTAGTTATGATGAAAAAAATACTTCTACTCATACCGATTGTGTGATATCGAGAGAATCAAGTTCATATTAAAAATAAACCGACCCTCGCAACAGCTCTTGGTACATCTGGTGTGTTGTCCATTGCGTCAACCCACGTGTCCTGGATCTTGTTCTGGGGGAGTAGGGGTAGGCCACTTACATTAATTCACTTACATTAATCTTTTTTTTTTTTTAAACTTTCCTTTAAGTCCCCTAATCCCCTAAAGCTATACCCCTTTCATTTCTACTACCTCTACTCCAGACCTTAATTTCTCCTTTAGGTGAGTTCATAATGCCAGACAGGTAAATGCCGCGTGTTGTTTTAACTAATTGTAGGGGAACTGGGTTGCAGGGGAAATGGGATGTAGGGGTTTTGGGAGATAACCCTGTGAAATACTGTTCAGAACAGCGTAAAAAACACTCACTCACTCAGCGGGATACATCACTCCAGTATAAGCAATTTGATAATGATACATATAAGCTTCAGTTCTACCAATGATAATCTAAGAGATAAATGATACATATATTGATTCAGTATGTTTGAATTACAGTCACGCCACTCTTGCAACGTTCAATTGAAGCTCAGCTTGAAGAAACCGTTTTGATGTCACCCAGATTCCCGGGAGGAAAAGTGAAGTAAGGGAACATAACAATTGTCAGTTTTAGCATCCCCAAGAGGTTAACATCGCGTGATTTGAATAATATATGTTTAATATGTTTAAATCTAATTTACATAACATACTTATTAACGTATGTAGTTGTTTTAATTTATACAATGTCAATACGGCGGCCATTTTCTTCAGAGACATAAACGCTACCTGGACAGTGCGTTCTAAATGGGACAGCTACGAGGTACTGTTATCATTCCTTGAGGTTGATGTTGGTGACGTCAGCGACTGTAACAACAACTACATTTCAGTGTATCAAGGTAGGTGTGACAGTGACAAATCGGATGACTAAGTCTGCAGGAAGACAAAACGCACGAAAATAAACACATAGGCTATATTCACCTTATTTTGAGGAAGAAAGATACAAATCTAAACAATATGGACACATTTCATTGATGCTGAAAGCCCCTGCACACTGGTCAAATGCCAAAGTTTTCTTTCGTTATGTTCGTCAGGGAAATCAATTCATAAAATTATACCTTGGAAAATACACTAATCTTGGATTTCAAACAAGTGACGCTTCACGATATTTAGCCAAACAGCTCTGAACTGTAATAAGATTGAAAACCGATAATATCTTCATCAGCTGGTTCGCTAGTGTCAGAGTCGACAGATATAAATAGTGGTGCCAGGTGCCCCCTTGGGGCCATCGCGAAATCCAGTAGTAATATCCCCCATGTAGTAAAAGTGAAAGAACGAAATGGCATATAAACGCGTCTGTTAATGATAGAATAGACGATTATCAGACAGCTGAAACGATGATGTGATCGATGAAAAATTATGTGATTGCTGAAAAGATAGTGTGATCGCTGAAAAGTCTAACCCGTCGATAATTAGGTTTATTTGCGCGAGGTCTCGGTTTTCTTGTATTCTCGGTTCATATGTCATAAGTTTAACAATTATGACATTTATATTACAGGATATTCATCATCTGGTCAGATTTCAAAGATCTGTGATAACGAAACAGGTACATTCCTCAGCCGAGACAGAGAACTCTCCGTGGTCTTCAGGACAGACAGCAAACTGGCTAGACGAGGGTTTAAAGCTGAATATAAAATGTCGAAATTTGGAACCTTTGGTAAGTGGGAAATAAGTTTCGGGAGGTGTTAAGTAATAAGAACGTAACTGTCATGTAAACTGTCAGGGAGAGGCCCCGAGAAGTTTAATAACCCGAGATCGTATTTAGGAAGGTGAATGCTTAAAAGTTCTGAAGAATGGAAACCTCGGAGCTTGGAAACTTAATAAAACGACCCCGCATTCCGTTATCCGTATCCCATAATAATATATTCCCACTAAGACCAATATAATATTGGCTACGAAACCTCCATTGAGATCTACATGTAAACTATGGCAGGAACGAGACACATTCGAGTCCTACAACACCTCTTTGGGATCCAAACATTCTTTATGCTTGCAAGGTTGTGACCTATTGTCCATGCAGTACATATTATTCTTGGCATGGCGTTGAAACAGTCAAGTAGATAATGCTGAAGAGAAACTCGGCCCACTCAGCTTCATATCGCGGTGTTGAGTTCAGTGAAAAAGCCCCGGAAATATTTTGGACAGGTGAAAACAGTGAGAACACTGATGACATGGTAATAGCACCCTTGACCGAGTGAAGTACATGCATGTCTGAATCTCCCCCTAGCATTACACGATACAGAAACGTCACATGGGGGTACGGATATCATGGTGTTGTCTTCCTTTGTTGTGCCAGTTTCCAGTGACCATAGGTTCAAATCTCAGAAGTGCCGCGTCTATGATCTGTGGTTTGTATCCACTATATACTAGTTCTCTATGGTCGTGATATTAATAAACTATTGTCAAATTCAGAATTAAACCTAGTCCAATTTTTCACTCTGTGTCGAATATGTTACAGATCCAATTTGACATTCATAATGCTTTACTCATATGTTCCAAAAATAGACTGGAGACGTTAAAAATGTTCAACTGTATCCAAACCTCAAATTCTAATGTTGAAAATTCTTAAGTATTCTGACAGGCAGATTGTTTCTTTTTGATAAACCATAACATGATTAGTCCTTGAACAACATACATGTATTCCAATACAGGATTTCCCCCTCTTATCCATGCAATATTTGTGTTATTTGCAGCCGGTTGTTTTGGTTTCCCGAATGAAGTGCGTGTTTATCCCAACACTAAGGGGAATCTAGAATCGCCATTGTATCCCAACAAATACCCAAAGTAAGCAATCAAGGTTTATATGGTGGATTGTTTGATCCACTGCTTTGATTAGATTATATACCGACGCACATTGCACCTTAACATACACAACTAAAACGTTAACACTGGTTCAACACTGTTATCGACTGTTATCTTCGTTGACATGCACTCTTACAAGACAATTTCTTTTCTTGATTTGCGAACTTTCGTGGTCGATATGCATAGTCTGAGAGGGTAATTTATTCATACCACAGTTTTAAACGTACTATATCTGTTTATTTTAACTGATGGCTAAATTGCGTACCATCACCAGCAGCTGAAGGGATGGTTTCAATCGTAAATCCCGAACCGTGATGGTAGCAGAAGTATCGTAAGTCCCCACGGTCCCCACGGTCCCAAGTATGGTGGCCTAATTTTGGCTGCTGGGGATATATAAGCCCGTTTTAATAATGTAGTGTTATGTACAGTGATGTATTTTTATGGTTCCATGTTAGTTTTAAATATCAATCTGTGATGAATCTAGTTATTTCACTGTCCGTTGTTGACAGGACTTCACACTTAAAAAATATTTATTATGTATAACCTTTGAAGGTCACAATTTGGTTGAAATACTGCCGATGTTACTTTAAATTTTAATTCACCAACTCACTCCCTCAGAGCTTATAAAACTTGTCAAAATATTGTCTCGAACATGCAATTGAAAATACAGGTATATATCAGCGTTAGAAATTGGCACTAGTCCTATAGTCGATGCCAAACTGCCCAATAGGACTCGTAGAAATTTGCACTTTTTAATGGTTTTGCTATGTGTTGTCTAATGGGCTTAAACTGTTAGCTTCTGTCGCTGATATATTGACACCGTTTGTTCTACACCTAACGTGGTATGTTCTCTCCGACAGCTTGATGAACTGTTCCACCCTATTGAAGTCTATCTTTGACGACCACTACATCCAGCTGGAGGTGACAGACATGAACATGCCCCACCCCGAGGACACGGGCTGCACCAGAGACTTTGTGGAGTTCTTTGATGGTGAGAACATGATCTTTCACTCGATTCTTCACGTAACCGACAGCGTGGATTGTTGCTCATGCTATGAATTACTAACCTGGTTTGCATTGCGAAGATGATTTACACCCGAAGGAATCTGTTTCTGCGGATAATCGACACAGGTTAATCTCTGGCGTTGACATCATATATTTACAGTACAGAGTGTGTCATGGAGCTTCCCAACTTTGAATGTGTTTCCATGTGTGAATAACATAACCATAAGCAGAACCTTATTTGGTCATACTGCTCCAGCCGCCTCCGTGGTCTAGTGGTAGAGCGTCTGCCCGGTCACGTCGACGTCATACTAATAGACGTTAAAAGATGGTACTTGTTGTCACCCTCCCGCACGCTAAACACTAAGGGGATAAAACAAAGACTGGTCGGCTCTGATTTGGGTATTCATCTTAAACTTCGGCATGGTATTTCATTGGACTAGAACTGTAAAATCGGCATTAGTCCGGTCTAGTCCGCCGCGGTGTAAGTGCAATAATCTGATGAACATGATTTCAAAATGTTATTGAGTTAGCGTTCACGTATCAACAATAAAAAATACAAATGTCACTATGATTCAGGTCCGAGTTCTGCTTCGCCAAGTCTGGGTCGAGCCTGTGGCCAAACAAAGTTAACAGTTACGTCAAAACATGCTGGCCAAGACGTGCTGGTCATGTTTATCTCTGACTCGAATAAAGGTGGCAACGGGTATATGATCAAATACTCAGCTGTAAAAGAAGTTGGTCAAGGTATGTGTACCCAATACTGGTATTTCTCAGATGTGTTATGACATATGTTATTCCTCAGACTGAACATATGATGTTCTCAACTATCTAATACATCGGCCTTGTGCATTTTCAGATACTGAATCTTCAACTCCAGTTGGCCTCACACTTGGTATCATCGTTGGTTGCCTTGCTTTGATCCTACTGGTTGGCATCGTTGTCATCATAAGGAGAAGGTCAATGAGGAAGTGGTCACTGGAACAACGTGAAATACACCGTTAGTCTCATCATGGAAAATGAAGGCTATTTGGAACTATTTATATCTCCAAAGCTAAACAGCGTGGTCACTATCCCCTGCTCGTGGGGCACATTTGAATTTTGGAATTCATATAGAAGTGAATATACATGGAGAAAGGGAGGGTAACTCCAGACAAATACGGCATTAAAGTCTTGACTGGAACGTTGTGTAAATGGCCTGACTGCAATCACTTAAAGATTATTAAATCCACTGCGAGCAAGCGCCACAAAATTGTGGTTTGTGTTTACATCTCAATTAGGTAATTATGGTAACGGTTCTCAGATAACCCTGTGTTGATCTTTTTGTATAAAGTCCAACAAAGCATAACAATGTCAGTAGTACGTTGATATGGGTATAAAGTTCCTTAGAAAATATATTTAGAAAAATTATGGATATATACTGAACCGCAAAAGAAACGTCAACATGGATATATATGAGAAACCTTATTTGTCCAAACACTGTAAACATACTTTGAGACATATTAAAAAGATGAAACTTGGCAAAACTGATCATCAAGGTTGAAATGAAAGTTTTGTTCTTGAAGTGAAACCCAAAACTAGTCTCTGACAAAATGGCATCACAAGTCAGAATCTCGTGTGTCCGCCATGTGCATTGATGACTGCCATGCAACGTCGATACATGGAATGGATGAGGCGGTTGGTGAAGGCCATAGGCACTTGAGCCCACACTCTGAGGAACGCGTGACGCAGTTCAGCTGCAGTTGTCGGCCTTGGACGGACGTCATTCAGCCATCTGTGAATCTCGTCCCAAAGGAGCTCAATGGGATTTAAATCGGGACTGAGGGCAGGCCATTGCATGGTTCTGATGCCATTCTGCTGGAGGAAGTCTCTTGTTGCTCTTGTCAATCGTCGACGTAATGTGTCCGCACTAATGTGTCGCTGGTGTGTCCCCATGGCCTGTCGAGCAGTTTCCGCAGCAGTAACAAAGCGATCTTGAAGATGCTGTCGCACAATCTGACGATTCTGACGTCGGGTGGTCTGGTGCCGTTGCTGGAGCCTGTATATGGTCCTTAGGTGGACTTGAAATGCATTGGCTACTTGCCGGGCGGTTTGTCCAGCTTGCAATCGTCCAAGGGCTTGGTGTCCCTGATTTCTTGTCAATCATGGCATGTGGCAGCAATTTAATAACGAATGAATGTTATCCGATCTGGGTGGATTTGTATAGGGCAAGAAACGGGGGAACGCATGTGCATTTCAATCTGGGAAATGCACGGAACTCACGTGCATCGGGTTACCATGGCCGTTGCCATGATGCGTTTGGGCGATCGTTTTTCTTGTCATCTGCTTTGTTTTTTTATCATCAAATTTCCTTTTTGCGGACAAGGTAATGTTAAATTTAAGAAACTTTGACAAAAATTACCCAGATATATAAATGACAACGTTTCATGCAATGTTACTTGGGGTGATGTTTCTTTTGCGGTTCAGTATATGATCAAGAAATGAACACAACAACCCATCTGATTTTTAAGTTACGCTCTGGTAATGAAAGCAACCTGTATTTTAGTTTAACTTGTTGCCATGGAAACAGTCAAAGGGGAGGGTAACGCATGGGTGTTCGAAACATATGTGAAGTTTCATGATAAGATATAAAACTGTTTTTGAGTTGTGCTCCGGAATGAATGATACATTTACACGTGTTTGAGCCTAAGTCCGCTTTGTTGCCAAGGAAACACCAACAAAATGTTATTTTAGAAACACCAAAACATCAAAAGGCACCACTTCATCATGTGTAGAAAGTAGGGTAGATAGAAAGAGGTAATTTAATTATCATGGCGACAACTGTCGTCTCTTAAACAGTTTGAAAAGCATTTCAGCAAGCAATTTTTATTATTTCATTGAGTAAATAAATATCGGCCTTTAATTGCTTATTCTGTAGCTACGCTATATGGATATACAACATAACTATACAAAATGACCTCATCATATCGATTGGATATTCATCTTCTTTGTCCAGCTCCAAGGTTATTGTTGTAAATAACGATCCAGTACATAACAATTTAAACATTATGCTTTTGTTATAAAGATATTGATTACATGTTCTTCATTGGAAAGGGGGGGGGGGGGACCAAAGTTGAACTGTAGGCCTAAGCAACCGAATCAGGCGTCCTTTGGTATGAATATGGAAAGGATTTTGTCGCTTTTATTTACCCATTGCACGAAATGATAATAACACTGCTGTTCAAACACACTGAGAATCACTCCCTCAATCTACCACACGGAGAACGTTTCCAAAACTGTGTCAGCACCAGAAATAGTACAGTCAACAAAAGGGAAATGTCTTGTCATGGTGTGCGTGTACTGGTGCACATTATTCGTGTATACTAACTTCATGTTTTATTGAAATAGGGTAACCATTGCAAAAGCGTGACTACATGTGGTGTGTGTGACCCGTGAAGATTCCGGGGTAGAATAGGTCTTCAGCAACCCATGATTGCCGTAAAAGGTGACTATGCTTGTCGTAAAAGGCGACTAACGGGATCGGATGGTCAGGCTCGCTGACTTGGTTGATGCATGTCATCGATCCCATTTGCGTGGATCGATGCTCATGATATCAATCACTGGATTGTCAGGTCCAGAATCGATTATTTACAGACCGCCGTCATATAGCTGGACTATTGCTGGGTGCGGCGTTAAACAACAAACCAACCAACCAACCAACATGTGGTGTGTGAATCAGTTTGCGATACTTTTACGAAATTTAGCGACTCAATATACCGTCGTAATACGACACACCTTATCATCCAGACATAATCGGTAGTATGGTATATAAAACAGCTACGTGATAAATCGCAAAGAACAATGAAGAACGAAGCGTGGTTTATTTCACGATAAAACATTGTTTCATCATGACGTCATTTCTGGAGATTCGAATATTGCGCTCGTAACGTGATGACGTCATTTATTGGACGACGTTGTTTTAGAGAGGGAAGCGTCTATTAAGTTGCTCCCCATGGGTGTAGCTAGGCTACGGAGATAAACGCAGTGGCCGAACGATCACATCCAAAAGTGGGAGAGATGTGGCAATCGGTATTAGGAGAAAATGTACAGATAAAAGGATTGTAAGAATATGCGGGAAATAACAAACTTAACCCCCCTGTTCGTAAAATGGACTTGTCCGACATTTCCAATCAATCAATGTTTTATTCCAACAAGCCACCATAGGTGGTACAGGAACAATACATATAAAGTTATAACATAAACAATAAATTGTAGTGATCGCTTGGTAAATTGTAGATTATAGTGTTGTACTCATCTTCTGACAGCATTATTAATAATTCTTATAAATCTTGAGATATTTTTCACGATTAAGCAATTATGTGAGGTTAACAAAACTTTGAGCTTTGCGAGATTCGGCCATTTACAAAGATATATATAATATATAATGGGATCTCATGGTATCAAAAAAGGAGCATTTAAATAAATAATGAAACTCTACGGCCATCGCCGGTGAGCTACATAGGTTACAATTTCTATTGATTCTGGGTATATTTTTCCAGCGGCCTGTCTCTACAGGTAAATAATGATTCGATGTCCGAAATGACATAATAGGTCGAGAGAAATAATCAGGTAGCAGGAGGTATTTTTCAAACGACGGTAGATCTTTGAACAATTTATAGTAATTACCTTTTGAACTTTTATCTATATCATCCCTCCATTGTTGTATAAAATTATCTTTAAATACTGTTTCTACCATAGAGACAAGCCACTGTTTACAAACGCAACCAGGATTATCAAATACATAGGTCAAGCCACACATGTTTAAAATACTTTTTATGTGACATATCCATACGTTACTATTACTAATATTGAGGGTGTGATCTAATTTGAACAGTTTGAGGATGCGTGATGACAACTTGAAAGGAGAAGATATGGTTTCTAAATTATACCAAAATGAGATCATACTTTTAGCAATTGTAATGTTCACAGGAAAATGTCCAAGTTCACCGTAAACCATAAAGTTAGGAGTTGATGATCGCAAACCAGTAGCAAACTTTAGAAATTAAAGGTGAAACTTTTCAATGTTTATAACATTTTCACAACCTCATATGTCCCCAATGTCGGATTCTTTTCAGGGAGTTATCATTATTCAAATTTGGGAAACTATTTTTAAAGCGTGTACAGTTTATCAACATCCTTAAAGAGGCTGTACATAATGTTGATATCTCAATACACAAATCCCACTCGTCGTTTATTTCTTAAAAATCGGCTCTCAGCTTGTCTTGAAATGTGAATAACTCGAATGGAGCAACTTGTGTAGGGAAGTTTCGCTATGTGCATATGAGGGATATTTATAGTTTCATTATTATGTTCACCATTTCAGTATAACAAACGTCAGTATGATAAATTTGTAAACGTTGCCCTATGTGAGCGATACACAAACATGGGTACACACACACTCAAACAAACGCCCACGCTACAACACATGCAACAATTGGACGCGCATTGTGCTTGCGAATATAACCTAGTATTTTGGAACCACGGTACGTTATATTCAAGAATATGTAGTTACACACACAGGCTTCGTTAACTCGGAACTCGAGGATATGTTTGTCAACAAAACAATAGCATGAGATGAAAGAATACCTATTTCTACTTAAGTCTCGACACTTCTCTTGTCTCGAACTATGTACGAGGTTCCAAGGATTTCGAGTTGAGGTTTCCCATACGTAGTTTCAGCAGGGACTATAACATTTCATACTCCGAATATCATTCGTACATTACTATACAGATAATACCTGACGACGTCAATATGCGAAACAAGGACCCGAGGATCAGAACCCTCCGGTCAGACCGCCGACGGGGTTGGGTCGAGGGTCCTTGTTTTCGCATATTGACCTCGTCAGAAGTATCCATTCGTTATACCGAAATTCATTTTTAAGTTTATGGAGCCCTTAAACCGTTCTCTGTTTAATAACAGTAACCGAGCTACGAACCGTGAAAGGTTAGTAATAGACGCCATCTTGTTTTCTAGCAGACGGGTCAATATGTATCACGTGACAGATCAATATACTGATCATGCAACTAGTCAACATTTGCATTTCGTGTCAGATACGTGATTTTGGAGCCTACATTGAAATGCCTTGTTTCGTCGCGTGGTACGAATTAACCAATGGAATTGGAAGATTTTCAATAAAGTTATAAAAAATACCATATTGTACAATTTTCCACCTGCTACACATTGTGATCGACAGATATATTTATTTAACCCAAATGCATTCATCAGCTGAGATCTTGCTCAAGACGTGCGTCATTGGCCTTGCGCAATATTCGTGGCTTGTTTCTCAACGTATCGTTCACCTGCCCGCCGTTGCCTTTACAATAGAGCTTCTGTCAACAAACGGCCAATGCTTTCATTCCTTCCCGAAACCGGTGACTAGCCTGGCCTACTTTTCGAGTGACCTGATAAACAAGAATCGTTGACGCGATATCAGTCTGTATTCCGACTCCCTATCAACCCGTGTGGTAGAGTGGTATATGTGGCCAGTGTATTCAGGTGTGGGGTGGAGGATGGATGTACCTTTAGGCTGTGTGGTTCTGTCAATTCTTTGTTTCTTCTGTGGAATACATACAATATCAGGTCGGTTTCAGTGATGTATAGCTTTCAGTACATGTATTTGAATGTATTGAGATAAGATGTTTTGAAGTCAACAAACAGGCCTGTAGCGATCTACACACGCCTGCCATAACCAAGGACCTATATGGGTTCGTGCTATAACGAACCTCGTGGTGTATCTCAACGATTTTATCTTGCAAGTTTAACAGGGACCCTAGTGGCTCCTGATAACGTGTCTAGGGGGAAGGTATATTCGATAATTGACTGTGGTTAGTAACACACTGTATCCTGCGTCTATTGATTCGTCCTGCCAAGGTTAAATGAAAGTGTGTCGTTCCAGACATTGTACGATATACATTAAGAAGATTGAGATATATCCCGTCGCTTTTCAACATGATGCGCGATGTTATCCCATGCTTTACATAGACTTGTCACACCTTACTCACAGGCGCATGAACAAAAATAATGAAAATCATGTTGCTGATAGTAGAGCAGGTCACGCGTACACATTTCGCAAACACCTGCTGTCATCACTGATTATGCCGTCACCAAGCTGCTTTTAACGACCAATGCAATATGTTTCGGCAGATATTCCAAAAGTATTCTCTGGCTTTCACGTATCCAATGTGAGGTGGGGTGACACGGGGACACGTCGCGTTCAGGGTCATTGTATATAGCGACGGGCACGTACCTGTGATTGTACGTACGTGTGTCTGCTTGTACTAGTCAGGATTCATGCCGATATTATTGTGCAAGCCCACTGAGATACCTTGCCAAGTAGTGTTTGTTGGGCTGTTTATCAATACCTTACTTTGATACGAATGTATGAACCTGTAAGTGAAACGGAACTTATCACTACCATGCTGTTCTCAAACCACCGAAGCGTTTGTGTCCAGTGAAACAGTACTTTCTCCGAAGTTTTTTGGTTTTGTTTCTTTTATGCTCAAGAAAGATGCGATGGTTTTACAATTAACCTTCAAAGACTCACATGGCGAAAGGTACAGGGCTTGGTGTGATAATAACATTACTTAGAATAATATGTACCAAAATAACAGTTTAAATATCAATTAACTTGTTCTGAGAATAAGCTGTTTTAAAAAAAATTAAATCTAAATTATTCTTACGTGTGCCTTGTGGCATTATTAGTATAATATCCAAGTTCTTTCACAAAATTATCAAGTTATTATTATACAGTTAACTTTTATTACTCTTGAGCGATATAATAATAATAATAATAATAATAATAATAATAATAATATAGTTTATTAATGTGTCATGTGTACATAATACACCTGGCCATTACTGGCCTAGAAGACACCTAAATTTATACAATCAATAAAATACATAAATAAAACATTATAACTAATAATATCTTTATATGCATACAGCAACCCACTTTATATTATATCATTACATTACTATTTAAAAAGGGCCTTGGGTTTGATGTTTCCTTTACAGAAGTTTTACAAATTGCACTTTTTTTACGTATTGCAACGATCTGTAATGAGCACGGCCTTACCTCTCAAAACGTTTTGACAGTTTATCATACGAATTCATGCACGTGTACACCACTTCATTGGCGTTATTTTCCACAACATTAAAGTTTAGTTAGTTTCTTTTTCATTTCCCATTTTATGTCTCGTTGATACATCACACTGGACAATTACGTGACACTAGGTATGCAATATACAGGTGCACATGCGCGTATTTTAATGGAAAAAAATATTCGTCTTTCCTTGCATAACGCCTGGCTGAATATCTCACATTCTAAAGAAATCTCGAAATAATTATTTAATTATATGCGGTGTCTGACAAATGAACTGACAAATGGGAATTATGTTTACAGGCGACTGAGGAAAACTTGAGTGTATTTTATGACACTAAAGCAACTTTTAAATTTAAATGTTTTGCCACTTTTGGTATGAAAATGGTAACAATTCAGAAAAAACAACAGCTTTCTTATGATAATTCGCATATTCTCATTAGTACGTTGTATCTAATTACAGTGTCGGCCTTATTTACAGGTGATTCTACAATACCTGCTCTCGGTCAATTACAATCTGCCACACCATGCGTGAATAAATAGTTATGCAGGTGTTGCTGTGGGCAAATACCTAGCCGGTATATGTGTATTTGTGTGTGTGGATACATGTATTACATATTTTCGTTGATATGTGGATATATTAAGCACAAAGACAAAAAATGTTTATGAAAGATGAATTACTGCCCTGATATATTCAACGAGATGTGTATCATCGTATAATGGGCCATTCAATGAAAGTAAGTTTGGACGCGATATTGAAGGAGCCGCCCAATATACACAGTGTCGTCCGATGAACTCCCACCCCACCCTGTCAGTAAGCGTTATGTAATCGGTACACAAATATATTTGATGCGGTGTAAGTGTGGAAGGAGTTTGAATTACAGACAGACAGATATTTTATTTACGTCTCACCTAAATATCATTTACATAAAGATATAAATATATATTATATCTAAATGAGCCACTCCTATAGAAATTATGAGACGAAAACGTTAAAATATACAAAATAAAGATTACTAAAATACAAATAAATAAAATGTAAATGTACACACAAAAGTTAAACACACTGTACAGTATATCAAATATCTTACCGTATGTTTAAAATAGCCTTGCGAGAATAAAACACAATTTAACATAATCTTTTTGAAGATGAAAATCATGACACACATCAACACATTTTGTTAAAAGCTCTTTACGGACATCATTATAAACTGGACATTGAAGTGGAACATGCAGCTCATCTTGCACACAATCTGTACAATTAAAACATACTCTCTCACTTACCGGAAGGTTATTATAGCGCCCAGTTTCCAGTTTTGTCGGTGCAACCCCACAACTTAATACGGCGAGAGCTTTTCTGTTTTGTCTTGACATCGGAAGTTTATTGTAGTGTTCCACACTGTAATCTTTCTTGAACTGGTTGTGTAGCCTTAGTTTATTACCTCCCTTGCCTCTGACACTGTTATCCTGATTTATTGCACTTTCCCACTTTTCTCGGAACTTTTTAAAAACTTCGTCTCTGACCTCCATGGCAATACGTCTGTAGTGGTAATTATTTTCTGTGGGAATAAAAACTTCTTTTCCAAGGGTTTTATACTTAAAATGAACTCTAAAATTCCAATTCTTCTTATTTTTAAAATCGTAGTTGTTAGCCCAAATAAAAACTCTTCTTGACAGTCTGTAGTCTTACAAGGAACTTAGACGTTTATAAAACTTAGACACGGTCTCCCATTGACGAACTCTTGGCGGTGTCCATCCCATGTCTCCAGACACGGGGTTGTTAGGGGCGAATTTTCGGAGTCCCATAAAAACCCGCATCGCTTTATTTTGTACAGCGTTGACACAAGATAGATCGTACTGTCCCCATATCGCAGAACCATACTGTACAGCAGACCACACCATCGAATTATAAAGTTTTGTATAGGTTTCGTGTTGCATACCACCACGTGCCTACAAGGTCAATGCCGTACTAATAACCTAGTGACGCACGTAACAACGACTGTCAATCTGTCTGCAACAGCTACCATACCATCATCCCTGTCTCAACTGGCGTATTAACGGCTTATTCAATATATCAATTGTAGAAAGTTCGTTAACAGACTAACATATGTCGTATACAGTCCTCTTGTTTGATAAAAAAGTAAGTACACCAACTGGGAATTCAACTGGATGTTACCTTCCTTATATCAGCTAACAGCCCTGTTTGTGAAAATATGTACCAGGCATACGATTTAAAGACTAATAAAATCAATTGTAAGACCGCATGGACCATAAAAACGAATAAAATCTGTCTTTGTATCATCTCTTGTGTATTAGATGATGGTAATGACCTGAAATGTTATACTATAACGTTAGATTAAGAAGGAGAAACATTAAAGTGTTTTATAATACTTGGGCAATAAGCAATAAGATGTAGCAACATAAACATGCATGGAATGGAATAGGGAAAATGGTGAAAACAAATTGAAATAGGTTTAAATAAATATTATTGTACTAAACAACTTGCAAAAGCGGTGCCCAAAATTGTTTCACCGTGTTATGTGTGTTGTAGACTGAAGACTAGCAAGTAATTGTCATGCTGTACGCATGGTTCCATATACTAATTCAGATATACAACCGGTATGAAACTGAGAACTGAGATGCAAAGTATAACCTGCATTTACACACGGAAGTAGAATACTTGTGTGTATGCCCTCTCCTCTGAAAATTGTATCACTAAAGTATTCGCATTGTAATAAATATAGTAATAATAAAACTTTTTTATTTGGTAGGTCTCCGACAGATCATATTTTTTACACCTTTGATTGAGGTACATGTAGTCTAGTCACTGTCGCTAATGTATCTGCATGTTAGAAATTTCAAATGTCCTGTTGTGGCTAAAATAAGGCAGTTTCTTTTATCGGGTATAAATAATTGATTCGTCTTGTCACGCAGTCATTTCTACTTGATCGAGTGATTTTGCATACATAACACGTTCTTCAATCGGGGTACTGTTGTAACGTCCAGTTTCTATGTGAAGCGGCGCACCGGCATCTTGAAAGGGCGCTTCTGTGTGACCGCTGTTACCATTTTCATACTAAAAGGGGCAATGCATTTAAAAGTTGCTTTTGTGTCACAATATTCACTCAAGATTTCCTCAACCGCATGTAAACACAATTCCCATTTGTCAGTTCGACACCGCATGTAATTAAATAATTATTTCGAGATTTCGTTAGAAAAGACGAACCGTTTTTTGCCCTTAAAATACGCGAACGCGTACCTGTATATTGCATACCTAGTGTCACGTAATTGCCCAGTGTGATGTATCAACGAGACATAATATAAAACGGGAAATGAAAAAGAAACTAAGAAAACTTTAATGTTGTGGAAAATAACGCGTATTCGTATGATAAACTGTCAAAACGTTTTGAGAGGTAAGGCCGTGCTCATTAAAGATCGTTACAATTTGTAAAACAGGTGAAATCTGTAAAACTTCTATAAAGGAAGCATCCAACCAAAGGCCCTTTTTGAATAGTAATGTTATGATATAATATATTATATATTTCATGATACAATATATTTTACACACAATTAATTGTTGCTTTAAAGGGACTGACGAAAACATGGGCGAAATATTTTAATAACGCCGTAAAATAGTTGAATTAAGTTAAAATGAGTTAAATAATATTTCATGAAACTGCTAAGACCTTTATGTATTTGCGAAACAAAACCACGAGTTTTGAGCAAAAGAAAATATTCTCGCCAATGGGCGAAATATTTCAATAACGCTATAAAATAGTTGAATTAAGTTAAAATGAGTTAAACTATGTGACATGAAACTTCTAAGAACACCTTTATGTATTCGCGACACTAAAACACAGGATTTGAGCAAAGGAAAATATTCTCGCCCATTGGCCAAACCTTTTTCTCGCCCATGGGCGAAATATTTCAATATCGCTATAAAATAGTTAAATTAAGTAAAATTGAGTTATATTATGTGCCATGGAAATTGTAAGAACACCTGCATGTATTTGCGAAACAAAGAAATACGTTTTGAGCAAAGGGCCGGCCCGTGGGCAAAACCTTTTTCTCGCCAATGGGCGAAATATTTCAATAACGCTATAAAATCGTTGAATTAAGTTAAAATGAGTTAAATTTTGTGTCATGATACTTGAAATAAATACATTTATGTATTTGCGAAACAAAAACATGAGTTTTAAGTAAAGGAACATATTCTCGCCCATGGGCCTACCCCTGGTCAACTCTTCGCCCATGGGCAGGCCCATGGGCGACATAGTGTAAATACTGAGTTTTTGAACAATTCTTTTTCATTTTTTCTTCCTTGGTATGTTCCCATGAAAACAACATGTTTAATTTTGTAACTACCTTTGACCGAGACTGGGTAAAGACCGTAGAGTTTCTGGACTATTGGGTTTCCAGAATTAAAATGGGACGTGTTACACAATTCTGCTAATAATAATACGGGCAATTGGCTGTAATCTCCTTTACAAACCTTTGAATGCTATTCCTACAAAATCTAATTTTCTGCTTAATATAAAAAACATATAACTTAGAAATTCCAGCAAAAAAGTACTTTGTTTACAGTTATCAATCATTTACCCGTTCATATTATATACAAACAGCTTGTGTTTAAACTATATCATAATATGATTCCCTGTAATAAATACCAACATAAGATAAATATTAAAGACTCTGATGTCGGTGAAGAATGTGGTCAAGTGGATACACTCCAACACTATATTTTACTATCATAACGTCAATAGATTTTGGAAATATTTTTTGATATTTCAAAAGCAATTTATTCAGATTTAGTGATACAGGATTGTTGCCAGTGTGTCTTAGGGTTCATACTAAAATATTCATACTAAAATATTCTCATTTTCAATCCGTTTACTATCTCCGAAGTTTTAAATGGTTATATGTAGCAAAATACAATATCCTTGTAACATAAATGGTCTGTCAACAACCTACACGGTAAGTATGAAGACATAGTATACTATGTATGTCATATTGACATTTACATGGGGGAGGAAGATGTAAATTTGGGAGGAACATTTAACACAGCTAAAAAAATGCACTCGTGGGGTTCCTCATGTTTATGACAGCGTCACCTATGGGGCATGATGCGCTCACCTTTTCGCGAACACCTGGTGTCATCACTATTTCGTAGGGTTAATGGGGTAGCCTTGGATTTAAAGCGTTCGCTCGTCACTCGTAGGGCTCGGGTTCGAAACCCCACAAGGGTACAATGTGTTTGAAGCCCAATTTTGATCTACCTCTTCGTGATATTGCTGGAATATTGCTCAAGGCGGCATGAAACTATACTCATTCACTTACTGTTTGATGCTTACAATAAAGGCGGAATCATACGTTGATTCTGCATTTGGAAGAGATTTCATATTTTTATGGAATGTTTTTTTGTAGCTTTTATTATTTGCTTACTAATAGTTTGCAGATTGTGTCAGCATTTGTAATTGCTATAAATACCGTCACCGTGCTTGCACAAGCTATCAACTCACATGTTTACAAATAGGATCATATAACATGCTCCTTACAGGGACAAATGCTATGAATATTCCATACCCAATTGGCATACCGCTATTATTGTAACCATGCCAACCACTGCGCCGTCGATATTCACTGAAAATCATGGCCCCATGATATCTGTGTTTAATAATAAACATAACGTTGATGCAAAACCTTCCAGCTGTTGCAACACAAGTATTAATTTAATAGATTAAGATAGTTTTTAGAAATGAATGTGCGTTATACCTCTGCAATTGGACAGTTTTCAATTGATCAACACGAATGTGTAAAATGGATGAACTCCAAATGAATTGTTTCAAGTGGGTATATACATGGATGTAGATGAACCGTTATGCGATCAACGTTTGGTGCGTCCTGTCGTGTTTGCATTTATATGTCTCAAGACAAACATGTACAGGTTAAACAGTTTGCCTCAAACAGTTTGTTTGTTTCATGTAGGTGAAGTGTGTTATCAAAACCTGACAGCAACGGACAACCCCCAGATTTTCACCTCGCCTGGATATCCATTAAAATATGCGCCGTGAGTATGTCAACTGCCAGCAGATATAATCTAGTGTCAGATTATCTGCCAAAATTCTTAAAATATATATAGATAGATAAGGTGACAGTGAAAGTGGTCCAGGTCTTTGTGAAAGAGATAATATGGAACATGTCATGTCAGGAAACCACAACCTGCATCCCATTCCCATCCTGGAAACATAACAGGACGAGTATCGCAGTAAATAATGTTTATTTGGGCAAGAATTTAATCAAACAGTGATGTTCAAATTAGTTTATATATTGACTATCGAACATAGGCCAAATAATTATTAACAAATCCTGACAACTTCAGAATATTTGGGGGCCACGGGTGGCCCAGTCGTCTGAGGCGCCGCGATTCGGTGTGCAGAGTTGCGTCCCTTGGGCACGCCAGAAACCTATGATTGTGGGTTCGAATCCCGGTTCGCCCCGATTATGTTTCTAGGTTTGTCAGCACCATACCCGTGCTCGTGGGTTTCACCGAAGTGGTAAACGTCTGAGACCTGCATCACTCCGGGCTTTCCTCCCACATTAAGCTAACACGCCGCGATATAACTAGAATACTGTTAAAAGCGGCGTAAAACCCAACTCGCTCACTCAGAATATTTGCTGAGAGCGAAGTTCTAGAGTAGAGCTTAGCTCATTTTCAATCTCAATGTATCATTAAAGAGGCACAATCACAATCATTACCCTTGATAGAGAATGCTTGAACTTTGTTTTACGCCGCAATCAGGACTATATGATATGTATCAAGGTAGGTCAGGGTCAGACTCGCTGTGAACATGAGCAATGACTGACGTTATCGGACAAGATCACACTTAAATAAATCAGATCATGACCACCGGATTGACTTAAGTGGTATCCTTCCCAAATAAAGTTACATGTACAAAGCATATCATTGCTTTATTCCTTTCAGCAGTATGTTTTTGAAATGATCTTATTGCACCATGATTAGGTGTCTGTTACGACTAACAGTTATGGGCTGGGGCTATTATTACCCGAAAGCCACGCGGCTCACCCCTCTCGTTACAGGTTAACATCATATACATATATTCATGTCTAGTTAACATGTCAAATTTATAAATGTCGTACACATTTATGTTTTATTATATTAATAAAATCAATTACAATTGGTTTTGTGTTTACATGGTTATACACGAATGAAACCAAACAATGTGATATACAGCTATGATATATCTTCTTGTGATATATACATTCAATATACATTTATTGTGCATGTCACATCGATGTGAATGGCAAAAAGGTTAACGAAATACCAACATCCAAAAAACATTTCCAGGACGTCAACCATACGAAGGTGACATGGCATACGTATAAATATACCTCAGGTGTAAATTAAAATGTGCCCTGTACATTCGCATGGAGACCAGATCGCTTGTAAAAGAGACGGTACTATTGCGAGAGTCTTTTTGGGGCCAATGAGATATACATAATTTAGGAAATGAGGAAAGCCTGTACAAAACAGTATGAGAATATGAGAATTTCAACTATTGCATGTTTGGGATTTTTGAAAAATACTCAATGCATAGGTAAGCCTAAAAGAGGTAAAAAAGGCTGATTTTATCGGGAAATGTCGTTATAATATGTTGACATAAGCAAGGCTTTGACCCAAGCTTATTTTCCATGAAAGAAAGATAAAAAACGTACTCTTGGATATTAGGCTTGCTCGTACGTAGATCTTCTTTTGAAGGTTAAAAAAAGAAATCATTTTACCCATGTTTATGTATTTGGTCCTGCCAGAAGTAAACAACCTGCAAGTGAAAGAAGAAAGGCTAGCTGTCAGCCATTTGAATGTCTGATAATTTACCCACATTCCAGTCTGTCTGCAAAATATCTAGTGGTTTAAATATGTCCTTTAGACATCAGGTTAAGCCTATGTATGTAAGCGTATTTAGTACTTTCGTGAAAGATCAGGAGATGATGTCATTAATGTCATATACATGGGGTTATTATATGAGTATGTATTATTGTGATTTTGCGAAACGAATTTCGAATTCTGTGTACTTATGCTTACATAAAACCTGTCAATGTTGCAATGATATCGGCCCGAAACGTTTAATTACGTGTTATGAAATATAACGAACACGAAAATGGTTTTGAAGAGAAGCTGACGCTGCTACGTTTAAATGTAAACGTATTTTACAATGATAATGTATGATTCAAACTGTGTTCTTATCAGGATGTTATATAGGTCAGTGTAATTTGTAACAACACACAGCACACCCGTCATGTTTTTTGGTGTGTAGGGCCTGAAGGCGTATCCTAATCACGTCGCAATGTGTCTTATGTGTTCTGTCAACATGGTCGACCATTAACGTTTGTTTGAATATCCTGTAACCGTCATACACATCGACGAAGTGTGCGGACCAGCATCTGATTACCAGTTAGTTTTGTTTCTTTGTTTGTTTGTTTGTTGTTTCACGCCGCACTCAGCCATAGGCCAGCTATATGACTGCGGTCTGTAAATAATCGAGACTGGACCAGCCAATCAAGTGATTGACGACATCATGAGCATCCACGCAATTGGGATACGATGACATGCATTAACCAAGTCAGCGATCCTGACCACCCGATCCAGTTAGTCGTCTCTTACGTCAAGCAAAGTCGCCTCTTACGGCAAGCATGGGTGCTGATTATCAGTTAGAGATCAATACTAACATTCTCAGCTGTATAACTACAACGGTAATGTTAAATATGTTTGTATAATCTTGGTGGGCTGTAGTTAGTGCCTTCATAACACAGATGTTTTCCTGACGTTTCATTACCTAATCTTGTTGTGTCAATTGTCGGGCGCTGTGCATAAACGTTGAAAAAGAAAGTAGACACCCATGTTTTATGATAGCTAATATTGAAACAAACAGAACATGGTTGTTCGCAAGATGTATTTTATACGGGTATCATATTTGCGTTTTGGATCTCAAGTTTGCATTGTTTGGGCAAATGTACTCATCCCAGTAACGTTTGTTTGTAATACTGTAATTTTCCCGGCACTTAACTTGTCAGCGTTTCTAATATACATGACAGTACATGTTATTCTATAACATATACAGTATAAGCGTATGGCATTCTGTCGGCCTCGGCAAAACTAAGTTAAAGGGATGTTTGGTCCATGGTTGGAGAACCTATGTATGGGATGGTTTTGTAAATATACTCCGGCATGAGAAAAAGTCATTGATCCATTTTTGAGTAAATATTGCCCACCTTCTTTCAAGCCTTCAACCTTCAACCCTACCGATACACCTTATGAACCGATGAGTATATGAACATCAAAAGCTTTAATCGTATAGCACTGTTGCATTTTATTGGTTTTTTTTAGCAATCTTAGATGCATGTGGCATATTCGTGCATCAGACCCAACCAAGGTGGTTGTTCTGGAGACGTTGGACTCGATGATTCATACTTCTATCGATTGCAGAGAAGATACTGCAAGCGTATTTAAGGGTAAGACCAATCTCATTGGGTGAGACGAAGTACCGAAGTACACATTCACTGAATCACCTGCCTGAATTCTAAAATGCTTGTCAATTGCTTCTTTGAAAGAGGACACAAAGTACTGTTTATATTGTGAGTAAAACATGAGTTGATGTTGTTCGATTCATAATCAATATTAAAGACATTCACAAATACTACTTGTTAACTGACCCGTGAAGATTCCGGGGTAGAATAGGTCTTCAGTAACCCATGCTTGCCGTAAAAAGCGTCTATGCTTGTCGTGAAAGGCGACTAACGGGATCAGGTGGTCAGGCTCGCTGACTTGGTTGATGCATGTCATTGATCCCAATTGCGCGGATCGATGCTCATGATGTCAATCGCTGTATTGTCTGGTTCAGACTCGATTATTTACAGACCGCCGTCATATAGCTGGAATATTTCTGAGATCGGCGTTAAACAACAAACAAACAAACAAACTTGTTAACTACTTGTTTGATACATACAATGATTCCTTGTTGTCATATATTGGTGATCCAGTCTCATTAAGGTTAATCAACATGGTTTGTCGTGTTTAGTGGGTTACATGTGTATCAACCGACCTCGATTTGTTTCGCTAAAGTGGTGGACGCGTACGATCCTCGTATTTTGTCTTTTCTCTTTAAGGATACTGACATTCTGTAATGACTGAAATAATGTAATAAGTAAGTGCTCAATTTGAAAACAAAATGGGCTTGGCAGTGTACCAGTTGGATGGTTGAAATCTCATGGACAGTATATTTGATACAGTACGGCCAATGTGGCGTACACCTGTAGATATACTCAGAAACGCGATCCATAGAAACATATAGAGAAGTATGTACGTAAAGAAGAGATGTTACTAATGTTTACCACTTAATGACAAAACTAACAATAAGTCAAGTGTCACCACAGAGTGACTTATACTTGTCACGATATGCTGCGCGTGATTTCCAAACTTTACACGCTCATCCTGCATGAGATAGATGGTGCATCTTGAGTCATGGATCTATGACGTCACATATGATGCGTTCATGAGCGTCGGTTCACACAACATACCAGTGTGTTCGTTTGTGCATCGAACCAATCTTATATCTCTTGAATATGAGTAATTCTTCATATATTAATCAACATGTAGGGTATTCGCGTTTCTTTTGTCGGTGAGTATGTAAAGAGTGACCCATTGACTTATAATGTCTTTACTGGCAACAGGCCCATCTGCTCAACTCTCCGTAATGGTAAGGAAGTGGTGTGGGGACCTTCGATACTACTTAGACGCCTCCAATAGCTACTTCCTGTTCTTCCGCAGTAATTCCAAGTAGGAGAACAGAGGATTTCAAGTCCGCTACTACCAAGCGTCGGGTGAGTGATATTAATGTAATTTCAGAACATTCCATATTGAGTATTAAACACGTCTCGCTTCTTTAACTCTGGAAAGCATTTGCCCAGAAGCTCTATCGATGTGACCAGACCTAGCGAATAATAATAAATTTAAATATGCTACTTTCATGGGCTTGTGTGAACCCATGTCTTTGTTAGAACCCATGTTGAAATTTGTTCATCCTAATGACCGTGAAAGATCACAACGAGGAGAGATTATGGGCAAATTTGTTTCCAAATAAATACTTAAGGAGTTTTAAATTCTTTTAAAAATATTTATTTATTTATATATTTATTTATTCGTGCATTCATTCATTCATTTACAAATAAATGCAAATTTATTAATGGATTTTAATAATGAAAGAATATTTTTCTGAAGATGATTTCTCAGATATTGATAATTGAATACGCACCAAAAGACTAATAACCGATAGAAACGCTTCCTATTATTAATTAGAGTGACATTGGATATTAGAAGCATTATAAGTTGCCTTTTTATTTATATTCATTATATTGTAAACAATTATTTTGCCATCAGTATATTGGCACTTCTGTATTTATAAGTGTTCACTGATGTTTGTGCTTCAGGCAGTGGACCATGTAACCGTGATCTTGTGGCTACCAGAAATGCCCAGGACCTGATATCACCTGGATACCCCGTGGGATATTTCCAGTACGTCTTTCACCTACACTGTACCCATAAACACTTATGCACAACCCTATAGTGATTCCGGGGTAGAATGGGTCCACAGCAACCTATAATTGTATTAGGAGACTTGTGTGGATCGGATGATTAGACTCGGAGACTGTTGGTCACTGGTTTGTCTGATCAATACTCCAATAAGTGCACGCTACCGCCATAAAGCTTGAATGTTGCTGAGTGCGGCATGAAACATGAAAGTTATTGTATGATAAAAAATGAGTGAGAATACCTTTAATCTGAGGCTTCAAAAAGAAATGTTGTGTTTAGTGTGTTTACAATGTACATGTGTATCTTACTGAACCCTAAACAACCAGGTTATTTACCTGCGTCGTGTTTGCACATGGTCAGTTAATTAGAGTCTACCTCGGTGATTTTCGCCAAAGTGGTAAACATGTACAACTTATGCTGTTTGGTTGTCTTCAAACGTTCACTTGAAATGAACCGTGTCATATCTGAAAAACCGCTGTCATTAGCGTTAGGTTATCCACTCAGTTGCATATAAGAGGTAAAGGGGTTATGCAGTTCTATCATCCCTTGTTTGGGTCTGTTTCAGTGACCTATCATGCATCTACACCATCCGGGCACAACAATCGACTGACCGGATACAGATAGACGTGGTGGACATGCATATTGAGAACTCTCTCACTTGTGAAGATGACAACATTACTATCGTTGATCCAAGTAGGTGGGACAGTCTCGTCTCATGTCCACATGTGTATACCAGACTATTACAACAACACTGAACCGACACACATTCAAGAAAAATGTACGATACGAATTAATCTTTAGGTTACTAAAAAGTTGAATATGTGCCAACCAGCCTTGTGATGGACCGAAAATCTGGTTACTCTGAGGTCTGGTTGAGTAAGGTTTTTGATAGAGTTGCATCGCTTACTTTCTCGATATAAAAACGTAAGATCGCAAAAAACGTTAATTATTTGCGATTACATGAGTCTACTCTGCTTCACAATTTTGAGAAGGTATCTTGATATAAATATAAAACGTCAATGCCAGAGAAGAACCATTCTTGATTATCCAACGAAACAGATTCCATTGGTTGCGAAGGGCAAACACTATTGAAAATGATATTAATGGATCAAACTTATTCCAAATTTAAAAATTCCAAAAATTCAATATAAGCAACCCCTAAAAGCCCCCTCTTGGGTTGCACACACCACTTTCACCCTTTTCGCAAAACACTAAATGGCCCGGCCAGGCCCGTGTGCGAAATACGCTACAGTCGGAAAGCGCACGTTAAATCTCCTAGAACAGTCAGTCAGTCAGCCAGAGAAGAACCATTCTTGATTATCCAACGAAACAGATTCCATTGGTTGCGAAGGGCAAACACTATTGAAAATGACATCAATGGATCAAACAAACTTTGATGAAACACGTTATCCATTCTTTTTAACATCTGTTTTGTGAACTTTTAACTTAGCAATCGAATACATACCACGCATACGTGATGGTTACACGTAGTTACATAGGACATGCCGTAACAGGTAATCGGACTATTTTCAAAGTAACAGTATTATGTAGTACAATAATAAGTATGATGATATGGACGATTTGAATTTGATTTGATCCCGATATTATAACTTATATTGTCAACGTTTCCACAAAGAGTTTCATCATAGCTGTTGATGTCGTTTCTCTAGTTCTTGCAGCACATGTTGTGGGGACTATCTGTGGGCAAATGACACCGTCATATCAGAGCAGTGGACCTAACCTTCAGATAACGTTCAACTCGAACAGTGTCAAGGAAACCAAAGGTTTTATGATCAAATACAAGAGCATTTTAAGTAAGTGCATTTAATCTTTTCAGTTTTTGAAAACCAGTTTTTTTATAATCTCTTTATGCTTCATACTGTGTGATCATTACCTACTGAGGAACATGTATAATCTTCAACTTAGAAAATTAATTGGACAATGGGTATGATGTTCAATGAAAACCTTCCACTCAAAGAAGGTGAATATGTATTCATATGTATAATATGTAAACCCCTCATAATCCAAATAATGTCATTTATGATTTTGATTGTGTTTTGTAATCAAACGTCCTATACCAGTATTATATAATAAGCATATGTAATAATAATAATAATTTATTACTTGCCCGTGAAGAGATCAACCGTGTAATAAACATACAGCTGTAGTACACATTGTGTAATAGCAAAACGCGTGCTTATGTACTCTCGGAACACGTTTCACGAACAAATATTGAAAGCTCTCATCATCCCTTGGCTAATTCAACGACATTGCGTGTGGAGTTGATAGATCATTGAGAGGAGCTTATGCACACTCGATGACCCCAGCAACCTTGTTGCTAGGCTGACGTAACATGGCATTGTTTCGCCGATGGATCTTGCAACAAAATTCCACAAATAACGCCATCGGGAATTGTGGCGTTATTGTAAACTTTGAGGTGCAAGGCCCGTTCCACAAGGCGATCGTATTGTAGCGCAACGGCTGTCGTTAGTCTAAGTTGCGATAGTCTTAGCCCTACGATAAGTTTGTGAATTCTAAAGGTGGACCGTTGTATGGTATTAAATTCATACGTTTCAACTTTTGACGTGTTTGAAGTATTATTCTGTTAAACTCAATTGGACTATGCCGTGGATGGTGTAGGTGTCAGCCTATTCATACTCAACAGTATAATTCTAAAAACGTTATAAATGGCAAGTAATAAATAAAATACTAAACTCGCTCCAGTGTAAAACCAATTTTATGAAACTCGTGAATAGTTGTGCTATTACACGGGAGCTCGTTTAGTATTCTTTATTTGAAAGTTGAAGCAAACAGCTGGAGCATGTTAGCAGGTCTGAGGCTTCGATGAACATGGTTTGTGACCCCTGTGTAGAGTATGACTTCAATTGAGAACATTTGAAGGAGGTAATGTGGAACAAATAATGGCAAGATGTTCAAACAAATGTGACATGGTGCTCTGCGAAGGTAAATATGTATTTGTATTAAAGTGGGAAAAAGCTTTTTTCAAATAATGCCATATATGTTTGTGAGTGTGAGTGTTATCCAGTATTTTAGGTCGAGTGTTCCTCATGTTTTAGATTCAGACTGTCGAAATGATAAGCTGATCGCGACTGATGTTGATTCCTACCTTGTATCACCAGGCTATCCCAGTCGTTATTACAGGTAAGGCGTGTCAGTCAAAATGGAATCTCTCTACTTCAACGTAGTCACATGATCTATAAACCATGTAGTGATGTTAAAACTAAATATACATTGTCCTACCCTGGCATTTTATAGATCAACAAATATTTATTTGATGACAAACATTAATTTTTCAAAATAATATTTCTTCTTGAAAAATGCAAAAATTGTGATCCATAGAAAATTAACTACTCCCATTGCCCTTGTTGACATATAATATTTCTTCTTGAAAAATGCAAAAGTTGTGATCCATAGAAAATTAACTACTCCCATTGCCCTTGTTGACATGGAGTGAAATGTGGAATGTATCAATCTGCTCTTCTCAGCAACCTTGCGTGTAGATGGACAATATCAAGTAATGACCCACGAAGAACGATAGAGGTCGAGGTCATGCATGTAGGAATATCCGGCACACCTCCCGCCTGTAACGATGACAAACTTGAAGTGGATTACCTTCGTAGGTTATATTTACATTTTCCAAGCCATACATTTACAACCATATTCCAACAACAAGTTTCACATTTGTGTTATTATTGGGATCAACGTGGTACGTTGTTTTCACAACATGCCATTAAGAGATTATATCAATTGAGTGACGTACATATCATTTCCTCCTTTATAACTAATCAAGGAGTTTGTAAATTTGTTCAGGACAACATTTTAATGACAACTGTTAGTGTGTTCTGAAACTAACTCTCTATACTTTCATGTTTCAATGTTTAATTGATTTTACACAGATTCGTCCTCGCCAAACGAGGTGATATGCGGTTCAAGTACCCCGACGCAAAGATTTGTTAGCATGGGTAACACTTTGCTAATCACATTCACTTCAGACAGTGCCAACGAAGGCCAAGGATTTTATATACGATATCGTCAGGTACAAGGTAGGTTTTCTCCAGATATGAAGAAAACAAACAGTGGCTGTAAATAAAGTTATATTCCTCACTAAGGGTAAGATGGTATTAAATGTTTGTCCTTTGTCATGTTGTTCAAGAGTTCATCCTGAATTTCCCGAACAGATAAAATTAAGTTACCCTGAAAGTATTGTCATATATGTGTAACGTGAGAACAATAAACTGTTGTCCACTATTACAACTCGTTCAAAAAGGTTCATCTAGTTTTAAAAAGTACAAAACCTTACCTTCTTGGCCATCCTCGTGATCAGAGTGAGTGAGTGAGTTTGACTTAACGCTCCTTTTAAGTTTCAGTAATATCACAGCCTGTCAGCTTAAAATATGGGATTTATTTGTTGTTTAACGCCGCACTCAGTAATATCAAGGCTATCTGTAAATTATCAAGTCTGGACCAGATCAGTGATCGATATCATGAGCATCGATCCACACAATTGGGATACGATGACATGCATCAACGAAGTCAGCGAGCCTGACCACCCGATCCCGTTAGACGCCTCTTTCGACGCGCACGGGTTGCTGTAGAACTATTCTAATCTGGATCTTGAAGGGCAGCTAAATATGGGAGGAAAACCCGAATTGATCCAGATCTTAGACCGTAACCACTGCGGTGAAACCTTCGAGAAAGGACATGGTACTGACGAACCTGGAAACAATCAAGTCGATTGTAAGCGAAAATGCACAGGGAAATCCGGCGCATTAGATGAGTGGGTCACCTGTGCCCCTTCTCTTGAGAATTGACCAATTGTTCAAAGGGAAATTCCGTTCAATTTAAGCCCCAGCCAAAGCAAAGCCCGTGTCATACCATAGGAGCAATTTATGTTTTACCCGTTTTGTTTGTGATAAATGTAGTATACATACGTATATGGTTCATACTCAGTAATCGACATTTCAGGCAACACATCTTCTGCCTCCTGTAATCAGACATTGACTGCAACTGGAACAGAACAGGTTCTTACATCCCCTGGATATCCACACATTTCACTCATGTAAGTTTCCGTTTTTTTGTCTTCCTTAACGCGAATCAATAATGTGTTTCAGTCCATTGACTGTCGTAGTACCCCATTATTTTGATGGAGATATGGCAAGTATAGTTTAAAATTCCTTAGTTTGTAGATGTGATGAAACACTGATTATGATATCTGGGTTGGCTTTGTTTCCAAACCAAATAATCTTAAGCAGGTCTTCAGTCATAATTCGTTTGTAATTATGATACGTTAAATGAGTTACCAGATGATTTCAATGTGAAAGGCACCGTACAGAGTTCACAGTAAATACCTTTTATTTGACGTTTTAAACTTTGATTGTAAGTTGGGTTCCATACAATGACTGTATAATGACAAGCTTAATACAACGTATGCACGGAATAATAGTGATACGAAAACATATAAATATCCCACTGTAGTTCATCTCACCTGTCTCTAGGACATGTATTACCAAAGTCTCCTTTCTTCGATACAGGTCACAAACCTGTTCCTACACTATAAGGGCACAAAGCGGTTATCATATCAGAGTGACCCTGAATGACCTGGATATTGAACGCGCCAGAGTCTGCCGATATGACAGCTTGGCAATATCAGACGGTAGGTAACGATATGATAAACAAATAGAAAAGGAACTATTAGGTCTGTGTGCATGTAATATCCTCTGTACATGTGTTACTGGTGTAAGAACATCTCCTCAAAGCATAGCCATTGACATTAACACTCTGCATAGTAACCCTGAAAACTTAAATACGAATCTTTCTGTTTTAATTATCATGCACGCACTTCCATACAACTTGCCCAGTAATGCAGTGAAGAACCAACATACTCCATTGTATTTAATATTTTAGTATGACAAAAGTGTTATCAATCCATCAGCGTTCTGAAATTATGTCCTATTGATTAAAATCCATTCAAAGCAAGCTTGGCAACAAGTCAAAAACGTTCGAAAAATAGTCCTGGCACCACCGTTATTTTCGAAGGCGTGTTCTCAATGTACAAAGTTTATGCTGAAGCGATTATCTGTCTTCAAGACCCTGTTGTTCGCTGTGCTTAGGTACGTCGACTCTGGATGAGTTATGGTGTGGGAAAAGTGCTGGAGAGGTTGTGAACAGTCAGAGGAACGACATCACAGTGACCTACAGTATAGATAACTCCAACAATGGACATGGTTTTTCCCTGAAGTACTCCGCAGTCAGAGGTAGGTTTCTCCTGCGAGCATGCAAGCTCGATACAATCGATAAACTGTACACTACTGCGAAGATAAAGTCATCGATCGGGATCGTGAGTCATTTGTTCAAAACAAAACAAACATCCACACGGCCGCGACCGTGCTCTGATCGGGTTGTCAGGCACGCTGACGTTGTTGAAGCATGCCATCGTATCCCAATTGCGTGGATCGATGCTCATAATATCAATCACTGGATTGTCTGGTCCAGACTCGATTATTTACAGACGGCCGTAATATGGCTGGAATGTTGCTGAGTGCGGCGTTAAACAAGTGAAACCATATGATAATTTTATCATACATCATGGTTTTAAATTGTATAAATGTATCTATTTGAAAGTGAATGCAATAATTTTCACCTTGTTACGGGTCTGATCATTTGGGGTGAAACGAAACATCATGAGGTTTCATACGATGATACCATATAAGATATGATTTTTGTCTGAATGATACAAATGATACACTTGCTAAAGTGAATTCCTTACTACTCGTTTTTGAACTCTCAGTCAAATATCGCCAAAGATGTTGCAATTAACTAGAAATAGCCGCTAGGAAGAAGTGTCCACGCAAACCGGAAAGATGTGACCCTTTTCTCCAAATAACACACTGTCATCTTCCACAAAAACAGAAACTGCAAGCAGCGTACAGACAATGACATTGCCCACACGAAGCACTCCACTCTACCTGTCTTCTCCTGGATTTGAAAAGCGATACCCTCGGTATGTGCATTATAATTATTCTTTCACTAAGCAAATATCGTAAATATATCCATTCTAACGAATTAAAAGATATATGCAGGATTTCATACATTTCATGTAAATCTTACAGTAAGTGTTATATTAATCCATTCCCTTGAATTTTGAAGAGGCATCACCTACACCTACATCTTAACTGCCGATCCTCGACAACAAATAAGATTGCGTGTAAAGGAATCGTATCTTCGTTACAACACAGCGAACGGAGCCTGTCTCAGCCAAAGGGTCAGGCTTTATGACGGTGAGACAAACCAGGCTTCACAAAACAGGTGTCATACTATTTTTATAATAATGATGATGATGATGATGATGATGATTCACAAAACAGGTGTCATATTATTTTTATAATAATGATGATGATGATGATGATGATGATAATATAAAAGCGACAAAACCCTTTCCATACATATCCCAAGCATTATAAACATAATACAAGCATAATAAGGCAAATTGTACTGAAAATATCAAGATTGCCTCTGAGCCTTACTCAAGGAGTTATGACATGTCTGATAACGTGTATACTAATCATTGAGTGAGTGAGTTTGCACCACTTTTGGCAGTATTCCTTCGTATCTGGGAGGGGTAATTGGAAATCGGCATCACACATTGTACTCATTTGAAATAGAACCCATGACTTTGGCGTGACGAGTGAACTCTTTAACCCCCAGAACACATGATCGTTTGAAAACCAGATTCATCCTGATTACGTTTCCAGGTTTGTATGCACCATACCTGCGTCGTAGGTTCTACTAAACTTGCCAACGTCTCAGGCCTGAATCACGTCAGGCTTTTCTCCCACATTAAGCTGACATGATGTGATATAACTGGAATACTGTCCAATTCGGCGAAAAGCCAAACTCGCTCAGTCAGTATAATATCATTTTACAGGCCCATCTTCAGCCAGTTTACAGTTAAAGTCTATGAACACAAGGCAATACGGCTGGTGTGCCTTGGACTTGCCAGTCTTCGTCAGCAGCAGCAACTACATGACCATGGCGTATAAAACATCCAATTCTGCAGACCATGCGAGAATTGGCTTTGTTCTAACGTATGAGCACGGGAACTTCAATGGTATGTTTATCACATATACAAATTTCAGTGTATGTATAATATCGACTCGTGCCGATAGAAACCTGTAACACATTATGTTACATATTTTGAATTAGGAATTTGAAACACATATATTGGTGAGTTTATAAACTTACAACAACATGTGATTCGTTCGATCAGCCTTTACCCCGAAGGAAAATCGTGACGGCATCACTAACTCTATTTTGCGAACCATCTTTATATTTGTTTATGCAGGTTTAATTGCACATTTGTTTGTGGCATCAATATTTGTATTATGTACGCGATTGGTATTAAATGACATTAACTTCATTATACCAGATATGTATCCATATACGTGTGGCGGAATATACCTGGCTTCATCACAGGGGACCGCAATCACCTCACCAAACTACCCACAGAACTACGACAGGTAAGACAGATATTAATCGAAAATAAAGAATTGACTTTAGTTCTGCCCCCTAAAATAAAACAAAGCATTCTTAAAACCTGTATTTTTTAAGTCAAAAACATTTTTGATCACAATTAGGTGACATAGATATGCATGTGTCAAAAAGGATACAACATATACTCTTCTAACAAACATATGTATTTAATACTGATGAGGATCATTTATTAGCACTGAGGAAACTATTGTTGGTTTGTTGTTTAACGCCGCACTCAGCAATATTCCAGCTATATGACGGCGGTCTGTAACTAATAGAGTCTGGACCAGACAAACCAGTGATTAATATCATGAGCATCGATCCACGCAAATGGTATGGTATGGTATGGTTTGTTGTTTAACGCCGCACTCAGCAATATTACAGCTATATGACGGCGGTCTGTAACTAATCGAGTCTGGACCAGACAAACCAGTGATTAATATCATGAGCATCGATCCACGCAATTGGGATCGATGACATGCATCAACCAAGTCAGCGAGTCTGACCACCCGATCCCGTTAGTCGCCTTTTACGACAAGCATAGTGGCCTTTTACGGCAAGCATGGGTTGCTGAAGACCTATTCTACCCTGGAATCTTCACGGGTCCCACGCAGTTGGGATCGATGACATGCATAACCAAGTCAGCGAGCCTGACCACCCGATCCCGTTAGTCGCCTTTTACGACAAGCATCGTCGCCTTTTACGGCAAGCATGGGTTGCTGAAGACCTATTCTACCCTGGAATCTTCACGGGTCCCACGCAATTGGGATCGATGACATGCATAAACCAAGTCAGCGAGCCTGACCACCCGATCCCGTTAGTCGCCTTTTACGATAAGCATAGTCGCCTTTTACGGCAAACATGGGTTGCTGAAGACCTCTTCTACCCCGGAATCTTCACGGGTCTTGAGGGAACTGATACAGGTGAAATCATTTCTGTAATTCTGACTGAGCATTATAGGTTTGCTTTTGATGTTGATTGGCTAGATTGAAGGATCGGAGGTGTTAACTTTATAGTTTGCGAAGATTCCATTAGCAGCATGACTTCATTTCGGCGCAATATTGAGAATAGTTGAAGATGACGTCATAGCGACAAGGCTCGAAACGACTTCCTAAAAGCTAATCCACTCGGGATAGATAATTCCTCGTTAATTATCCCCAGTTCTAGGTCGTTATATCACGAACACTTGGTGTCTTCACATTCATGTTATGTTATGTTTCATTACTATTTTGCCTTTTCGCCCAATGGAATATGTTTTAGCATATGTTTCTCTGGCTTTGGCGTTTTATACATATTTGATAATACTTTCAGTAACTTGATCTGCAAGTGGATCATTTGGGCGGCTTCGAATACGACCGAGATCAGACTTGCTGGCAACTTCTCCCTTGTGGGCGGCATTGGTGCTAACTGTGGTGGAGATTATCTGACCGTGTACGATGGTGCGTCCGTGTGACCATAGTAATCTAAATATACTTTCTGTAATTAGGCTGCATTGGGGGGACCCGTGAAGATCCGGGGTAGAATACGTCTTCAGCAACCCATACTTGCCGTAAAAGGCGACTATGCTTGTCGTAAAAGGCGACTAACGGGATCGGGTAGTCAGGCTCGCTGACTTGGTTGATGCATTTCATCGATCCCAATTGCGTGGATCGATGCTCATGATGTCAATCACTGGATTGTCTGGTCCAGACTCGAATATTTTACAGACCGCCGTCATATAGCTGGAATATTGCTGAGTGCGGCGTTAAAAACCAACCAACCATCCAACTGCATTGAGGGCACACGTTTCCCAGCCTCTCGCAAAGATTTAAGACAATGTTTCACGTGTCATTCATGAAAATATATAAGGATGTAAATATCCAACATATGTTTTTCAGGGGCCGCGGAACCAACTAACTTTTTGAGCAAGTTGTGTGGGACAAGCTCTGATACTCTTCAGTCGACCGGGAACCTTCTTACTATTGTCATGAAAACTGATTCAGGCTACAACGGGAAAGGATTTAGGTTCTTGTTTTACGAAACTACAGGTACAACAAGAAGTGGCATTTCCTTGGTTCTTGAATGGTGTATTTGAACATTTGATAACAAATTTGTTGACCTTATTGTTGTCCGGTAAATTGAAATTATAAACAATACAGCAAACCGATGTATAATGTTTTTGTTGATTCTTCAGTATCATATATTTTCATTACCAACAGTTGATACAATAAAACGTCATTTAGTAACATATAGGTCGGTGGTGCTAGATATAAAATTGGGCACAAAGGTAGTCCAGTTTTCGGTAATCGCTTTGCTGGTACGAATCCCTCAGGTATACCTAAAACCAATGATGGTGGATTTGAATCCGTCTCTGTGCGCGTGCTTGCGTGCGTCTTGGGGGTAGAATGGGGGTTTGAGGCAAAATTCAGTCAGTGCACTATCTGTAATAGCACTTCATGTGTACGCCAACAGTTTCAAAGCGTCGTCTCGTGTAGCTTTGGGGGCACTAAAATTATTTTCTTCAATAAGGTTCAATTTTTCAGATCCCCTTCCATGTGGTGGCTCTCTGGCGGCGTCGTTGACGAATTCTTACCTCCGACAAAGGATTCGCCCGTAAGTGTTTGCACAGACTTGAGGTACAATTTGGCAAATAAGTGGGAGGGCGGCAAGATGACACTGTGGCTTGAGTTCTTCAACGTTGTGTATGTTGGTAACGAATCATATATACTGAACAACAAAAGTTCCTGTGACATTGAATAAGATTTAATGCAAAGTTATGTTTTTTACCAAATCTTAAACTATTTCGGTTTGCAACAGATAAAAGACTCCTGAAAGTTTTCCAATGGTTTAATTTGCCATGCTTACTTCAGAAAAAGCGTGATTTCATAAAAAAACCATGAACATGCCAAAATGTCCATTTACAAATCAATAGCGCGTTTGTCCACCTTTGGTTGCGATGCAAGCAACAAATCTTCGTCTCATGGAATGGAATGAGTCTCATGGAATGAGTCCTGTGGGATATCTGTCCATATGTGCCGGAGCATGCATCTCATCCCACATGTGCTCGATTGGTGAGAGACCAGGGGAGCGAGCCGGCCAGAGGATGACATTCACGTTGTTTTGTTGAAGAAAATCCCGAACAAGTCGAGCATTATGAGGCCGGGCGTTGCCATGTTGAAAGGTAATGCCTGGGCCATGACGACGCAAAAACGGTAGAACAACGGGGCCGATGATCTCGTCGCGGTAGCGCTGTTCATTGAGGTTTCCCTCTACCACAATCAAACAGGTCCACTGTCTTGCTGTAATCCCACCCCATACCATAACGCTGCCGCCCCAGAACCGATCTTCTTCCATGACACAATGATTGACGTAACGTTCACCTCGACGTCGGTACACTCGAATCCGTCCATCTCTGTGGCTGAGGTGAAAACGAGACTCGTCAGTGAATAGAACTTGTCCCCACTGCATGGCCGTCCAGAGTAGATGCTGTCTGCACCACTGTAGACGTGCTTGACGGTGGTTTCCTGTCAAAATGGGACGTCTGGCGGGTCTTCTAGATCTGGCGACAATCCCTGCACATCTGAGGCGACGACGTACGGTTTGTGAAGATATTCGTCGAAGGCCAGGGATGTTGCTGGTTGGAATCGATTTCGTAGGTGTGTTCTTCGAATCGAGTTGTCTTGTTGATTATTGGTTACGCGTGCCCTTCAACTCCGAGGATGATCTTTGACTGCATTCGTCTGTTGCCAACGCTGCCATTACCACCAAATGGTGTTTCTGTGGACGTTAAATTGTCTTGCAACATCACGTTGACTCGATCCTGCTTCAAGCATACCATTGGCTCGCAGACGCTCATTTTCGGACAGGCGTGGCATTTAGTAATGTTGAATAATTGCGTAATTTTGTTGTTTTTCTGAGTGGTTGTTGTCAGCACGATGCTTAACAATGCATATGGAATCCCGTTAACGCACATGTTTTATACCCATTCTTGGATAGTGAAATGTATGGGGCTTGCATAAAAGTCAACTTTTGAATGGAATGCATTCTTTTCTATGGCAGTGGCGTTTTTGTGACTTGATTCCATTCATGTACTACAATATTGAAAGCCAAACTTTACTTGGTTGAAAAATACACTATAATATTGGTGTCACAGGAACTGTTGTTGTTGAGTATATATGGACATATTCTCGGTTTAGTAATTATACCTTAAAGCAAGGTTTATAACTGTTGTGAACTTCGAGAGCCAACAGTTGTATTAACTATATCCTCGTTGGAATTCAGGGGAAGAACTGTTACCAAGCAACCAAAACTTGTCATACCAGGCGATAAATCAGATCGAAAGGTCAAACTGGGTTGATTGCGTGTCACTATACCTCGATGACGTTGGAATTTGCTTATAATACCAATCACTGGTTTATCAGGTCCAGATTTGATTATCTACAGATTACTGTCGTCTTCTTGGAAAAATGCAAACTGCAGCGTTACAATACAAACAATAAAAACATATTTCTCGGGCGGCTGTGTTGACTAGTAGTTCACGCTCGACTCTACGCTGAAGACCAAGTCCTACACGTAGAATTACACTAACTCAATTCAATATATGGTTTTGACGAAACACCCCATTTTCCCGGGGCAAGGGAGTTATCTGACTGTAAAAGTCCAGTTTCCACCCTTTCCGAACTAGGGTAGAGTTATGGAGTTATATTTTTGGTTGACCAAAGAGTCCATGCATAGTATAATCGACGAAATCGACATCCGGTTAATAAAAACGTTGCAAATACCGTGCAGATATCGGTCGATTGAAGGATTTAGAAAGTGTACAGTCAACTGAGCGTCGACAGATATTTTTTTAATCAAGGAACTCAAGTGATTTGATGCATTTCCCGAGGTGAGACACGTTTATTTACAATATAGATCTTGATTATCGATCAGATCATCTTGACTGGGAGCCGCCAGTTTGCATGAATCAAATGCAAGTGATATGAGAGGTGGAATCCGAGGTACATAGAAGGGACATAACTCTTAATAGCCACTGTTAGCGGTACGATCAAGCCACGTGGAAACTAGACTTCCACAGTTAACTCCCTGGCCTCGGGAATATAGACTCACCTTTTCATGATCAAAATAAGTCTTATTTCTTTGTTGCAGAAACACTTCATGTGAATGGGTATTTACAAGAGAATCAAACGATACCTACATCAAACTTAAACTGTTAAGTTATGATATCGGGATGCGGAACAACGGCACGTGTGGCGCGGATCATGTAGCAATATATGATGGTAATATAGCATGATAATATACTTTGTCCCCTCAACTAATTGTGTTTCCATGTTATCCCCCATGAGATATGCGCACCAGTAAAATGGGGTAAAATGTTGCTATTGAAACCTAATTGGTTACATCTTGGTCTTTCTTGACAAGTGCTTAGTTGTACACACAGACGGAAGATTGGTTAATCGGTGAAGTCTTATGATCATCAACATAATCATTTTTATTTTTTATCGTTCAATATTACTTCTTTGACCCCTTCCTGACTTAAGTAACTTTTGATTTGGTGTATATGTATTAGCATCAACCTTGAGAAGAATGACTGCCATCACCTTCCCGTCACATATGATTCTTCTACATCCAAACCTTGTCGTATCAGTTATTATTTTTTTCTTTTGCATGCAGGTAACTCTGAAGCAAGTACCCGTATCGCTTTATTGTGTGGATACAGGTCAGTTGCAACTTTCGTTGGAACTGGTGGTCAGATGATGGTCAAGCTGGTGACAGGAGCGTCCCCTGTAGGATATGGCTTCAATATAGAATACAGCTCATGTAAGTTTATTACATGGTTTTGAATATTTCCGAAATATTGGGAGATGTGAAAATATGAACTTGAATGTATTTTTAATAACACTACGAGGTACGATGATCCATGCAACGCAATATACATTATTGTAACGTCATATCAAGAATTGGGAGAAGAAATGAAGTATGTAACAGTACAAGTAATATATATGAAGAATGTACAAAATGTAAATATTATTCCTCTGAAATTGTGATTGTGTTATTTTAAAAGAGAGGTATATTCATTTTGACTCTAATTGATAATCTTGATATTAAAACGTATGTTTAAATAAAGATGATGGAAGGCCATGAGATGCTCGCATGTTTCTTATTGCAGATAAGGGTGATATTGACGAAGTAAAGTACTGTTATAGATCTTTTAAAGTATTTTTATAACATTAATAATATCTTGAACACGCTGAGACAATATCAATATCTCATATGCCTATTTTCACAACAATCATAGGGAATACCTTACCGAGAAACCAGTTCGGGTATTTACAATGACAAAACAAATGTCAGTGAGAAATGAAACAAAGGCGATGTTTGTTTTATTAGAGAAAACAGGAAATATTAACTTGTATCTTGATTGCATGTTATCGGCATTAATTTTGGTAGAGTGACTGCCTCGACTTTTATATATGGTTCGGAAATTGAGGATTTGAAAATGCAAACCTTGAAGGAGTACATTTACAATTTCTTAAAATTGCAGCTGGTATATTTGCTATAAAAGAATAAACGCATTATCACATTTTGGCATAAACTCGCAACAAATAAGGATGTCCTAAACATTTCATACCAGCTTAACATCTCAATGGACCCATGTTTTTTGGTGAAAAACATACTAAATGATTGTTGTCTTACCGAATTCGAATTGTTTAATAACCCGTTAATATGTTCTGCACTGTTGCTGGTTTCAAAGGTGGAAGAAGTAATAAACGGTCAATATCTGAAAAACTGACACAGCTCTATCACGGAAAGTGTAGTGGTCTGATACTACCAACAATTTAAAGAAAATTTTACCTTTTGAGAAATATCTCTTCCCACCAAAATATATACCTTAGAATATTCTCAAATTCAAAAGTCATAAACAACACTTTCCCACTGAATAGTACTATGCACAATGTGGCCTTTTACCATAAAGAACTACATTCATTTATTTTCAAGTGCTGCGTGAGTTTGTAAATAAATGAATAAATACATTATAAGAAATCCGTTTTGTCTTTCCCCCAAACTTATATAGGGGTGATAGGTAGTTATTAGCAGTCAGTGAATCATGAAACATGTGTATTGTAACAGTAGTCATCATAGAGGGACACCTATTTCAGAATCTTCGAATTTTTCTGAAGAAAATCAAAACCACTTATTAAATTATTAATTCATTCAATCAATATTAGTCATCCTCTTATATGTTCTCTTAATCGACATACTTTTAATAATAAAACATGTTGCACTTACGGAGATATTGACGTTTTCCAAATTATGAGTGTTAGTGCTTCGCACTTCATTATGATCGTATAAATAGTTCTAGACACATCATATGTACAAGTATTCTGTGAATTTTTCTTATATCTTTCATCTTTTTTTATTTCTCTACATGTTTAGATCTGAGTATGATGGGCAATTGCACTGTAGGAAAAGTATATTTAACATATGAATAGTTTACACGAAGTTGAATAATGAACACATAGCATGAGGATAAAATACAAACGTATAGGGTGGTCATTTTGTGCCGGAAACAAATATCGTTGGTTCGAATTCCAGTTTCGTCCTGAATATATTTCTTGGGGATTTAACTGAAATACTGTTCAGAGCGGTGTTTCATGAAACTCAAAAACGCGCATCTTTGGTACCAGTACGTTTCATCCTTGAGCTTGTATCAGTACTTCCTTGATTTCAGCGGCCGCAGAAAGATGTTCCACAAAGGATCGCAGGGCTACAGGACTTGTGGCTTACCTTCAATCTCCCTCATATCCCAATCAATATGAATCGTAAGTATTCTAGGTGTGTATGTGGGTACAATTTTATTGAAGTAATGACTGTTCACGCCGCACTCAGCAATACAGCTGTATAACGGCGGCCTGTAAATGATCCAAACGAGTCAAGGTAGCAAACATTACAGAATCATGCACATACTTCTGTGTTTTTTTTCCTAGGCAGGGGTGGAAAACGGACTTTTATATTCAGTTAACCTCTGGAAGATACTCATCGTATAACTTTTCATGACCGCAACACTCATGTAAATATCACGTTTTGTCAGGACTTTCAAGGAGAAAACCAAACATCCTTTGTTTATTCATACAATGACGACGTATGTGTCCATTTAATGAAGTCCAACCTTCAGTTTCACAGCATTTGTGACATTTTCGGGTTAATTACTTGTTATTATGTTCCTCAGGAATCTTCGCTGCACATGGCTCATCGACACTGGCAAAGCGGACTATATAGTTATGTTTAACATCCTGCTAGCAAGTATTGTCTACTCGGACGGCTGTAAGGATGACTATCTGGCAGCCTATGACGGTGGGTGTCGTTGCGCTATGCCAAAATTACACATGAAGACGTGCGATGTAAACTATAAAAAAAACACCATAAACACCAACGCGTATGCCGACGGATATATTTAAATGTATCTTTTAAATTTAACGGCACTTTCTTGTATTGGCGCATACATGAATGATGTCCCATAAATAAAGTGCAATATGTTACAGTGTCTTAGGTTCTATGGACTTGCTATAATTCTATGCACAGGCATGTCCGAGGCAAGCAGCGTCCAGTTGGGTAAATGGTGTCAGAGCGTTGACAGAACAGAGACACAACATTCAACTCAACAATATGTGACCATTGTCTTTCACACAAACGAAGATGTGTCCGGTGGTGGCTTCAGGCTGAGTTACTGGAGAGATGCCAAAGCCATAGAAGGTACGCAGTAAACACATTCACAAACATCAAATTACTCGGAGTTTCAATGCAATGACATGTGCCAGGATACCATGATGCCTCATGCGTCTGTTGTTTTGATTGATGACCCTCTTGGAAAAAAACAGAACAAAGTTATATAACTCATTGCAAAGGATGTATGACAAGGAATATGTCTGGACAACTAGATTTACGTGATTTAACAAAACGATGTATGATTAAATAGTAGTCCTTAAAACCCCTTCAACCCTGCTATTGTTGAATGTAGAGTCAAGTGAATTTTCCAATATCTCAGAATAAGCAGGATTGCGACTTAAGATTTTTTTCTACAGGAGAAGGTAGAGACAGAGCAATCCTGTGGTGAAACATCTGTCTTGGGTCAGGATCTTGTACACAGTTATATTTACTCCTGCAGGCGATAGTTATGTCTAACCCTATTCACCCGTTAATCCTAAACTCAACTGATCACGCGATACGTACGTAATTTACCATGTTTAACAACTTTCATGAACACTTATTTCAATACCTGACACCACTGATGTGTTGGACCAACACATGCATTTGTGTTCGGCGTATTCTAATTTATATTGATAAAAGGGATTTTTTGTAAGTTTAGCCTCATTTACATTTTGTATAATATATTTCAGGTGGCTCTGGAGCTCTTGGTACAAACGTTGGAGCAATTGTTGGAGGGATCTTTGGTGGCCTCATACTTTTGGCTGTCGTCATCGTCGTCATCGTCTGTGTGGTCAAAAGGCCTCTGTCCAAAGGTGCGAACAGTTCCTATGGAGGAGGTCAAGCCGCTCCTGCCGTGACGTACCAGCCACAGCGTGCAACTGCGTATATGCATCCACCGTCCACTAGTCCTAATGCATATGCTTACGACAATCGAACGTACAATGCAATACCGCATGACCATTTCCCTCAATATAACGCGCATCCAAAACACCAAGGATCAAACTACAAAGTTCAGGATCATGAGTATTCTCAACCAGGACCTGTTCATGATCATGAATATGCTCATTTAGGACATGTTCAAGGGCATGATTATTCTCGGGCAGGGCCTAATCAAGCAAATACATATTCTCAGCCACGGCCTGTTGAGCGGGATGAATATTCTCAGGCAGGGCCTTTTGATCGGGATGAATATTCTCAGTCAGGGCCTGTTGAGAGGGATGAATATTCTCAGTCAGGGCCTGTTCAACAAAATGGGTATTCACAGGCAATACACATGAGCCCTCCGAGATATGACGACATACAATCAGCGGGCAACAACGATCTGAGTGTCTCTTACATTTGAGTCTTCATCAAATCTAAAGCAGAAAAAACACTCCTGGTGTATTCTGATACGAGCTGTATCTGAAGATGACATTTAGTTATAATGTGAACACATATATACACCCAGGAACATTTGACTGTAAAACACACATGTGCATCTATGTGACCAGGAGATTTTAAACCCAAAAGAACAACTTGTACATTAGCCAAAATAGTTCATATTTGTCGGACAAGAGGTGTTATATTTTTATCATCATATGTTTTGTAATTGTCAACCTCGGTTGTAAACATTCGAGTCCTTCAGTTTTCGCCCACGTTCCCGAAATCGTTTTTAATTTTATAACTGTTTGAGATATTACTATTTATTTGCATACATTTTGTGTAAAATATATGTATATTATTCTTGTAATTAAATGTATCATCTTAATATTTAACAGCTATGGTTGGTTCCAGTGATCGGCTGAAGTAGTCTCTCGATCTACTGGTGCTCAGTCTTCAAAAGTAGCTCAGTTCATTCCGAAATTAGTTTATGGTTTAAATCCAATAAAACAAAACTTTTTCTTCTAGAATACTTACGTAAACACTTTGCTCGAAATATTACTTGGTATATTACATCCATCTAAATTACTGTCATTTCATATATTTGGTGTTTAATCGCATTCTTCTCGCTCGAGCTATTGGCGTCGTCTGCTACATGTATTTCCGGAAGTGACGTCAGCTGCAGAAATAACAGACTCAACGTAAGTTGTTTGGCCGAGCGAATTTACAGTATAGATTCCATGGACGTTTATTATAGTTTTTTTAATTATAATAATTACATTAGTGCATCGTAATTATTATTTTAATTTATATTGTCTGTTCTGCTCGATTATTTACACACCGCCGTCATATTGATGGGATATTGCTGAGTTGGTGTCAGACAATAAACAAACGTAATATTATGTATCAACTGTTACATAAACGGGTGAAATATCAACCAGTTTTCCCATCTACATGTGATAAATACTTGTATTATTTGTTATTAAACACGTGAAGCATCAATAGGTGATATTATCCAAGTTATAAATACATATATTGTTATTAACCGAGTGAAACATAAACCGACAAAGGAGACACAATTTATGGGTGAGCATAAACCGGTTTCCAACCTATGTTGTACATATAGAGAATCTCTCTCAAGTGTCTTTTGATATCAAATATATATTTTCCACAGTTGCTAAAAGTGGAGAAACTCCGAGGCTTGCCGGGGAGTTTTTTCCACTTTTATCAGCGAGTGTTGATATATTGATATCAGAAGACACGCGGGTGAAATTGTATTCATCATCCGACATCATTCTGCCAACCTTTTCAGTTTGTAGAAAGTAATAACAGTGTCTGAAGTGTAAAAAGTACTGCTAACAGCTTCAGTAGCAGAGCCATTAGTGGTGTCATTTGATTGTGACGTCATGGTAACCAGGAATGTCACTATGGTCTACAAATCATTGTGATGCAATTTCATTGCAGCGATATCTACAATGTAGCTATCGCATGATCTCACCCAAGCGATATCTCACGTGGGAGCCAGTTTGGGATGATAAATATGTGTTATGCATCAGCTATTAGTAACCGAGTGTTCCTTTGCATCCATGTTAATAATAAATATATGTACTATGTATCAACTGTTTTTAAACTAGTGAAACATCAGTCGATGTTATACTTGGGCGTATTCTTTAGATCAGCTGTTATTTAGAAGACCTCCGTGGTCTAGTGGTAGAGCGTCATACCAAAAGACGTTAAAAGATGGTACTTGTTACCCTGACTGTTGCCCGGCATTAAGGGTCTGAAAGAAGGACTGGTCGGCTCAGAGTCAGTATACTGTGTCTGAATGGGGTATTTATGTTAGATGACAGTGAACAAGGATACATCAAAGGTAATGTATTGTAGAAACATATCAACTGCTAAAACGGAATGCTTTTTCAGATGTTGGGAAATAGTTATTGTTATCTAGGACTCCTAATAACAGAACATCTAGTTTATACCAGGATGGCGATGGCAGTGGCAAACGCGGTCAGCAGAACACTGAGACTACTTATCTCTTATGAATACACAATGCCATTTAGAAAGTGGTCAAATGTAACAAATGTGTGGGATAACACTTTCTTAGTAAAGTACAGATTCTTGTACTTTTTTGGGTTGAGTCCCGTCCGGGATTCGAACCCACACCTGCCAGGGTGAGGCACCTAATCACAAGCACACAAAGTCAGCGATCTAACCCACTCAGCCAACGAGGCTTCCACAAAAATGAAAGTCCGAGTACCCCCCTGACAAAGTACGTGATCTAGACTACCAGTTGTCGGACTTCAACAGTAGGGAACCTTCGAGTCTGACTTCGGAGCTGAATCATACTTGACAGGTGACATACGATGGAGCCACAGGCGAGCTCTCTCCCTGTTCAGATGTGGTACAGCACCCCTTCATATAGAAATGGGACGGTACTGCAACAAAACTGAAGAAAGAACCTGTTTCAACTGCCCGGATTCTGTTGACGATGAGATGCATGTGTTACTCCAGTGTCCACTTTACAAGCATTTAACAATAGATATGTTTGCACTATGTTGTCAGTTTTATCCTGATTTTATTACAGCTTCCGACGAAGAAAATTTTACAATATTCATGTCTTGCCAAAATATTATGAAAGTTTGTGCCAAAACCTGCAAGTATGTTATATAATTACGTCTCTCATATTCCCGTAGAGGATGGCTCGGTTATATGTTGTTGTATATGTTGTTTATATCAGTACCTGGGCTGAGACGAAAATAAAATATTCTGTCTGTCTGTTAAACTGCGTCATGGAATTCGAATCGTACAAGCAGCCACACAAACACACACGTGCATGCACGCCGCCATATAACTGCAATAATATTGAACGCGACGTTAGACTCCATTGTATTGTTTGTATCAGCTGTTATTAAAGAGAGTGAGCATTAATCAACTTTCCCATCTATGGTGCAAATACACTTGACTCCAAATACAAAATGTTTTCAATCTATTATTTGAATTTCGTTAACTGTAAGCAAAGGAGTAGAGCATCAACCGACTTTCTCATCTTTTACACACACAATAAACTACGGTTTTAACGAACTCAAAGGGACCACTAATTGTAGTTCTTTATAATCCTAGTTCGTTATAAAAACGTTACACGTATGCAGCATCTATACAGCAAATGGCCGGGACCAAACGAAAGTTCGTTGTATAAGTCAGTTCGTTATAAGCGTGTTTGTTTTAAACGTAGTTTACTGTACTTGTATGAGGAGTGGTTCCCGTCCACACGCAACCTACATATAAATCGACTGGTACCCTTATGAAATGTATGCACAGGATCTATAAACTTCCAACACTGATAAAAGACCAAATTCAGTTTCACAAATCGCGTTTTCCCGAAAATTAGATGAGATATATTGAAATCAATAGACTAACGTCTGCTTTCTCAGACGTCGTCAAAGACAGAACAAGCCATGAAGTCAAACGAAAAGGTGTTAAATTTCCTGTAATTAATATAATTTTTTACATTCCATGATAAGACGAGTACCACATTCATAATTGGGACATCATCAGTCAGTTTACATTCACACAATCAGGTGACGGCGGGTATCCATACGTTATTTTAAGTCTAACTTAGGGCCATCCATTTAACTATTACGTCATTCGCCATGTAGTACGATATCCCATTCGTATGGTTTGTGATGATAACTAAACTAACATGCAATATCCACATTTGTTGGAACAGTTTGGTTACTGGTGAACAAAACAAATCGAGAACAGTCCCGCCAGAACAGCTGAGCTAAAATGATGTCTTAGCATAGCTTTTAGAAGCATTATGTTTCTGTTTGCTTTTTGTTTAGACTTTTCTCTTGTCTTTTGACGTCATGGGGCAAAACCGATTTTCATCATGTATATGAAGCTGTCTTTCGTGTCTAATGTGAAACGTTTTACATGAACATACAAATCCAGATTGTATATATCATTATGTCGTTCAGTGAGTGAGTGAGTGAAACCTTAACAGTATTCCAGTTATATCAAGGCGCGTCAGCTTAATGTGGGAGGAAAGCCCGAAGTGATGCAGTTCTCAGATGTTTACCATTTCGGTGAAACCCACGAGCACGGGTATGGTGCTGACAAACCTAGAAACATAATCGGGGGGAACCGGGATTCGAACCCACAATCATAGTCGTTTCTGTCGTGCCCATGGGACGCAACTCTGCACAGCGAATCGCGGCGCCTTGGATTAATGGGCCCCCTCATGTTGTTCAGATATTAGATAATATTTTGTTCGCTCACATTTACATGAAGTCCAATTTGCTGTTCTTTTTACGCAAAAAACAGTTTGAGTGTTTTCCAAACTAATAACACATGTCCTATAACACATGAGGGCGGTCGGGTTGCCTAGTGGTTAAAGCGTTCGCTCGTCACGCCGAAAACCCGGGTTCGATTCCCGACATGGGTACAATGTGTGAAGCCCATTTCTGGTGACCCCCGCCGTGATATTGCTGGAATATTGCTAAAAGCGGCGTAAAACCATACTCACTCACTCACTATAACACATGATGGTAAATCGAATTTAGTCGGAGGAAGTGACGGATTTGATATTCAGAGGTTGGGGGAATGGGGATCTGGGATGTTCTTCAGATTTAAATAGTGCCTGAAAGTATTTGTACTCAGATTTTAGAAGAGAAATATAAGCAGAGAGTGAAAATCCTGCCCTCTTCCCCCATCGCCCTACCCCGCGTCGAATATCAAATCGTCACATGACATGCGCCCACATCAAAGTCTGAACTTGTGATGTTCTTTACATCGAGTGGACCAAGTGCATCCACTCGCCCTTTGAAAACTTCAGGATGTGCATGTCATGATGTCATGATTGATCAGATAATCCAAATGTCGTCCCACAATAAGGTAAACCTGTCAAATTTGACAAATTGTCTGAAATAAAAATTGTAATGCACATTGATGTCCAGCGGCAGATTCCTCACACATTCGATCACTGACAGTGTATTTAAGATAATGAGGAAGTGACATTGCTTTTGTATTGTTAGGACAGTACATGATTATGGCACAATAGTCAAATAAATGTTTCTTTGACCGAAGAAAGTAATGTACAAGAGCATTGTTCTGGGGCGTCGCCAAGAAAATATTGGTATTATAATTTTGCACAAAAAAGTCGAATGCGACAATTGTAAGAGGTCGTTTTAACAAGGACGATATTAACAGATCCAGTTTACATTCATATTTTCCGATACATGTGTACTGGCCGTTGATCATAACTAACATTTCCTCCTTATTTTTATCATTATACATTGGATTGAATTAAAAACGACGTTTGATGAATTTGACAATGTTTATATACACGTGTACTAGGGGAACATCTCTCGGGCTCTAATGTATATACAACTGAGTAGAAGAAGTTACCCGAGAGCGTCTCTGCACCACACAAGCTTCGTTGTCTGTCAAGGAAATTATAACATATGACAAATGTTTCGGGATTCAACTAAATGTAGCGCCATTAATAGAAACACAATTGGCGTATATAGCATGTATGTATAAAATCAATAAAATATACCATCAATAAAAATAGCACCAAAGTTGGCACCAGAGGATTGAGTCATATGATGCCAAGAAGAAGATGAAGCTATGAGAGGGTAGTCAAATAACCATTACCGCGGTTACAAAAAAAATCTTTTCATATAATTCACTGTTGTTTCTGTATGTGAAACAGTATATGAAACTTTGTAAGTAGAAACAAAGGTGTTGCGCTGGAAAATTAATCCAAGGTACGAGTAAAGAAATGTTTATTTTTTCATACGAAAATATAAAGAAGGGAGTGCTAAACCTTTTCGCAGATGTAAACTGCCTAGCAAAATAAAATGTACACCCATGTTTGATGGTGGCTAATACGGTAACGAACAAGAAATAGTTATTCGATGTTGATGTTTTTTATATGATTTGACCTTAAGTTTGCTGTGTTTCGGCGACTGCATTCAGCCTGGAAATGTTTTAATATGTTATATGCTTGCAATAGTGTTTTGTCAAATCCCATTTTAAGTGTGTATTTTCTACTGCCCGGCAGATTTAATACATGAGATGAATTTTCCCTAAATGCGTTTTCTTGTTTTCATTACCCTCACCGTGGTGCCAGATTTTCAAAGCAGATGCTGTTCATGAAAATCACATTGGTATTACATATATCAACGCACAAACAACACTAATAGATATCTTCAAATGATCTTTTCAAAAGTTGACTCCAACGACAGCAGTCATTTTAAATTGTTTTGTTACTCGACCGTAACATCTCAGAACAGTATCGGACATTTCATCACGTGTGTACAGAGCAATATATTCGATAGATATAACCCTGTTGATATCATCCATGCAGTGTCTCAGTCTCCTTGTTACAAAAGCCTTTCAATATTCATGAGCTATCGCTGCTGAAAGCGTAGTCGATTGTACGATGCCGAGTATATCATAAGCATGTGGTTATGAATCACTTTCAAATAGTGATGTTCGCGAAAAGATGAGCCTATCCTGCCCAACCGACTGTACCCGTCACAAACGCATGCAAAGGCAAGTCAAGTGTTCCCCTGAAAAATAAAACACGGGAACATATAGTTCAAGTCAATTTTTTGGTAACTGTCAACTTTAGAAATGCCATCTACAATGTTTCGAAAGTTTTACTGTTGTATTGAATGTTGTAACCTTCATCAAACAACTTCATTCTCGCTGTACCTCAAAAGTTGTGAAATGTAAACATCAGAGGCGGGAGCAGCCTGAATATTTGTCAACAAGGACATGTCATCAGTTAACATTCTGACCTTATATGTGGATTTTGTTATTTGTCACTAAAACCAAGTTCCTTGATCAAACAATTCATGAATGTAGTGATGCTGTCATACAAGGGTTATGTTTGTTGAGGCCTTGGTAGTGGGACCAACTACAAACTGTTCACGTGGGGCATCCGGACTTTGGATGACGGATCGCTGGGACAGAATTGGTTTATTCTAATTCTGTTTCCTCTTTTTCCAGTTTGTCTATTCTACCAATGACAATACTCGCACGCACTGACTAAACTTAAGGCCCCTCGTCTCGTTTTAACCATTTGTGGGCATATGCTTCGACAGCTTCCATAATGATTATAAAGTTTGGATCCAAATTAGTAGGGGGCTGTTCACGATATATTGGTCCATATTTGAATAACTGAAGAAGGCTGGTATTGTCAACAATCGACAAGTCAAAACAAGTACATGTAACGGAAAGGTATAAAGGAACAACAATATTCTTGCATTTCATACTTTTCTGTGTAATTTGGAAGTAATTCATCTTTAAAAATATCAAACCGTTTCGTGTCGTTCAAGGGTCTAACTGTTACAATGCAAATGAGCAGATTTTAGATTCATTAATTTGTATTTTATGAAAGTAAATGAAGAAAAGGTATGTTATATATTAATTTGAATGTTACATGTATACTTACACATGATCGTTAAATAGTCATACTGACGGGACGAATGAATCACAGAAAACAATATTTTAATAGACCATAGTGTGACAATTCACAGACCTGACATGCATCAAACGGTGCATGTATTGTTGCACACACAAAGACGGACGTGAATCACGTTTACACAACAAACCTATTTAGAATTCATCACTCAGGTGACAGATGTGACACGTGTAAACTGACGTTATAAAATGAATAAGAGAATGTGCTGTATCGCTTGAAAAATAGTTTGTGAAATGGGATTGGAACCCTGGAATCGTTTGATCTTTTCGTTGTTTATGAATACGTTTTTTTTTGTATCTCAAACCTTAAGTTGTAAAGAACGTGGCATTCGTCTAGGCGAAAAGGGTACCACACAATATATTTAGCTTGATCATTACTTCTCGGACCCCGTCGATTTAGTTTTTTCTTTATCTTCTGATAACAAGGCAGAGCCAGTCGTTACGAAAGCATATACGACCGTCCATTGCCTCATTACGTCATAGCATTCCAGAGTCAGAAAACACGTTGGTAGATGAGGTGATGAATTGAAATGAGATGTAACGTTCATTGCACTTACAAATCGTTTTTTAACATTAATAAGCATAATACTACAAACTCCCAGACGTCACATTGCCTAGACGGTGCATACAAACAACCTCATGTCCGTTTACCGATTGTTGATACGGAGGTACCCAGTCAAGAAGAGGTGAAATACAAATTATTATAAAACGAATAAATGTTGATGACGTAAACAGAAATCATTTCTTATGTAATCTCCACAACAATGTGCAGCTCAATCCATCATTTGGTTAAGAAAAAAATAATCGATGTCAATAACAACTTAATATGCCCGATCACGTCTGATGCTATAACCAGACTGCGGGCTAGGTGAGCTAACAGAAAATGAGTGATAGTTGTTCTGTTCTAAAAAATGCCTTTGTGATCAATCTTGCAACATCAAAATATTGCGTTTTTATCCCATTTCGCCTCAGTGGATTTCTATATAAAGCAGCTGAATTTGAAGGCAAATCATAATCAACCTTCGTCTGGATTTGGTGAGTATTAGGTTACACTAATTCTATACTGTATTGGCATAAGTTATTTAATTATTTTATCTCCTTTGGCACGCCAGAAAACTTTCATTGTGGGTTCTAACTCCAGATTCGCCCTATGTTTCTAGGTTTGTCAGCACCATACCTGTGCATGTGGGTTTCACCAAAGTGGTAAACATCTATGACCTGCATCATTTCGGGTTTTGCTCCCACATCCAGCTGACACGCCTTGATATAACTGTAACAATGTCCAAGGCGGCGTTAAACCCAATTCAGTCACTCATCTACTGATCACTCATCTTATGCCTGATACGTCCACAAAACTGTTCAGGTTCAGCAAAAGTGTTTGCGTAATTAGCAATCCATCCCTGCAATATTGTCAGAACAGAATTAATTCAAACAGGGTAACTGTATACCAACGATCAATACATTGCCAATACGGCTTAGCCGTCCAGTGAGGAATAATGGTGTAAGATGACGGGAATATCTAGGCATGTTAATGATTTTGTTGTGTTGTTGCTTTGGTGAGGGCAACGGCACGTATCACACCATTGTCGATCATTCCAACTAGGTGTCTATGCATGATATTGTTTTCATCTGATATCAAATACTTGTCGAAGGACGAACGGACAGATAAAATGTAATGACTGATTTCTTTGTAGATATTTGAATTAAGAGTAATTAATGAGGTATGTTTATTCGTATTGGTTATCATAACATTTTATATATGTTCCACTGTACGGGTGTCCCAGCCGCCTTAGGCGCGGCAATTCGCTGTACAGAGTTGTGTCCCTTGGTCACGCAAGACACCAATGATCGTGGGTTCGAATCCCGGTTTGCCCCGATTATGTGTCCAGGTTTGTCAGCCCCATACCTGTGCACGTGGGTTTCACCAAAGTGGTAAACGTCTAAGATCTGGCTCTCGGGCTTTCCTCCCACATCCAGCTGACACGCCTTTATATAACTGTAACAATGTCCAAGGCGGCGTTAAACCCAATTCACTCACTCACCTGTTAGTATCTTATCGTACATGATACGAATTAAGAAATACATGTTAACTGTACCAGCCTTTAAGGATACTAGAGGGTCGAAGGTGGCCCAGTGGCTTAAGATGCCGAAGTTCGCTGCTAAATGCATTGTCGATTTTACAGTTTGAATGAATCACTATCACATAGTGATGATACCAAGTGTTCGCGAAGTGTGGCGATCAACCTCGGTAAATAGCTTGAACACCCTATGCAAAAACGCTACAACCATTCTGTTTGATTTCTGTTTATTCTCTTGTCTCCACAGGAACCTCAAAATGAAAGCTGTTCTTGCACTCCTTGTTGTGCTCGTCTTGGTGGGTGTTTCCATGGCCTACATCATCCCATATCCCGAACATCACTTGCCCTATCCCGAACATCACTTGCCCTATCCCGAACATCACTTGCCCTATCCCGAACATCACTTGCCCTATCCCGAACATTTGCCCCACAAGCACCAGCCCGGCCACGGAGGTCAAATTCCTTACCCGGAACCTGAGCATCGTCCATGGAACAAATACTTTGGATAGAGTGCTGCAATAAGTATGTGATATATGTTGTAACATTTATCCTTATAGGGGGGCAAGGGGGTTGTGCTCGTGGGTTTCAAAGTGGTAAACGTCTAAGACCACCATCTCCCTCACTTCTCACTCACTTTCTTCTTTTTAACCTACCAATCGAATATTAAATTACTAAATACATTGCTGAAAATTTCGGTGCCAGGGATAAAATACATAAAGAACAAGGGACATGTTACATATTATTATAATTATTATAAGTTTATACATGGCCGAGGAGACACCAATTTAAACATCAAAGATTTAGGGGGATTTATACTTGAACTCGATTCCAAAGCAATGAAGAGAACAAAATCATGGGAGAAAATAACATTCGCGAAACTTGTGAGTGTTGCCATCATGTCGGCACCAGATCTACTGATACTATATAATCCATATAGAATAGATACTATATTGATCACGGGTACTGAATATTTATGTATTCATGAAGTTTCATTGGTGTTCGGGTATTCTGTACGGTACCGCACTGGTGATATGTGTTCAACAAAAACAACGTGACTAGAAAACGGAAACTGCTTTGCGAATAATTGCATTTGTCTAACAATTTTATTTTAACGTGGCATCACACCACACACAGGTCATTTTTTTCAAAAAGCTGTATCTGCACAGTATATATTGTGTGGTGTAGTGCGGTGCTGTGCTGTGCTGTGCTGTGCGGTGCGGTGCGGTGCGGTGCTGTGCTGTGCGGCGCGGTGCTCTGCGGTGCTGTGCTGTGCTGTGCTGTGCGGTGCGGTGCGGTGCGGTGCGGTGCGGTGCGGTGCGGTACAATATTCTCTCATCATTTCAAATGCAGTGAATACCAAACAATCAGTATACATTAACATGCCCTAGATGTACTTGTACATAACCTTTCAGAACAAATAATCATGAAGCATTTACTGTTCATATCATTCCTTATCAGCGAATAAATAACACTAATAAAACTAAAGAAAAATACCTGTAAGAAAAGATTTTACGGGTAACAGCATTGTTAAAGATACTGTTGTTGACGATATACAGATTCTACACTGATCATGGTGTCATGGCACTGTTACCTCTTGAAATAGGAGAGACAACTTCTTCAGTAAAGACAATAAGACAGTCAAAAGGTGATTGTCGAAATCAACCGAACATAAAACAAATGACCGAGATTGTGTTTCAGAACATTTTTGTGTGTTTTTTATCATAAACATTTTAGAGAATTATTGAATTGACTAAATAATACAATAAACCTGCACGTCATACATATGATCGTATGCATCCTTTGTTTCAGACTCGCTTCCCGATTTCTGGAAATGTCTACTCAAGAGTTGCCTACTGTGTGCGATCGAATGTTCATGTCCAAGTAAAGCAAAACGATATTGAATCTGTCGTATGTTCTTTATTTTACTTTTAGTACTGAATTAACTATTGGAGCACAATCCATAGGAGAATTATTTTGTGTGTTATTTTCACTGCAACGTAATGTTGTACGTTCGCAGTTTAGCCGACACCGATCGACTCCAGGAGAAAACTCTTCAGGAAGAAAAGAGTAGTTTGTGATAGTCAGTCAAATAACAGACACATGTTCCTTCACACAGTACACCTACTTCTACTACTCAAGTCACCTAGCGTACAATGGCGGCTGATGACACGCCAATGGCGAAGACAGAAATGTGATGGACACGTTTTCATTTTACTTACTAAAGCTTACAGGCGAAGATAGACTTATGGTTTTCTACTCTTTTGTTTCTTCTTTCAATGCAAGTTACGTTACAGAAGCTAGTACCTTTATTAATGGAAAAGATAACACCCGCGAAATCTCTCAAGAGACTAATACGGAATCCAAGAGCAAAGCAGAATCAGTATAGTGCTAGGGAGATAATGTAAACATTTTTTTATTCATTCATTCATTCATTCACTCACTCACTCACCCACTCACTCACTCACCCATATCAATGTATATGCTTGTATCAATGTAACACTTAGCAATACATTTTAGTAACGTTTTGTACAGTTAGTGTGACATAGGCCTGTACGGATGGGTGTTGTACACTACTCACTAGACTAACATCTATTCTCTGAAATGAACAAAGAAACAGTTTTTAACTTACAGTTATGAAATATATAAAAAGGAGTCCAGAAACTTTCTTCATTTTCAGATACTGCAGTAATCTAGACTTGTCAAACATTATAGACTTGCATGGGCTGTATTGGATATATTTGTCTCAGAGTCTGTATGACAGACTAACTACACACCTACCTTCTGTGATACTGAGTTTGCAACACGAGACACTTCAATCAAATCTTCTTCCTAATGGGGTGTATCCTTCCCAGGATGTGCAGGTCTGATGAGGTGCAGCCATCTCGTGAAAATGCAAGCCTCACGAGGTGTATCCTCTTCAGAATGTGCTTGCCTTACTGGGGAATGCATGTCTCACGAGGTGTATCCTCTTCAGGATGTGCTTGCCTTACTGGGGAATGCATGTCTCACGAGATGTATCCTCTTCAGAATGTGCTTGCCTTACTGGGGAATGCATGTCTCACGAGGTGTATCCTCTTCAGAATGTGCTTGCCTTAGTGGGGAATGCATGTCTCACGAGGTGTATCCTCTTCAGGATGTGCTTGCCTTACTGGGGAATGCAAGCCTCACGAGGTGTATCCTCTTCAGAATGTGCTTGCCTTACTGGGGAATGCATGTCTCACGAGGTGTATCCTCTTCAGAATGTGCTTGCCTTAGTGGGAAATGCATGTCTCACGAGGTGTATCCTCTTCAGGATGTGCTTGCCTTACTGGGGAATGCATGTCTCACGAGGTGTATCCTCTTCAGGATGTGCTTGCCTTACTGGGGAATGCATGTCTCACGAGGTGTATCCTCTTCAGAATGTGCTTGCCTTACTGGGGAATGCAAGCCTCACGAGGTGTATTCTCTTCAGAATGTGCTTGCCTTACTGGGGAATACATGTCTCACGAGGTGTATCCTCTTCAGAATGTGCTTGCCTTACTGGGGAATGCATGTCTCACGAGGTGTATCCTCTTCAGGATGTGCTTGCCTTACTGGGGAATGCATGTCTCACGAGGTGTATCCTCTTCAGAATGTGCTTGCCTTAGTGGGGAATGCAAGCCTCACGAGGTGTATCCTCTTCAGGATGTGCTTGCCTTACCGGGGAATGCATGTCTCACGAGGTGTATCCTCTTCAGGATGTGCTTGCCTTACTGGGGAATGCATGTCTCACGAGGTGTATCCTCTTCAGGATGTGCTTGCCTTACTGGGGAATGCATGTCTCACGAGGTGTATCCTCTTCAGGATGTGCTTGCCTTACTGGGGAATGTATGTCTCACGAGGTGTATCCTCTTCAGGATGTGCTTGCCTTACTGGGGAATGCATGTCTCACGAGGTGTATCCTCTTCAGGGTGTGCTTGCCTTACTGGGGAATGCATGTCTCACGAGGTGTATCCTCTTCAGGATGTGCTTGCCTTACTGGGGAATGCATGTCTCACGAGGTGTATCCTCTTCAGGATGTGCTTGCCTTACTGGGGAATGCATGTCTCACGAGGTGTATCCTCTTCAGGATGTGCTTGCCTTACTGGGGAATGTATGTCTCACGAGGTGTATCCTCTTCAGGATGTGCTTGCCTTACTGGGGAATGCATGTCTCACGAGGTGTATCCTCTTCAGGGTGTGCTTGCCTTACTGGGGAATGCATGTCTCACGAGGTGTATCCTCTTCAGGATGTGCTTGCCTTACTGGGGAATGCATGTCTCACGAGGTGTATCCTCTTCAGGATGTGCTTGCCTTACTGGGGAATGCATGTCTCACGAGGTGTATCCTCTTCAGGATGTGCTTGCCTTACTGGGGAATGTATGTCTCACGAGGTGTATCCTCTTCAGGATGTGCTTGCCTTACTGGGGAATGCATGTCTCACGAGGGTACTCACGCCACACGAAGTGTATATCTCCCAGGGTAGGTAGGTCTCACGAGAGGTATACTACCCTGTCTTTGCATGTCTGACGAGATGTATCCCTGCTGTCGTATGAGGGTTTGCCGACGTGTATCACTCCCAGGATAGCTCGACATGTGTGACCCTTTTCGGGATATCAATACCTTAAGGGATATCCTTCCAGGGTTAAAGATGCTTTGCGAGGTTTATCCTTAATTGAGAATGCATGTATCATGAAGTGTATCCCCTCCGTTGTAGGTATGTCGGACCAGGTGTATCCTTCCCGGGGTATGCATGCCTCACGAGGTGTATGCTTCTTGGGGAAAATGTGAATGATCAATATCATACCTCAATTCAGCTTATGTTTGATTCCATTAATTCCGTGATAATCAGACAACAGTGAATATAGATGGTATACATAAATGTCCATGATATATTGTTTGATAAATAAGTATCATTGTCTAAAATTATATTTGGCTATCTATAATCCATCTAATGTGAACTCATTAAGCTTTCACTGGTGGAAATGCAATTCACTTTAAATCTATTCAAAGTTATATTAAATCCTACACTTGCAGTTAAGGTACAGAACAAATATTTTGAACTGAGAGGTTATACTCGTCAACATACCTTGAGGGGGGTTCATGCCACGTAGGTGAGTAATTTAGTTGATTTTAACGCCGCTTTTAACAGTATTCCAGTTATGTCACGACGTGTCAGCTTAATGTGGGAGGAAAGCCCGAAGTGATGCAGGTATCAGACGTTTACCACTTCGGTGAAACCCACGAGCACAGGTATGGTGCTGGAAAACCTAGAAACATAATCGGGGCGAACCGGGATTCGAACCCACAATCATAGGTTTCTGGCGTGCCCAAGGGACGCAACACTGCGAATCGCGGCGCCTTGGACGACTGGGCCACTCGTGCCCCCTAATGCAGGTCTAAGATGTTTACCACTTTGATGAAATCCACGAGCACGAGTATGGTGCAGACAAACCTAGACAAATAATCGGGGCGAACCGGGGTTCGAAAAAACCGTCAATGGTTTCTGACGTCCCCGAGGGACACAACTCTGTACAGCGAATTGCGGGGTCATACGCGGCTGGGACACCCGTAGTGCGGAACCGATATGCAATGTTATAATAACCCGTACGAATTAACAAGCCTAATTAATTACTATCAATTTAAACATCTACATCTATCTGTCCATACGTGTCATCCTTCTGCAAATATTTAATATTATCAGTTGAAAAGAATATCAACATATTTAGACACCTTATTTGGAATAAACGAAAATGTCACGTGGCAATGGTGTGATGCGTGCTATTATCTTCATCATAACAAAAAAAAATAAACATGCCAATATATTCCCGTCGATTATTCCTCATTGGACGATTGAGCTGGATTGACAATATATTGATCCTTGGTATAAAGTTACCCTGTTTCGGAATTATTTCTGTTCTGACATTATTGGAGCAGTTGGTCTGCTAATTAGACAAACACTTTTGCTAAATTTCAACAATTTTGTGGACGGTATCAGACCAAGTTCTGCACTTTTTTCATCGCTATTGATCTATTTAACATATCTGCAATCAGGTATTGCGTAACAATACCGTGGATTAAACATGAAGGTTTGCTACGGGGACATTTGTACAAGTTCACTCTGTATCTGAGTTAATATGTTGTCAATCTATTGGTAGTCTAACCTTTTGTTGTCGGTACTTTTAGTACCAGTGCTGTTCTACCCGTGAAGTTGGTTGGTTGGTTTGTTGTTTAACGCCGCACTCAGCAACATTCCAGCTATGTGACGGCTGTCTGCAAATAATCGAGTCTGGACCAGACTATCCAGTTATTAATATCATGAGCATCGATCCACGCAGTTGGGATCGATGACATGCTTCAACCAAGTCAGCGAGCCTGACCACCCGATCCCGTTAGTCGCCTCTTACAAGGATAGTCGCCTTTTACGGCAAGCATGGGTTGCTGAAGACCTATTCTACCCTGGATCTTGACGGGTCTACCCGTGATGTGAAACAGTTCCTGTGCGTAATGACTTTCCAGTCAGGCACATTATTTAGTTATACTTAGTTTTTATATGATAACTGTGTTAGTGATTCAGGTTGTTTTGCTTAAAAGGTTTGTAGTCATAATAAGGTTAGTAATCGTTTCAAATTTGAATTCGTTATCATACATCAAGAAGAAATTACTTCAAAGATTATATTCAATGTTACTATACCAAGTTGGTGTGTATAATAATGAGTAATGATTCAAATGTCAATCAGCAAGACTCTATTTACCTACATAGTTGTACAAAACACACCAGAGTATATATTTCATATCAATTATCATGAGTCTGCTATTACAGGGTTGCTAAGTAACAACATCGCCTTTCAACAACAATATACCTTTACAAATACAATTATGATGACCTAATAAGGTCATGCATCA